TTTCGTCGTTTCAAACAATAGAGAAAGAGTCGTGCAAGCAAAACTTTGTTAACTAAATCAATAATACTGTTCGATATAATATTCTCCACAATACTTTCTCTCTCGATCGTCGAAAGTGATACAGCTCCGTATCGGTTTTTACAGCAAGCGTTATTATATCTGACCAAAAAAAGTCATTCTTAATGGACAACCTCAAGCTCTGCAAATAATCTTCTACTATATAAATACAGTCAAATAAAAAAAGGTAATAATACCGGTAATACAATACATCAAACAAATGCCTAATAATAGTTGAGAGAAAAAACCAAACATAAGGTATAGCATAAGATACAGAAAAAAAAGTAGGCATTGGTATTGTATATATACTGGACTAGTTGGATTGATTCTGGCTGTTTTGTGAGTTTGAGTTGCGGGTTATTGGCGGTACCTTGACGCGGTCCGTCGACTCTTGCTCTTTGCTGTTGAGTTGTGTTGGTCCGTACTCTCGACTCACCACGCACAGGAATTCGGCGTGGTCCTCGTTGCCATAGTTGTACTGCGAGCCGATGTTTATGAGCTGCAAAACGACGAAGATGTCATTTGTCGTGCGTGAGAAATTATCCCACATCAAGCGGAGTACGACAAAATGACGCGATATATTGTGTCCTGCCAGCGTTATCGGCTTCATTGTTATATCAAATGCAACGCCGGCGTTGTTTCGTATTATAAAGCTTACCCGCTGACATCGATATGTATTTCCATTGAGGCACTCCAAAAGGAAATTACAATGCTACAATCGTCTTTTGTCACTATTTCAAATGCAGATTATATGAAAATTCCAGTTTAGAACCAAGGAAACGTTGAACCTACGCATTCGACTAGCGGGAATAAAGCTTCTCTTTCATAATATAATTGACCCGCAAAAAAATGTGCTTATTGCATCTAAAAACTTCCAAAATACGGTTACGGAATCAGGTTTGTTGAAAAATACGCGTGATTTGGAAAAATCCATGGCGAACGGCCATGCCGTAAAAGAAGTATTTGGCAACAGTTTCGTCGAACAAAAATTAAAGTCGAACAAATCAACAAGCTTAGACAACAGCTTTCGTAATCCCTGCCAGTTGTTTAGTTCCAGTGGAATTAATGAGAATAAAATAAGATAGTTAGCGTATTTTCGCGAGCGCAGACCGCGACAAAATAGAAAAAAAGTCGTAAACATACATTCGAGCTTTACGAAGCAGGCGAATTTAATCAAGCACTTTTTTCGTTCGGAGCAGATAGAAATCCAATCAAAAGTTGGCATTTGTCATTCAAGGTTGTCAATAAGAAAACACAATCAAAGCTCGCGATAACAAACTTTGAAAACGACCATCCGAGTGCCGCTCAGAAAATGTAATTTGTCAAAATTCAATCAGTTTTCTAAAACGAACCTGCTCGAACTTCCATCCATCGGACATGGTAGAGACCATTTGCGTGAGCTCGTCCTCGTGGCACTGTATGACCCTGTACACGTGCTTTTTTGAATCCTTTGTTGGTCGACTGTCTCTCAAATGGATTCTCTCCTTGATAAGTCTTATGAGCTCGGTTATGTTATAAAACTCGGCCTCCTCGAGCACACCTTCTTCAGTCAAATCCTTGTTAATGACAAGTTTGCCATGTCTTAGATAGTTTAAAATTGGACTGAAGTACGTTGGGTCCCTGTCGATGAGATACGCCCCAGTCTCGTCCTGCAAACACGAAAGCACACAAAAGAAAAAAATAGGTCATCGCTCTGAGACTCGAGAGAGGCTCGTGCACACATATACATATAAAAGAGCAGACGAGGGGTGGGAGGGTGGAATGTATGTACACAAACGTTGAAAAAAAGTTAAAAACTAACCCTGTCGGAGATGAGGTCAGAATCTTCCTGGCATAATCGGCAAAGGAATGAATTGGGATCGCGCGTAAGCGTTGTCCTGGCAGTGAGAAAGTAAGTGCCGCCGACGTTGAGCCTCACCCACTGATTATTGCAGCGGACTCCCTTGCTGTTGGCCTCCGCCATGTTCGTCTGCCTCTGGGCCTCTGGCTGGTTCTGCTGGCCTACTGTATTTCTCTCCGCGAGGACGCGCGCCAAATAACAGCACTGTGCGAGAGAGCGAGACAGACGCGTGCGCAAGATAGAAACAGAGAGTGAGTGAGTGAGAGAGAGAGAGAGAGAAAGAGAGAGGGAGAAACAGCACTGCATCAGTCACCCGCAATGGTTAATCCGAAAAATCCGTATGGCAGCAGCACTTGCCATCTCAGTCTTGAGACTGTCACGTGACAGACAATTTTCCTGCAGTCGGTAGTTAGTTTGCTATCGACTCGCAAGTTGCAGTGGCGCCTTTAATGGTATGTGTGCTTGCCGCTTGGTGATGTGATGTGAGAGTAGAGTACTTCAAAGCACAATCAAGCATTCACGGGAAAGGGAGTGCAAAGTTTAGCATATAGCATAGAAGCGCAGTGGTGCCAAGTGTTCCGCCCGCGAGGAGAGCAGCAGATCACGACGCCTGGCATCGCGAGGTTCGCGAGAAGTCAGTCAGTTGGCAGAGTGCGTCGTGACTGTTTACCTCGTTTTGCGCCACCAACACAATAAAAAAAAAAGAAACGAGCCGAAGCATCGAGAAAGGTCGAACCAGCAGTGCAACCGATCATAAGGATGCCGGTTAAAGTGGACGTGGTGCCGCCTCCACCGGCCAATTCTAAACAACCCGGCGTCACCAAATCTTTACTCTACAATGGCTCCAGATTCCAAGGTTCGCAAAAGTCCAAGGGCAACAGTTACGACGTTGAGGTCGTGCTACAGGTGAGTTTTTGGGAAAGAGAGCAAGAAAGTGGATAGTCGCGAAAGGATATTGTCTATATTTCCACGAGGCGTGCTTTGTATGTACTTTTATATTATCCAATGACGTTTCATCCGCCTTACAGCATGTCGACGAGGAGAACAGTTATCTGTGTGGCTATCTCAAAATCAAAGGTCTAACCGAGGAGTTTCCTACGCTCACTACTTTCTTCGATGGCGAGATTATATCCAAAAAATATCCATTCCTTACACGCAAATGGGATGCCGATGAGGACGTCGACAAAAAGCACTGGGTAAGCGTATACATACATTTGAAACGTAGCTTATTGGCCAGCAGCTAATTGGAGCTTTGTTTCTTGTCACAGAGTAAATTCGAATCGTTCTGTCAGTATGGAAAGACGTTTAATTCAGACAGTTTCGACTATGATGCGTTGAAGGGAACGGATTTCGTTTTCATGAGATGGAAGGAACATTTTTTAGTGCCTGATCACACGATCAAAGACATCAATGGTGCCTCTTTTGCAGGCTTCTACTACATTTGCTTTCAAAAATCAGCTGCTTCCATTGAAGGCTATTATTATCATCGAAGTTCTGAGTGGTAATGATACAATGGACTTGTTTTATAAGAACCCCTAGTGTGATTTATTTGCTGACCAGCCATGTTTCTTTTGTTTACTTGCCAATAGGTATCAGTCGCTGAATTTGAGGCATGTACCAGAGCACAGCATACAGATCTATGAATTCAGGTGAAACACTGGATTTGTCGACATTCATTTACATGGTAGCTTTGTGATTGATCTCTTGATTGGATCTATGCTCGCGCTGAACTCAGTGATAGTTTCTCTTGTAATGTTTTTGCGTTTTTGTATTATAATGAGCGTGTCCTCTCTCGAAGAGTGGACTAGTGCCTCAAGTAAACATTGGTAAGTGATAGAAAAGCTAATACGCTTAATTTATTTTCATTCAAATTTTACAAAAAAAGCAAATATTAGAGACTCGTTAATTATATTTTTATTTTTCACGTTTTTCAAAATTACAAATGGAATGTATTTCTTAGGTTAAGATTGAAATTTTTTTATTTCAGTGCTAGGACAAAAAACTTTTCTATCATTATTGATTTTTAGAATTTCTACAATTTTTGAATTTGTGGTTATAAAGTAAGAAAAATGCAAAAGGCAAAAAAAATAAGACATAATTACCTCGTACTAGTCAAGAAACAATAACTTCAAATGAATTGCTTTTTCGAGTAGTACATCTTGATTTTAACAGAAAGAAAATCCAAAATAAAAAAAACTTAAAGATTAATGTATTTTATTAGACTGTTTTTGAAAATTTTTATGAAGTAAATCAATGTTTTTTAATCAAAACACAGTAGAATCTTATGTGATTTCTCTGGATCTGTTAAAATTGAGTAGAAAGGCAATTTATCTCATAAAAAATAGGAAAGAAAAAAGTACTAATTTTTAATATAAAAACTTTGAAATGTATAGACGTTTTTAGTTGATATAATACCAGAGGTATTGAAGATAAAATTTTATGATGATTTGTTACTTACTGCTTCCAAATATCTCTATCATGTAATATTGAAACATCGATAAGATTAATGCATTGCTATCGTATGTTTTAAATGATATATGTTAAGAGACTAATTATTTCTTCAAGCAAATTATCTGTATAGTTATTAAAATTATACAACTCAAAACAAAAATAGTAAATAAGAATGTATAAGAGTGAATGTAGAATGAATGAAATGCGCGCGAAAAGATAGAGAGAGAGAGAGAGAGAGAGAGAGAGAAAGTTGCATGGAAGGCGATGAAGACGACGGCTTTGGCTATAATGAAAAATTCTGTTAGACCGTCCCTTACAACGTAATACGCAATTTGCATCATACGTTTATGGAAATCGTAGATCTATCGTATAATTTATTTTTTATTGTACAAAAAGATTATGTAAATTGGGCTGTGTCTTAATGTAACGAGAATTTTATCAAGATAATCCGCGGCCTGCCTCTTCATCCATTAGTATCATGTTTTTTTTTCTTCTGTAATTTACACACACATCCACGACAGCGTCTATGTTTTTGTTCTTACGTTGCGCTGCTTCTTTTCTTTATTTTCTCTTTTTTTTTATAGTAGAGACTTTTATTATTTGTACATTAATAGAATGACTTTTTGCTGCGTCCTCCGTCAATATTTTTTATATATTACGTGTAAACATCTAGTTTCTTGTATACCGATGAAAGTACTGCAATCTCGCCAGAATGAATTTGTATGTACATAAATGATGTGTGTCACACGCGCGATTACAAACATATATTTGATATTTTTGAGAAAAAACGATTCAACCATCATTGTGCATGTGTGATTTCAACGGAAATTGTTCGCATTTACACAAATGGTAATGAGATGAAAGGTCAGAATAATAGAACAAAGAAATGAAATCTTTTTTGTAGAATTTAAGCGATTGACAACGACGATGCTCATGAAACCATGATTTTATTTTTAATGTTTTTGCTTCGTTTTCCAATTTTATTTATTTGTCACTATACGGGAGGGTGGTGTAGGCGTTTCTCAACGAACACTGCTATTTGGGAGATGAACAACATACACAAACAAATTGTACGTGTAATAAAGACTAAAGTTGTATTACAAAAATTAAATTTGTTATTATATTTAATTAATGTTTTTGAAATTTCGAATTATCTGGACTTCGTTGGCGATGTCGGCAAGACGTTTTGATCGACGCAGCTGTTTCTCCAGATGTGATTGACCTTCGCCGTCATTAATCGACTGATGGCGCTTCCGTCTTAGACGTCCACTATCATTGGCCAGTGATTCGCATTTATCTATTGATAAAGATGTCTGCAAAAATAGATTTAAGTTTATTTATGTCAATGCGCGATTGAAAATTTTACTGACGTTTTTATAAACATTCTTCCCTCCTACTTGCCGCGTGATATAACACTGCTGTTTTTTACGTATTTTTATGATGAAAGAAATGCTTAGAATGATCAAAATATACATTGTGGAATCCCATCGAGTCATTTACGCGTGAGAAACTTTATCTGCGGAGCGGCGTTGCTGTAAATTGGCGTTCTGCTATTTCTCTACATTAATTATAATTTTTATCAATTCGCTGATGCCTCTATGGCTTATCATACGTATAAATTTTTATTTTTTTATAACAGCATAAAATTGATTATTCGTTCATGATCTAGATTTTCAATGGAATCAAGCTGATTTTAGTTATTCCGCAGCAAGATGCGAAGCTTTGTTTTACAAGATAAGTTAATGCAAAGAATATTTAAAAAATAATATTATTTAATTATTTATTGCTTTTTACTTGTAAATTTGTTTGCATTTCCAATTCTCTTGAATTTTAATGATGTACGTTGCGCATTACGTATAGTGATAGGGTGCTATAACATGAAATTGGCAAAAATTCACGGCAAACAAGACGATAATCAACTGAATAGGTAAGGATAATCAAAAGATAATCACCTGCTCCAAAATCATATTAGATTTTGCGCAAATTTCATACAAGCAATGAAAGTCCTCAGAGTAGCTGGTCTTGCTGAGTAGCGTATTGAATTTTAAAAACTGCGAATCGAATTCGACTTTCGCTCTAATCAGATCAGTAAAGGATTGCTGAATAATTTGCGAGTCAATCACACTGCCGAGTTCCTCGTCGTTACCGCATGCTGTTTCTGTGGTTTCTGTGATTTTTTGCGCCAGGTCGACCGTCGTCAGAGTTATTGCACTCGATTCTCGAGGTGATTCGACTGGTATCTCAGGTATGGGTGTTCTCGGGGTATTTGAGCTATCTAATTCGACGTTACTTTTACATAGTACTTTGCCTGCAAAAAAAAAAGTATTTTACTACTAATGACGCTCATGTGGTAAAATATTTTTTTCGTAAAAATTACCGTTTAGATTATTCAAGTATGTAAATAACATCGAGCTGAACTTCAAAACATCTTTGAATAACTCGTCCAGGTCTTTATCGGCAAAATATGTTCTTGCAAACAACGATTTCTGCCAGAATCGATTCTGTTTGACGTTGGTTTTCGGCGAAGATTTGAACTCTTCGATAGCTACCAATTGCATCTGCGAAACTTGAGTGCTGCGTTCAAATGATAATTCTTTCAGACGTTGGTTAATTATTTGCATCGACTTAACAATGTCGTCTAATTTTTTTGAAAGTGGAGCCTGCATTTCGATACTTGGCGAAGCTGTTACATCTTTATCCAAATCTAATTTTTTTACTAAGGGTTCACTGCATTCTGTTTCCATAACGGTGTAGAAATTTACGTAGGGTTAATTATTAAATGATACAAAAATGATTCTGTCATTTAGCTAACACCAAAACAGAAGACTGACAAGCTTTCAAGACGAACAAACAAGAAGACAAGGGTTTGTTTATAGTTGTAATAAATTTTATTCAATTTATCAATAATCGCAAGTGAATATATAATAATAATTACAAAATTACATCGTTACTGTATATAAATATAAGTATCTGCTAATTAATGTAAAGGCACATCATCGTGTTATCTTGCTATATACATTGCAACTGTCCCAATTCTACGAGTCTCGGATAGTAACAATTAAAAAAAGAAAAAAAAAACAGTCTCATATCCTCGTTTCTTTCCACGAAAATTTCGCCAACAAACGAACAAGAAATATAAAGAATTATAATATAAGAAGTTTTACATTGCTTTTTTGCAAAAAAAAGCAATATACAAAATACATTTGCATCGACAGTTGCCGACGTGAAAAATTCTGCTTCAGAGGAATACTGAAAGTTAGTAGGCTTTATTTAATACATTTTTATCTTCCACCATTGACATTGGTGTCAGGCACGTAGTTGGCCCTCAGGTTCCATTTTGCAGCAGTCTTGCATAGTTAGAATATAAGGCACTACGCTCGCCACGCTCACTTTGCCGATCAGACCAGCAAAGAACAAATCTTCCAATACTCGTGGATTTATCGAACGTAAGGGAGCTAAGCGTAATAAAAGTCGTGGTAGACGTTCAGAACCTACTCGTTGCTGAAGTTCCGTCCATGCGACTTCTTGAAGGCATTGCACGCGACGACGCCACACTCCAGCGAGAACATTGTCTAAAAAATAAAACCATTTGTTTAAACATAGAAAACATATTTGCATTCAAAAATTAAAGAAAGTGTTGCTGTAGACTATAGAAAATCAATATTTAATTTCGCGCTCTGAGGCATTGTTTTTTCAACTAATACTTGAGAAGACAAAAATGTATGCCTTCTATTAATAAAAATAAACAATAATATAAGCCTCAGTTCGTCAAGATATATTTTTATTGAAACTACGCAGAAACGTTGCGTTGCAAATTTTTGTTAAATTTATAAACATTATTCAGTGTGAGTCATGTGAATGTTTTAAGAAGATGAAAAATGCCGAGGAAAAATTAATATTCAAATGTTAAGGTATCTTATTGTATGTAAATTACCTGAGCTAAAAAGCGTTAGAGCTTTTAAATAAGCATACTCGACAGAGTCCACTTGCAGTCGGTGGAGCGAACTGACGCAATCTTGTAAACGGCAGATGTGTTCGGTCACCGACTTTATTTTGTTTGCAGTCATTTTCTCTTGAGCAATACTTGTTTGAAGATGATTAATGATCCATGTGAGAATACTGGGAAGAGAGAGAGTGTAAGCACATTGGGCCAAGCCGAGAGTGAATAACTGTCCCCACGAACAGCGTACTAATGTCGTTTGTATGTCCGACCTACAAAAATATACGATAAATTATCTTATGATCATTTACAAGTTAAAATATAGATGGAGAAAATACTTACGGAAGTGATTGGAACGCGGGAATGCCTCTAGCCCAGTGTACCGACAAAAACAACAGTCGCGCTGCACTTTCGCATATATAATGTATCGACAAATATGCAGGAGCAGGACTAGGAGCTCTCAGTTCAAAGTGCATGTGTCTTTCCAATAACAATTGACCACAGTTCCAGTCTTCATCCGGTTCTTCGGTAGTACCATTGATATTCTGCAATTACCAGCAATTTTTATAAAATGCTTACACTAATCTCATCGATATCACATTTTTCTTAATATTACTTACATCTCCTGCCATAAGTTTAGCCATATTGTCTAAAGCATGTGAAATGAGAAGTCGTTCACGCGCTAACGTTAAAGCATCACTGAGATCACTATCACTACTGTGGTGTTCCTCCATACTAGGACTTTCAGGTTGATGATGCTGTTGTTGCTCCCACGAATTTGGTACTGGTGTTGTTTCAACAACAGAAGATGGCTGTGGCTCAGGTTTAACGCGTGGACCACGACTACCACTTTTTCCTGTAGTGCCAGTCTCGTTGCTTCCTATGACAGGTTTTCTCTCATGTTGCACAGCTGTAACAAACACTCAAAAGTAAGATTTACGCTCTCTCTATTCAGTTTTCTCGCTGTACTTTTGATCTGCAGAGACTTACAGTCACTTCGCATGCCCATCGCCAGGCACTTTTGCAATCTGCAGTACTGACAACGATTTCTGTGGTGTTTTGTGACTTCGCAGCTCTTGTTGCCTCTGCATTGGTAACCAAGTTGCTTACGTATGCTTCTTTTAAAAAAACCTTTGCAACCCTCACAGCTAATGGCTCCATAGTGTCTTCCACTTGCTCTGTCTCCACACACAACACATAGCTCTAATGATAGACCTATTCCCATACAAGAACTTCTTCCATCTCTAGGAATCTTTATCTGCTTCAATGCAATATTAATTAAACTACTAATTTGAGAATGAAAAAAAAAAATAAATAAAAGATAGTTCATCAAACAATATTTTACCTCCATATCAGTACCAGCATTGCCTCTAATGTGTTCAATGCCAGAATGCAGATGATGATGCATCATACCAGCAGCTGCAGCAGCAGCAGCAGTAGAGTAATCAACTCCACCTCCAATCTCTCTCTTGAGCTTTTGCTCAGAAATATCCTGGGTACTGTCTGAGTTACTATTCTGCAGATCCAATCCAATGTGGTGTCTTCTGAGAGATCTGTAGTCTCTCACACCTATGTTCTGCAAAGCAGGCTTACATTCATTGAGCTTTTCGTCGCTGTTAGTTCGCAATTTGTTATTGACCATGGGTTTCGTCTCTTTCTATGAGAAACAGAGTAACAAATCAGACACTATAGGAAAGCAAAGAGATGCTTCGACGATGTAACTACCTCCGCGTCGAGGTCGGCATCGGGTTCCTCGTCTTCTTCCTCTTCTTCGTCATTGTCCTCTTCTTCCTCGGGCTCCTCTTCTTCCTCCTCTTCGCTGTTTTCTTCTTGCTTCCTGCTTATTTCTTTGGCTCGCTGCTGTTGTTGAGCACGATATTTGATGTCGACCTGCTGCTGCTGTTTGGTCTCGGCTTCGAGGTCGCCATCTCTGTCCATGTTTTATCTAAAAATAAGGAAAGACGCAGCGGCAACGTTACACGCAGACTAAAAATACGGAGGAGTGAGGACGCGTGCACCTGTGCGTGGGTTAGCGCGACCACGTAGCATTATAACCTCAATACACAGTGGTGGCGGCAGGTGCAACGAACACACATACACGCGCGCGCGCATAGACGCGCGAGAAGAGAGGACGACGAGAGGAACGGAGAGTTAAAGCGGAGTGAGCGCGCTGCACTGATTATATTTCGGTCGGTCGCGCCTCGCGGGTCACGTGCGCTACCGAGCAGAGAATTACCTTTTTCCCTCTCTCGCTCTGCTCCGCATCTCGTTCTCTTTGCTCGCTTCTCCCTACCTAGCTTTTCTTGCACTCTATGCGGCCTTTATTACTCGGTTGCTCGGGAGAGAGAGAGAGAGAGAGAGAGAGGGAGACTGGGTCTCGCTCGACTTCTTGAACGATGCACTTTGCCGTGTGTGTGAGAGACAACTCTATATCCGAACGGCGAATCTGTGTTTTTATGCGTTCAAAATTTTGGAGAGCAAAGAACTTTTGCCTTTTAGAAGATTCCCGAAAGTTTTCGACAAGGTTTGTTTTGATTATATTTTCCAAGCAATATAGAGTCTTCGTATTTGACCCTGACGTACAAGGGAAGATCTTTCATCGATCGTTAAATTATTTAAAAGAAACTACAAAAAATTTTAAGCAAATAACTCACTCCGTAAACGTTCCGATGGTGGTATAAAACGGAGTATTGGAGTATAAATTACTTTTGAATGAAATCGATTAATTTTAGGCCATTCAGATATTGCAAATCGCGCAAACGTCACATTGTCAAACACAGTGTAAAAGAAGAAAAAAGAAAAATAATAAGATAAAAAGGAAGGTATTGCAAGGTAGCAATGAATAAGATGCACGAGCGAGACGTTCTCCCGGTAGCGCGCACAGTCACGAAGAAGCGTGCACGGCACTCGTCGTCACGGTACGCCAGCTCTCCTCTCCACGATCGCTATCGAAAGCGAGGCAGAACGAGCATAAAGCAGGGATGATAGCAGTGCGTGTCCTCCCTCCCTCCCCCTCCCTCTCTCTCGCTCACTCGTTTGCTCGGCAAAAAAAGAAGCGAGCAAAGGAAAAGAAACCCAGCTAGCGCAGAAGCAGCATAGCTTTATTAGCGGGAGAGGGAACGGAAGCTTGGCTACCAACACACTGCTCCACCCAGGTGCATTCCTCTCGCGCGTCTGCTACCCGACCTCGGCTGATTTACGTCCCGAGAGATGTATGATTTACGCCAAGCGACACGACGATACGTTGCTTGATTTATACCTTACCTCTTTGCTCGACCGTTCTCGCGAGTGTGTGTTCGCAGGTGCATGCACTTCGACACCACTGAATGTATACGTGCGCGAACGTGTGTTTGATCTCGAGAGAGCGACGAGAGGGGGAGAAGCTAATCGGGGCGTGCACCTACGACGAGCAGTAGCTGTACCGACTTGCCTAACCGCCTTTTCAAGATTAACTGCTCGGCTTCGCTGTTCGATGGACGACCGGTAGAGCTGGAAAATGCATTCCGCAGCTTCAAACACGAGCGATCGCTTTTTCAAGGGTTTATCATCCTTTCACATATACACATTTTGATTTTTTCAACGTGTTGAAAAACCCTGACGTTTTATGTGAAAGGCAAATCGGTTGCGAAGATTGGCAGAAGTCTTTATACACTTTTGTACGCGTTATCTAATCTGATTTTAACTTGTAGAAAAATATCAGTTGCGAAAATCTGATGGTTTTCGTATGGAAAAATATGATGCACTCACTCGAAATCGAGTTTAGAAAAGACGATAATAAACTTGTACAAAAAGTTTTTGTTTCAATCGGTTCTTCTTTCGAACTCATATGACAAGTACATACATGTATTACAGTAAATAAAATAAATTACTTGCTTACGTAGTTTTATATTTAGTTTGTACACCAAAATTAAAATCTTTTCGTATTGAATGCCGAAAGATAAACAATATAAATTTTTAATTCCGGCATTTAAGAAAAGGTCAATGTATTTTGACGAGATAAAGAACGGGATGCGTCAACAAAGTGATTTTATCAATTAACTGCAGAAGGTGAACTTTAAAATCAACAGAAGAATTGCTTTCTCCGTAAATGCCTATAGCACATCAAAATTTCAAATAAAAATAAAAATTTTGCAAGTTCATTTTTGTTTTAAAATATAGTCTTTAATAAAAAATTTATATAATGAATAAACGAAACAAAAATCCATATAATATGACTTGTAAAATCGGCACATATAAAAATCGTGAATTCTATTGGAAAAGAAAATAACTTTGGCATTTATGATGATGTCGATAACAAGTATATCTACGACGCAAATTTTGTTAATTCAATCTAAAAAATATGATTCCACTTTCACTGTACATCGGTAACGTCATACCCAAGTAAAAAATCGAGTCGTCGTTCACCTAACCTAAAATGGATCTCGCAAGCAGTTTCTCTCAAATTACACGATAATGCTTTATCCTTATCGTAAATCTTTTAAAACAAACTCGCAACATCACTAAATTATGACTCTCGCAAAGCAAATAAGACACTGATCTGTACAAATTTTTCTCTTTCGAAATCTGAAAGATCGTAAAATGAAAATATTTGCTCACCTGGTGTAGTAAGAACGCAGCACTCTGGCTTCGTCCTTAGCCTGCAGGGAGGAGTTCATAACCTTTGCTCGCGCTGCCGACACTACCTTTGTCGCTTGACAGCAAAGCACCACAACCACGTGATCACGTCCCTACCAATGCGCAATCAGCAGCGGCTGTTCACACGTGCGCGCGCGGCTAAAGCTAAATAAGTACACGCACGCTCGCAGCGCAAATTGTGTATATGCCGTCGTCGATACAATTTACTATCGCGTTTCTTTATCTTTTCTTTTTGCACGCTACATGTGTGCCACGAGACTTTGTCTCTAATGTGTGCGTAATGTTGATTATGAATTCTACTTCGTTCTAGATTTTACAAGTAGTTTCATCGTAAAGATTGCCGTTAGAGATTTCGATTTTGAATGGCTTCTGTGCAATTTGGCGATTATGCAAAATGCGTTACGTAAAAGACGATTTTCACATCGAGCTGCGCCAAGTCAAATCTGTAATTTGTCGCTGGTGAATCAAGAGAATGTTGCAATGACTGAAGAACAATAATAATTTTTTATATAAAAAGACATTTGTTTATTTATCCTGTAAATAATGTCACCATTACATCCATATTTACTATTTAGAATAACAAACACAGCCAATTTTCTAATTATCATTTACATTGTATAGAGTTTATAATTAATATCTATATAATATATAGCTATTTTATGTAAAATGATATACACTTAAAGTAGTATGTTGCAGTTGAAGAGAGAGAGAGAAAGCAAGAGTGAGAGAGCAAGATGAACAAAGGCACAGCATTATCTTTTAAGAGAATTACTCCATTATGAGAGAGTGGTACATGTATCTTGAACAAGCTCAAGTATAAACATTAGGTATAAAACAAAAAAGTGAAGATTTATGGAGGGAGTTAAAGAGAAATGGACACATGCAATCAAAATCTCACAGTGGAATGACTGTGTCGGAATACAATTATATAAAATGGTAATTGTCTCCTCTAGAGGAATACAGGAATACATTTGATGTCTCACAAGTGTACTCATTAATAATAATCAACTTGCATTTAATCCTTAATTTTCGTTTTCTTGCACAACACAGAAGGCAAATTAATCGCTTGCCTTATCAAATACATACATATATCTTGTTAACCAAATACATCCTGACTGGCAAATACTATATATAAAAAGCCATCCTCGTCTTTTTCTCTTTCATAGAGTTGGGCCATAGTTGTACAGCCACTAGCAATGCTCCTTTGATTAATGAGTAAATAAAATGCTTGATGTGGATGAAGCTGTAGCCTCCTCCTGCAATTGCACAACGAAGAACAATAAGTAAACATAAACAAACGAAGTGTTGTTTTCGCGTCGACGTTCAAAAATTCATTAACGATTGACATACCTAATAATTTTAACTAACTCGGTAACAGTCAAATAGTCGGGTACGAGAAACTTTGTCTTGTTGAGTAGCGGCAGCTGTTTTTCACTGCAATATCTCTCAACGACGATGGGTATCTTAGTAGGATGCTTTTCACGTATCATCTTCACATCTTTCACCCGTAGATCTATGGTAAACAAACACAGTCGAAAGTTAGTGCGCAGTTACTACAAAACTATAAGAGAATTATAATGACAGTTAACTCACCAAATGAGCGTTTCTCCTTGAACGTTTTTGGTATGGAAGTCATGTTTGAGCGTGTATTTATATGATCAAACTACAACAGATCAATTATACCTTCCTTACTCGTCTCCTTTGTGTATCACGAAACGACGCACACACGCTTTTCGATTACGCACACAGTCTGTCTCGCTAGCTAAGCTTGGTTTGGCCCACAATGCGTGAGCGTGCAGCAGCGTTTTCAGAATACAACGTCGTCTAACGCATTCATCAACTGACAACCACACAGAAACAACAATGGCGATTTTGTGTTTGTGCGACTGAAGCGCCACATACTTCGCTTCTCGCAATTCTTGCAAGCTACTAGCAGGGACGGATCACCTAACGTGGGTTTAGGTACATATTATGTACTGGGCTACCTACGCCCGTCAGATTTTATCATTTTGGTAACCTACAATTCATTATCATTTTTCTCTTTTTCGATGCTAATTCAAAAAGATGTATTTCACACGGTAATTTAATTTTAATTTACAATGAAATCTGACGCGAATCTTTTACAAAGTTTCAAATCATCTCGTTTGAGCCCAAAGAGCACGATTGTCGATAGAATTCCAAACACAACATCGGTATTCTGCCTCTAAAATAAAATTGAACAAGTAACGATAACCCGTTCAATAAACAAAGTACCAGCTCGCAGATTCGCAGTCACCGATACATCCCTGAATTCGCGAGTCCATCAAGAAAGCTTGCTCGCGCTTGCGCAGCAGCTTGTATACAGCTGACGTGCTGGGCCTTTGTGGATTTAAATTTGCGCATCAATGCTTTTCCTTCTCTCCTCTCTCCCTCCTTTGAGCAACCTCAATTCGCAGAGAGCGCGTAATTTGAAACAGCCAAACGCAGTGATGCTCCGAAAGCGAAAATCCGTCTGATATTTACTTTTGGAGCAAACTGCGAGAAAAGCAATTGAAGTGGCACACGCAAAATGCTTGGGTAGGTATGTAGCCAGGTCTGGCGGCGATCGATTGATCGGACAATATTTACGTCGTCCCGTCTGGTCTGGCGCTCTCACGATTCGGAGCGAAGCCCATACACATATGTCAGGACATATACGTGGGTCTTAGACTCGATCAGTGGCGTCCTCTACTCCAACAGAGCAAGAGAGAAAGAAACGAGGCAGGCTAAAGCAGTCGTGGGTCGCGCGGCGCGACTCTCGCTTTTTTCTCCCCTCTTGTTGCGTGTTAATATTGGTCGTGAGTTTCTCTCTCGAGCTGCTCGCGGCTGTTCGCGGCGCAGCACAGAGAGTGGCTCGCGTGGTTTGCCGAAGGAAGGAAGAGACTAGAAGCGAAGAGAACAGAGACGACGGAAAGAAACAGCGCTGTCTCTCCTTGCGCTCGCGAGTGCGCTCCTGAAAGCATTCGTGTATGCCGAAGGATGCGTGCCGCTCGCAGGACTCGGTCTGCCCGAGGTGGATGTCGAGCCAGCGATTGTTGCAATGGTATGAGCAGCGACAACAATAATAGTCCAGTGTTCCTCAAGCCGAGATAAGTGTGTGAGTGTGTGCCTCGCGCGCGTATGTGCCTAGGTATAAAGTATAGTCAAGGTTGTTAGTGAGTGCGTGCGGGAACGAAGCAAGGAAGACGAGGAGGAGGCGGAGGAGGTGGTGGAGGAGGAGGAGGAGGAGGAAGAATAATGCCCCTATCGAGGCCGGGTCCCCTCGCTCCTGGGGGAATCAGTGAGCAGGCCTATCTGCCCCCCCTCAAGCCCACTCTTATAGCAGCCAGCCAGCAGTTACTGAAGCAGCAGCAGCAGCAGCAGCAGCAGCAGCAACAGCAGCAGCAGCAGCAGCAACAACAGGACAACTCGTCGCCGGCTCACCACCTGCCGAGCCTGAACGCGAGCCTGCAGAATCTCGCGGAGAAGGCTTCCAGGTCTAATTCACAGTCGAGTTCACCGCTCGTGAAGAATGGCGGCGGCGGCGGCGGCGGTGGCGGCGGCGGCGGCGGCGGTGGTGGTGGTGGTGGTGCTGGTGGCTGCAACGAGCAGTCGAGCAACGCGGTGGTCGTCGCAAATAGCCAACAGCAGCAAAAGCCGAAAACGATGATTGTCACGCCGGACATTGTGATGAAGCTGTACATGAGCAAGCTGACGCCCTACGAGCATCACGAGATCTTCAACTACCCGCAGATCTACTTCATCGGGGCGAACGCGAAGAAGAGGCCGGGCATCATCGGGCTGGCGAACAACAACGACTACGACAACGACAAGGGCAGCTACATCCACATAACCCACGACCACGTGGCCTACCGCTACGAGGTGCTCAAGGTCATCGGCAAGGGCAGCTTCGGCCAGGTGGTCAAGGCCTACGACCACAAGAACCACGAGCACGTCGCGCTGAAGATGGTGCGCAACGAGGAGCGCTTCCACCGACAGGCGCAGGAGGAGATCCGCATTCTGCGAGCGCTGCGCGAGCAGGACAAAGACAACACCATGAACGTCATCCACATGTTCGACTCGTTCACCTTCCGCAACCACATGTGCATCACGTTCGAGCTGCTCAGCATCAACCTGTACGAGCTTATCAAGAAGAACAAGTTCCAGGGCTTCAGTTTGCAGCTGGTGCGCAAGTTCTCGCACTCGCTGCTGCAGTGCCTCGACGCGCTGCACAACAACAAGATTATACACTGCGACATGAAGCCCGAGAACGTGCTGCTCAAGCAGCAGGGACGCAGCGGCATCAAGGTACGTTAACCTCCAGCGACAGCCAGCCATCGACGCGCGCTCGCCGTGCGACGGAGAGAATGCGAGAACGAGAGCGAGCGAGAGAGCGGGAGAGAGAGAGAGAGAGAGAGAGCGTGCGAGCGAGCGAGAGAGAGAGGCAGGCCAAAACATCGACTAGCGCCATGAGGGGATCGATAACGTACTCGTTCGCCGCCGTGTATCTTGACTCGCGCGCTCTACGCCCGACGTTGCTGCACCGTCAATCGCTCGTCTTCGCTGCCAATCTGCCACGTGTGCCCACGACACGCTCCTCCGGTTTATGCGCGGGCGGCCCATTATAGTCGGCCACCGCGCGTACACGACGGAGCTTTCGCGTTACACCTTCGAGGCGCGTCCCGGTGGCAATTCACGAGCGATCCGATCGAGCCGTCGATACGCAACTGCACAAACACAACGGGCGCCAAGAGGAAGAGCCTCCGACCTGTCGCCCTGAACTATGGATTTTTATAGCGGACAGGCAGGTGTCAGCTGACACACCCCTGCGGACGTACAAACACAGCCCTCCTAAGAGCGGAATTCCGTTGTTTTCCCTTCGTTTCATTGTCGTTGCGCAACTCCGTCGAGACGATCGTTATTTCTTCCTTTTTCTTTTTTCCTTTTTGTTCTTTGCTTTTGCGGGCAGTTCGTCGCGCCGCTACTTTGCCAATTTGGAGCTTGGCTCGAGACACGGATACTTCTCCAGTTATCGTCGTTTAATCGCGCCTCGTTTGTGCCAGACGACACTCTTTTTGCGTACACAATGTGGAGCACAGTCCGGCGATGATTAATTTTTATCTTTGCTTTTTTTTCTCCTTTATCGGAGCTCGGGCGCAATGGTTTTCGACGCGTTGATAAACGTCTCGCCGGTATCGCGAGCAGACGTGAGCTTTTAATAATTAGGAGTCTGATATCATTGCACGCAGCACCGACGACAAGGAGAAAACTAATACTCGGACGTGTCTCGAAAGAAAAAAGGAAAAGAAAAGAAAAGAAAACGTGGAAACACGCGGAGCCGAAAAGACCTATTCACGGATTGTGTAAGCAATACAACTTGCGTCAAGCCTCGAGTCAGAAAGTCTATTTCTCGCGTCCGCCCGACCGTAGCGAAGAAAAGGGGTGATATTCTTAAAAATAACGCGTCGAAGATCGGCGGCCTGGATGCGTCCTCGCGCGTTCAGTATTGTTCCGGCTCGATCGGGTCGCGCGTGCAAGCTCGGCCGTGAAAAAGAGAAGCTGACGCCGGCTGCGCCTTTCGAAATCGGCTTTCTTTTATACGAACCGGCACGCTGATCTATATCAAGAATCGCCGGCCGGCCGGTCAAGCCCGAAATAGTTTTTGCGCGAAATTCATTCCGCCTCCTTTTGCTATTTTCGTTGTTTTGGCTAGCGCTGGTTAATTTTTTTCGTTTCATTTCATTGTTTTTTTTTTTTTTTTTTGATCTTTTTCTTTTTTCCTTTTCTTAAGTTCAACGCTCGCCGACGATTATCGGCTCCCCGAGTTCCATGAATAGCGAGACAGCAACGTTTCGAGCTCCTCTTGGTCATTGGCTTTTTTTTTGTCTTCCTCTCGAGAGGAGCGAGACAGTGCGGTGATTCACTCTCGCGCGCAGGATTGATTACGCGTAGTCGGGGATTTCCTTGTCGAGTCCGCGACCAGCTACGAGTTGCAGTCGCGTGTCTTTTCTCCGCTTGGAAACGGGAGCGTTTGTGGGGCGAGCGTGCCGATTTTCGCTCGGTCGCGTGATCGATAGGTCTGGATCAGCCGAGCGCCGGGCGCGTGATCATCGAGCGACGACGAGGACTAACGTGGCGACGCTTTTGCAGGTGATAGACTTCGGCTCGAGCTGCTACGAGAACCAGCGAGTGTACACCTACATCCAGTCGCGCTTCTATCGCGCGCCGGAGGTGATCCTCGGCGCCTCGTACGGCATGGCGATAGACATGTGGTCGTTGGGCTGCATCCTCGCGGAACTGGTGACGGGCTTCCCGCTGTTGCCAGGCGAGGACGAGCCAGATCAGCTGGCCTGCATAATCGAGCTGCTGGGCATGCCGCCGCCGCGGTTGCTCGAGAAGGCCAAGCGCGCGCGGCACTTCGTCAGCACCAAGGGCTACCCACGCTACAGCGGCGTCAGCTTCAACGCCGACGGCAGCGCCGTGCTGATCGGCGGCCTGTCGAGGAGGGGCAAGTTGCGCGGGCCGCCGGGCTCCAAGGACCTGAAGAAAGCGCTGAAGGGCTGCGACGACCCGCTGTTTCTGGACTTCATCGAGAAGTGCCTCGAGTGGGATCCCGAAATGAGAATGACGCCCAGCCGGGCACTGAGGCACGCGTGGCTCAGGCGGCGCCTACCGAGGCCACCGGATTTCCAGGAGCAGCTGTCGCAGCAGCTACCGAGCAAGGATCTGCCCAGTCTGACCACCAGCTTGCACTCGAGTCAGGCCAACTTGCAGCACGCCAGCATGCTAAATCCCGCCTCGGTCCAGGTATACGGATCACGCAACCCGTTTTGTCGTTCGCACTTGCCAAGACTATCGGGGCTATTTATACGTCCTAGGGGCACGCGTTTCCGTGTTCAATGAGCGTTCTAGTTTGCACGGTTTATCGACGCGAAGCCGATTCTACGTTAATGACGATACCTGCCGAAAGGCTCAACGTGGACGTTGGCCCGTTCCACCTGCGGTGGTCGCAAAATCGACGTAGCCCGTTGCTATTGTTACTTCAGAAATTACGTCCGTGCGGAATACTGCTGAGGTACACTATTTTTTTTTTCAATCGTACAGCGCGTCGCGATCTGCGAGCAAAATCTATGTAATGTCCAATGGTTTCCTCGTTGATTTTATCGGGCCAGCCTTAGCGCAATCGCCAGGTTTGTCGACGACGAGTGAACGCAAAGCGCTTTCTAATGCCACGTCCAGCCCGAAACCCGCACGACAGCGCGCTTACTCACGGGAATGGTATGGTTGGTTTTGTGTTAGGGCAGCGGTACGCTAGGTCTACGTACGTGCCCGTCCGATAATAGTCGGAGTTCGGCAAAGCAGCAGCAGCTGAAGCAGCAGTCGCAGACGCAGTCGCAGACGCAGACGCAGTCGCAGACGCAATCGCAGACCATGCTGCCAAGCCAGGATTGGAGTTACGCGACAAAGTCGCATCAGCAGGAGCATTGGTCGAAAAAGGCCCAGCAGTTCGAGAGCAAATTGCGCGAGCTGTGCGATCACCTGAACGATTTCAAGGCCGCTAAAAAAGGAGCGCCACAGCAGTCTCAGCAGCAGCATCAGCAGCATCATCATCATCGCCTCTATAGTCAACTGTCCAGGCAACTCAATGAGCCTGCTAATTCTTATCCGAAAGCGCTTTGGGATAGCCTCAGGTATACACCTTGGGTATTTATTTCGCTTTCACAGGAGGGGGAAAAAGGTCGTCAAGGAATTTTACGATTTTGGTGAAAATTACTATGAGCTATTTCTTCTTTCTTTGTTTTCGTTATTTATGAGGTGCTGGTGTTAGTGATGCTCCTAGGGAGAAAAGCCGCTCATTGATTCTATAGTTGGTAGAAAATTCTTAACTTGACGGGATTTCCAGGAACGTCTTCCCATCGTAATGGTTATTTACTGGATTTTCCCCGTCACTGATAAGATAAGGGGATAACGATCTAAGGCAAACCAAAGTAGCTTGGCAATCGGTGGTCAAGTTGCAAGTGCCCGATTGATTTTATTTCATGATCGTGCCAAAAATAGCGTGCGGTTGGTTTTTGAATTAATAAAGCCATTTTCGCAAGGAATCGAGCGGCTTGTCGGAGCAAAGAAATTTTTCTATTTTTAAATAAGTCAGCGAGTTCCTTCTTCCACGTCGCGAGCGCGATTCGAATACTTATCGATACAAGTCGGCACGTACGTTGTTCGTGATTTTACGAATATATTGCATTTGAATGTTGTCCGATGATGTTATAGTTTCGAGGCAAGCGACGAGTGCTCGATTGAAAAAAAAATTGAATCGCGAGAACGGAAGGATCTAAGTCGATCGAACTGATGTTGCAATTGATAAGAATTTGGTATTTTCAGTTGTTCTCGAACGGGCATAAATCCTGAGATTGCGAACAATGCCGTGAATTAATTATGAACCTTGTTTTTCTTGTTCAGCTTGCAAGACGTGAAGCAGCGCAGCAACGGCCATGACAGTCACAGTTCTCACGGCTCTCTTGTGAGCGTGAGCGACAGATCACTGGTGGACAAGGAAGTCGGCTGGCAGCAGGATATCAGGCGCTACGCTGCCGAGATGTGAGACTCGCCTGGGCTAATCGCGCGCGAGTCGCGCGTCTAGCGGCCCCGTTTCGCTCGCTGCTTGCAGAAAGCGCGCCGATACACAACTCTTTTCCGCGATTTCATTTTCATTTTACTTTCTTCTATATACTTATCATTTTTTGATACTTCGACGAATCAGAGAGACTGTAATACTTGCGATAATCAATCGCGAGATAAATGACGACAAATGAAGTCGACACGAGATTTAAATGTGATAACCCGCGAGCATTAGCTGTGTACTTATTATAAAGCATGAATGCAAGAAGAAGGAGGTGATGAGGGGAAAAACAAAAACAAAATTAACGCAACGTTCCGCTGCTGACAAAAAGAAATACGTGTATATATCTATATGACGAATTGAATTGACGTATATACTGCCATTAGTTCATTAAGCGAGCGCGTACCGAAGTACGACCACGACTTTTTGCACTGACATTTTAATTATTATTACAATTACGTACATATAAATAAAACTTGTATATGTATTAATCCGTATATAATCGCTAATCGAGACGAGCGGACGTTTTTACTCTGCGCCATTCAACTACCACCACTTCACTTTCATGAGAGACGACGACGTTTAGCACACTCTTCTTTTGGTTTGGTCGATGAACATTATTATAAAGACAAAATAGCAAACAAATAACCGATCTGCCGATATACATTGTTGACATTGAATTATAAGGCTGTGATCCGGCGTCTTGATGTCGCGACAACGTGAGTTTCTTTATACACTATAAATAACGATAAACAAAAATGAATAAAAAACCAATACGTTAACAAAATAATAAACAAATAAAATGTAAGCGAGCCAAGCGATATAGTGATTTTGCAAGCTCTCATTCAAGCATTTTAGGATTTTTAATCTCGACGCGTGTGATAATGACGCGTACAATTGTAAAACGCGTATGTACATCCGATTCGCCTGCGATCTCCATCGCAGCTGGCCGCCGACTCGGATTAATTTGCAATCACAAAATTACACACACGTTGAGCTCATTAAGATCTTGGATATATTATGCAAGTGTATATCGTGAACGTAGCTTCGTTAAGGTTTTTCAAAGAACATATATAGCTTTTTAAAAATTGTGTTTACGCAACGAAATTTCGCGTGTATTTGCGTATTATAGTTGTGTGCTTGTAGTGTCGTCCAAAAGTGAATTTTTACATTGTTTCAGTGAAGTATTGATATTAGGAGACTTTTGTACGGTGACATTTTTGGTGAATGAAAATGCGCGGCATTTTTTACTTGTCGATTATATAAAAATCGATAATTAATGATAAATAATAAAAATTTGTCTGAATTGGCGCTCGGCTTCGTTCGCTAGAAATCGCGGATGGAATATGTTTGCCGATAGACATGATATGTAGGAATTGAAGCTTGCACGGCAATTGTGTACAACTATACCAACATATTTGCATAATTTTATTGGTATCAAGAATAGCCGAGCAATAGGGAACATGCATAATGTATCGAATGCCCAGTGATTCGTTTTTTCTCTAAACTTAGCGTTCAAATACAAACCGTCTACTATGTAAATATATAACATACATATTTATATATGTAACACTGCTCTCTTTACACTATCTATCATTGTCTTTCGCGTTTTTATCTGTAAAATACATTTATTTTGCGTGCATTTGTGCAACAGTCAATAACTCGGCTTACAGCGATGTAAGCTGCCCGTTCACTTGAAAGTGCAAGTAGTCTATTATGGTTTGCGATAATAGGTTAAGTTATGCATGTCCCCCTGACCTCCTTGTATGTGAGTCCCATTCGTTTTTATGTATATAGATGTACGTATGTATGTATGATTTGCGGAGTACCGCATGTTATGTTTGTAAATGCGGAACAAAATACAATTTAAGCATTTCAAATAAAGTCGATCCACGGACATTTTACAAGACTTGCCGCTCTCGACTTTATGTTTTAATCGTTGCATTGTTCTTTTTTGTACCGATTTCTACGATATACTTGCTGATGTGATCAAACATGTGACAGCGAAATGCTACTTGTCCTTAACTATATCAAATACTTTTTGTTATCAACTTTTGTATGCTGGTCACTTACTTTTCCCGTTTAAGATACGATAAAGCGAACGAATAAGCATTTTGTTACGAAATCACGTGAATTATTTTGGAAAAAATGCCGTATCTTATCTAGAAATGTGAACATTTGCATGCGCAATTGGCGCTTTCAGTTTTCTTGTCATAAGCAACAGAAAAATTTGATAATCGCAGTCTTGAATTTCTCTACTAGATTTTTCATTTCGACTTTTGTTGTTTAAGATGTTTTTATAAATTTTTACTTTTACATTGAAAAAAAAATGTAACTTACATACTCAGCAAGTCATTTTCAATTGCGACTCTACAAAGAATATACAAATATTATATGAAAAAAAATTGACTATTGCCTTGGTGAGCATTTAGATATTAGAATTTAATCGATGCTGTAAGTACGCACGTATGCACGATTAATTGAAATGGTAAATAGCATAATACGCAATTTTTAATCGCTGTAAAGAATGGCGAGTTCCATTTAATATTCCAATACGATATTCTGACAAAATGTCAGTTTATAGAAAAACCAAAGAAAGTGCAATTTTACATTGGACACAAGCAATGTATCCTCGATTCGCCAATTACTTTATTTGGAAACCAAACTGTACGTAGACTTTTCACTTTGAGAACTCGTCAATTCTCGACAGCGAGGCAGTTGCACGCGATACGAGAAAAAAAAGAAAAACATACCGTATTATACATACCTTTGTACGCATCAAAAGATAAAAAAATGATAAAAAAAAGCTAAAGCCACGAGCGCGTGTTCGTCTTGTGTGTATAACAGAGCATTAAGACTAATGAAACAAAACAAATCCTAGGTGTATAAGTGTATAAATAAGGGTGACTTTATATATCTGCGTAAGCGAGAGCAAAACGGAGAGACACACAAAGTTGTATCCTAGGATCTTTTAGCGCGCAGACGACACATGATCTCGTAAAAGAAATGCGAGTCCCGTAAAAAGATAGCGCATTTTACCTCCTAGTTGAATTTTTTTGTCGTCCGCGCGCTCATCGTCCCCTTGCGCGCGCGTCTGTGATTTTGCGCGCGCATGGGATTGTGATTATTCGCGACGACGGAAAAATGGGTGCGACGAGAAGAAAACGTAATAATAATAGAAAGAGAGCGAATCGACGAGAGGCGATGAAGATACGGAACTCTTGTTCGGTACGTGTTCGAATTATTAATTATTGTATTTGCTAGTTCGATGCGAATGCGTGAGCCGAATGAGTTTCTGATCTTCGACAGATAAACCAGTGCCCGATTACCTGATTTGATTATTATGAATGAATAAATACTGCTTATGACGGTTACATTGGCTGTATTTTTTATCCATTTAATTCCTTCTCCCTTCATTAATACATTAAAGTATAATTTTATATGTGTACACTTATAAATGCAATGTTCAGCAAATATCCCAATAACCCAAAACTTTTACGAACAGTACTATAGTTTAAAAAATAAAATTTCTCAAGTGTTAAAGCCAAATTATTTTTGTTTGCTTGGCGTTGAAATTGTATAAACAAATACTGGTTGATACTGACTAAAATAAAATGTTTGTATTACTCTACTACAGTATGCAGGTTTTAAAAATCTGGAGATGCATAAGATGTGAAACGATATTATAGATTTTCTTTTGCTAATAGCTGATACATACAAATGATAAATGTTCTCTATCAAATACTCTCTATTTTCTGCATGCATCCTAAGGTTCGATAAATGAACAAGGCTAATTGAATTACATATATAATCAATTATGAAATAAAATCTCTATTGAGTAATACATAATAAGATTGCAGCTTATAAACATCAAACAGTTAATAAATTTTAAAGCTAAAAATTAGAAAATTGTCTCATTGAATTGACCTTCACCGTAGATAGCGTTTTATGATAGTAGTAGATCGACTAGAGCTGAAAAGTAGACGTCAAAATTCTGTCTTGAACATAATTTTCAATCTCATGTATAAGAACATTTTTTCCTGAAAACTAAACATTCTTAATATTGACAGACAATATGAACCTGTTTAAGAATGATTTCTTCCGAACAAATTTATAAAACAAAATTTATGTTTATATGTGAAACAGTTGAACAAAGGCACGTAACAATTAAAGTATTGGGCGATCGATTAATTAACGTTTGAAAAGAGTTTGACATTTTTTCAACATCGGGAACATTTTTCATAAATACATATTGCAATGACTATCAAATCTGCTTAAATGTTGGTGTATACGACGATCAGGCATTGAACGAATCAAACATAACTATCACAATGAAAGAAGTTGTAAAGCATAGTTATTTATTAAATTTTACAGTTTGGAATGTAAAAAAGAAAAAGAAAACATAATAGCGGAAGCATTAATCTCTTATGACGTATCCTTTACATAGATACTGTATGTTTCAGTCATGTTTATCGTCAAGTTGTTAACGATAGTAAGCTGTAATTGTTTAAAATTTATCAAAAGTAGAATTTTCCAAAAGCTAACTTTAGTTGCTATACTGCAATTTGAACGCAATTTCACCTTCTTTTGCGGCTGTACATTTGACTTTTGATTGAATGCACGAAACAGCCTGAAACATTATTCAATCGTCTAATATCACAGTGAACTAATCGGCAGTAGCGTTCGAAGCTTTTGACTGCAATAATCGATCGCATTACTGTCATTATGTACAAACAAAAGTTTATGCAAGACGGCAAGGTCAACTTGAGATCGGATGAATTTTACAAGAAAATAAATGTAATTCGTGGACCTTCTGCTGAAAGAGCCAATGTGTGCGCGCGCTGCCGTACACTTCGTTATTGAAAACGTTCACAGATGATTGCGTTTCGAGGAGCAAAAATTTGGATCGTTACCGGCAAATTATTATTTTGGCGCGGTGCACGCATCAGTATTGTTCGCGGCGTTGAACCGAGCGCACGGCCTCTTTCGTCCAACGGCAATATAGTAACGCGATCCGATAAAACGAGCGGTCGGTGCGTCGATAGGGAGCACGAGGCAAGTTGGCCGCCGACGATCCGGAGAATCGAAAGAAATCATGATAATTACGTTAGCAGTCCTTTCGGTAATTTGTACTTTCTTGTTGAAAGCATTGTCCGCGATCTATGCCCACGTCGCGCTTCGGATAAAATGTCTGCGGATACCGGGACCCTGGGGCATCCCGTTTTTATGGTCGATTCTCGGAGTCTCTCTGCGCTCGAAGGATGGTACTTTCTCAGATCTCACCGTAACAGTGAATCTGCTCTGCGATGCGACAAATTCGATTAATGCTTGATTTGTGTGTCCTAGAAATACTACGATCGATACAGCAAATGTCTGACAAGTACAAAAATGGTATGTTCTTAATATGGTACTTTAGCACTGGATATTTACACCTGAAAAAGCCCCATCAAATAGAGGTGATTACTTCTAAAGCCAATTGTTTCTTTTTCGACAAAGTTTTGGCTCGTTCGACGTAGCTTTAAAAAAATTAGAGGCTTTGTTTTTGCAGGTAATATTGAAGAGTCAAACGTTAATAAAAAAAGCCTCGACTTACGCCTACTTGAGCGAGTGGATTGGGAACGGCCTTGTAACGTCGACAGGTAACCGCAATTAAAGGCGCTTCGTGTCAAGTCGCTGATTAAAACCGATCGCGTACATTGTCATCGTTAAAGGTGACATATGGCACAGGCAGCGTCGTCTACTAACGCCAGCTTTTCACTTCGCCGTACTGGACCAATTTTCCGACATTATCGCCGACAAAGTTAAGATATTGAACGATTCTATAAGAGCGCTCGTCGACGAACAACCCGCCAGAGCCGTCAACATCTTTCCCATGGCAATTAAATTCACGTTGGATGCCAGTTGCAGAACCATCATGGGACTGGACTTGGACGTGCAAAGAAAGGGCGACAATGAATACGTTGAGGCGCTGCACCGGTATAAACATTCGCGTTCCCGATTGCAATCTGTCGTGACGGCAATGACAGCACCGCATTACCTTTGCAGTTTTGTCAATTTGACGACCGAGCGATATTTCTCCTTCTGGCTTTGGTCGGATTTTCTGTACGACTTGACTACCCAAGGAAAATCTTATCGGCGCTCTATCAAAACTATGCATGACTTTACTTTCAAGGTGATGAATGGTTGGCTGGTTAATGAAATGAGCGATCGACGTACGTTGCTCTCGTACTGATTCGAGTACTCCTAAAGAGCAAATCAAGCTCGCGCACCCTCGGTGAAATCTGCGAAATATGCTGCTAGCTAATTAAGACGATTCAATTAATTTTTGTCGCCTATCGTTGTGCCATATATTTATTTACGAATCCACATACTTTGCAGGTGATGGACAAAAAGATCAAAATGCGAAAACAGCGAGCAAATGCAAACGGCAAAGGCCAGCCTAGCGAAGATAGCAGTACGCGCTAAGCACAAAATTAATTGAAAAAAAAAAAAAAAAAAAAAACATTCATTATCAGCTGAAAGCAAGATTCACTCTGTTTCCAGGATACAGCGACGTTACACCGTTTCTAGATCGTTTAATCGATTTAAGCGAAACGGGCGATAAGCCTTTGACTTTGCAAGAAGTTCGAGAGCAACTGGACACCTTTATGTTTGCCGTGAGTACGCAACACGACGTATGATTCGAAGCACCGTGGAAAATAATCTGAATTCCCGTTAAAAGTCGCACGACACCACGGGGATAGCCATCAGCTACGCCCTGTTCTGCCTCGCAAACAGTCCCGAGGCGCAAGAGAAAGCTTACAGCGAGATCAGCGAGGTGGTCGGCAGTAGCCACGAGACGCCCACTAAGCAGCAGCTGGCGCGCTTGAAGTACCTCGAAAGAGCGATCAAGGAGTCACTGCGGATATTCCCCAGTGCACCTTTCATAAGTCGAGAGCTGACGCACGACGTCGAAATCGGTAAGGCTCCACTCGCGAGTCGAAGCGCTCGTCGTTCGTTTTTTCACTCGCGTTCGATTTCATTCGACCACAGACGGCATTGTCGTGCCGAGAGGTATCGAGGTGCAAATGCTGATACTGCAAATGCATTGGGATCCTGAAATTTGGAACGATCCTGCCAAGTTCGATCCCGATCGATTTTTGCCCGAGAACAGTGCTGGCAGACACGCTTACTCTTACATTCCTTTCAGCGCTGGTCCGCGAAATTGCATAGGACAGAAGTTCGCAATGTTACTCATGAAAATCGCCCTTGTGTACATTTTGAGGGAATGGATCGTTCATACCGATATTTCTATTGAAGATTTACCGTTGACGACGCAATTCGTACTGGCACCTCCCAATCAGATCTTAAATTTGCGATTTGAACCGAGACACCGGCACTAGTTATATCTTTCATAGGTATGATTGGTGAATATATTAATTGGGTGGGCCATGTCACGTTATGTATAAGGCATACATTTTGAATATTTTTATGTTGAATTTCGTTTTTCATTGGTTCGAGTTTATGTATAATTTATGATGTTTCGTGTTCATTCGTGATTCTTCCAGTAATATTAATTAGATACTTTTTATGAGTCGATGCACGTAATAAAAAATTATTCTACATGCAAATTATATGACGCAAAAATAAACAGTGTAATATGTTGATCAGTTTTTTTTTTATTCTAAAATTAATATTTATAGTGTCCTCTATAAATATGTAACATTAAATAAAATACATAACTAAATAAACTACATATATACATGTTTTTGAATTTTATAAAATATCTTTAGCGAGAATTATATTTATACCGTGCGGTTTTGCAAAATTATTATATGCATAAAGATGTATCTAATCTTTTAAAATATTATATATTATTTATTTAAGTATAAGATTGTTTTGAAAGAAAATTACATCAGTAATTTTTGAAATGAGAAGATTTATAGCGTAAAAAATCAGTGTTTTTGTCTTGACACTCATTTTAAACAAGTATTTTTGTTAAATATGTTGATCAATATAATAAGAAATGAAAAAGAAGATAACACGTGAAGCATGTCTGACGTCATTAGTCAATTAAAAAAATATTAAAGAAAAGTACTTAAGTTTGTAACCTATTATATAAAAGACACCGCGTTGTAGTCATAATTGAAACTCAAACAAAGAAAATTATAGAATTTATAACCGTATAGAAAACTTTCTTGCGATTGATAATTGAATCTGTATAGCATAAAGATAATGCTTTTGAATACCAGAATAAAATTTTGTAAACAGCGCTCCCTTCATGATTAAGCATAGAACTGAAAGTACTGAGACTGACAAAATCACAGTAATCAGGAGTATCAGCACACTACATAACACAGACACAGAACAGAACGAACAACGAAGCGAAGCGAGCGCCGCACATGGTGCGTGGGACATTCTCAATATTATTCTCATATAGATAGACTTGGCACTAGAGAGAGAGAGAGAGAGAGAGAGAGAGAGAGACAGACAGACAGGCAGACAGAGAGAGAGAGAGAGAGAGAGAGACAGACAGACAGACAGACAGAGAGAGACAGAGAAAGAGAGAGTGAGCAGCTGCAGAAACAGAACAACACGGACGAGAGTGTAAAAAAATGTGCATCTTTCGATGCATATTCTTCTGACTAAAAGTGCGTACGTCTGTGTCTGTATATATGTGCGTATTCATGTATCCACGTAAACAAAGTGCTTGCAAATAATAACGTGAGTATAAAGCGCAAGAGAGCGAGAGAGAAAGAGAGCGTGAAAGAAAATTAGTGTTAGCCTGTGTCTTTCTCTCTGTGCAGCGCCATGACATGCAGCAACTCTTGTGCTGTGGGCATTTGATAATCGACTCGTGTATGCTGCTGCTGCGCTAATAAGCCAGTGAAATTGCGGGTAGAAGGACCGGTTACCGCTGTGCTGCTGCCTACACACTTGTCGGTCCTTTTTTTCTTACTTCTCTCGTCCATATCTCTCTCGCTCTCCTCAAGGCCGTTCACTCAGTCTCTGGCGACTCTCTCAAATATACATCGCAGAAAGAGGCTAGCATGCCTCAGGACTGCTGCTGCAGGCTATTATGGCTGCAGGCGAGGATAACGTTGTCAATTCCTCATCCGGCAACAATGCCAACAATAACAATACGGCCAATGCCAAGCCAAGGCAGGAGAAACAATACGACTACCTGCTCAAGTTCCTGCTCGTCGGCGATAGCGATGTAGGCAAGCAGGAGATACTTAGCGGCCTCGAGGATGGTGCCTTTGAGTCTCCCTTCTGTAGTGGTAGTGGTGTGTTTTTTTTTCTTTCATTAAGTGCTTAACGACACTGTTTCATTAATGTTTTCGTTTATCCTAATGTTTTGGTATTTTCTGTAGCTTACAAAACTACTACTATTTTGTTGGATGGAAAGAGGGTCAAGCTACAACTTTGGGACACTTCTGGACAGGGAAGGTTTTGCACTATTATCAGGTCTTACTCCAGAGGAGCGCAAGGAATTTTGCTTGTCTATGACATCACTAACAAATGGTCCTTCGATGGGATTGATAGATGGCTGAAGGAAGTGGAAGAGGTATATTTTTGTAAAGTGAAAGTTTTAATTTTATTAAGAAAATATTTGTAGCATGCAATATTAATATTCCAATCTGAATCTATGAGATTAACATTGTAGTAATTGTAGCATTGTAGCATTGTTAATTTTAAATATTTTTTAACTTTTTTCAAAAGATATTTCAAGTTTATCTTTTTATATTTGGTTAAACAGCTCATTTAAATTATGTAGAAAAATATATGTATTGATCATAAAAGTACATAGAAGTACATAATGCACAAAACTGAAATAATAGTTCATTTCTTATTTGTAACAGCAAGCACCTGGAGTGCCAAAGGTGTTAGTTGGCAACCGCCTACATTTAGCTTTCAAAAGACAAGTGAGTGAGCGAGAAGCTGAGATCTATGCTGCTAAGAATCATATGGTATATTTTGAAGTGTCACCTCTGTGTGATTTCAATATAAGAGAAAGTTTCTCTGAACTCTCTCGCATGGCTCTTCATCGTAACGGAATGGAACGACTGTGGAGGTTCAATAAAGGTACTGTGCTGTTTGTTTAAAGAGTATTAGTTTTTAAGTATGAAAAAATTTTACTAAATGCACAATATTACTTCTTAGTTCTAAGCCTACAAGAGCTGGCCTGCCGTGCAATAGTAGCAAGGACAACAGTTTATGGTATAGAACAGCTGCCTTTGCCAACGTCAATAAAGTCCCACTTGAAATCATATGCCATGACGACGGTACCGCAGCTGCGATCACAGATTCTCTGCGACAATCGTACTCTCACCATAAAGTCCAGGGACTTTAAAAATCGCAAACGTTCGCCTTGGCTACTACACACCAGTCCTAACAGTGCTGGATTCTCGACACCTGGTAACTCGCCGTCCGGAAGTATTAACGATTCTCGCACCAGCTGCGTCGGTCGCAACTCTTGTACTATATCCTGATCGAAACAAGTCTTTACTCGCGTTTGGTCCATGTTTAAGACGCGTGTCGCTTTTGTTTTCTTACGTTAGTACTTTGACCAGGGATTTGTTGTTATTTTTTAACTGTTGAATTGTACAAAAAAGAAATAATGAACAGTAGTTTTGTTGTTAAACATTAGAGTACCAGGGATTGAAGACTATTTTTGTTTCACTTTGCGCTTGCAGACTATATAGAAGTGAGTAAAGAAAGTAGAGACAAAACTCGGTCGAAGTACTGGTGTAGAAAATCCTTCAATAAACGTCCATCTTTTATCTTTCTAGAAATTTATAAATCTTCAATATAATTGATAGAGAGACATTGATTCTGGCAATATATGACTTAATTACGTATGTAAGGACAGAGTAGACCTCTCGTGTGCATGTGTATTCGTTATTTGTGCGCATTAGAATATGTCATCTCTCGTTCATGCAATTGTTAGTTTTCAACAATCGAAGATTAATCTAAAAATTACGCTGTTATGTTTTTATTATATATTTTTCTCTTTCTTGATAAAAAATTTGTTGGGCCAAAAGTCCTTTAGTCGGTTAACGAAAATTTATATGCAATTATCATTACCTGTAACAAATAATGACCGCAGCCAATATCGTAATTTCATATATTCATGCTAAAGCAGTTTTTGGCGAATTAATCTCATTAAAACTTGTAAAATCATATTGTACAAACTAAAATGTCTATATGCCCTATATGTCCTCTCATAATAACTCAATTTTCATCAATAGTAGCGAGCTAGTCATCATTCATCGACCATAGCAATTTTCAAAATAATCTTTTTCTCTCTACTCGCTATAAGCTTCTTATGATTGAGTAAATGAAAATTGTATTTATAAGTAACCATGCGTGTTGAATAAAAGTTGTACAAATTCAAAATACAGGGTTTCGCCTGATTATAGACTTGCAAAATGCAATGGCATCACTACGAGTATTCGATAACAAAGAAATAAGCATTAAAATTGCCGTGAAAACCCAACTGTAAAGAAAAAAATCGCATTGTCATTTGTGTATACGCTAATATAAGAGATGCAATTGCAAAAGAACTAAGATGCCAACAATATTTTTGTACATCTTGTAAAAAGTATTTTATGTTACTTACAAAAAACTACTCGTTGATGTGTATGTGTGAGCGTGTATCGGTGTGGGTGTATACAGAGTATGAATTTTTGTGTAAAACAAAAGTGAGTGTGTCTTTGCTCGTAGACGAATTGTGAAACACTTGTAAATAAAAAAAAAAAAAAAAAAAAGTAATATTTAAGCACAACTCTGGTTTCATTTCGTTTTCAAAATCATATATCCATATAGCGGCTGCACTTTTGGTAAGGCATTGAAAGAGTGACTTGTCATGAGAAAGGTATTTGATTACCATGGTAACAAAATAAACTTGTGTGAAAGTGAGCCATAAGTTTTATTACGCGGTGCTTATTTGTTCTGTCACAAGATGAGAAAAGCGATAAAAACGGAAAATGAGCAATTTTTCGAAGAATACAGAATTTTTGAAACCTTATTTGAAATTAAAACAACAAGAATGCAATATTGAAAAGTCAGTCGAAGCTCTTATGGTAAGTTCTAAGAGTAATCTTCAATATTGGAATACCATTAAACAAGAAGTCAATGCGTCGGAGGATGAGAGGTAATATTAGAGTTACTTTGTTGAAGTTAATATATCGCAATAACGTTGAATTATTGACGTTTAGAAAAAAGTTAGAAGAATCTTTAAAAGAACCCTTAAGACGAATTTACGAGGAGTTGAAAGGCGTGAGAGAAGTGATAAGTCCGGAAAATATTAAAACAATTGGTAATTAAATGTTATCAATTATTGGAATGCCGTTATATTTACCATTATTTGTTTTTTAAGACCTTGAGATGTTTAAGAAGAGGCTTCAAGACTTGTGGAAAAAAATTCAAAACTTTAAGGACACGTGCAAGCCCACAGCAGATTTAGCAGCCGAGCAAGCTACCTTAGAAACCGAATTGAATGTGCTGATGAGAGGAATTCGCAAACACAAAGATTTCAGCAACGTACGCGATCCGGTATATAGAGTTGGGAATAATAAGAAACCGCTGACGAAGAGTGAAAATTGGAGAAAAGACGACGATGACGAACGTGAAGAAGATTTTACATCGCTCGTTGCGAGAACCGGTAAGACAACTCATGGCTCGTAAAAAATTTAACACAATTCGTATTAGTCTTTAGAATATAAATTGTGTAAATTGTTTTGTGCAAGTTATTTTAAGAATTTCCTTGTGCGATTCGATTAATTGGTAAAAAATTAACGTGTCCAAGGCGACTCATTCGAAATCGTCGCGGAAAGAAAAGGTAGAAAAATGGTGTTTCGTAACAGGGCACACCGGCACCTGGACCGAAGACGATCACTTCCTGTTCGTAAAGCTGCGCAAAAGACACAAAAGCATCACATCTCTGGCTCAAGCAATCCAAGCCAAATGTCCAGACTTGAGCAACGAAAGTATAGTGAATCACGATGCCTGGTACCGCACCTATCTGGATCTTCGTGATAAACAACGAAAAGCCGTGCAAGAGTGGCGGAGACGAAAAGAAGCCGAGCGCGTCAAACTGTTGGAGCAGCGTCCGAAGATGATGCGCGTGGAATCGGCACCCGATGTAACAGGCAATTCATCCAGGGAGAATAAGAAAACAAATTTCTCGATGGAACTCGATCGAACCGAGAAGGTCAAAGTTGAAGACAAGAAGGTAGACGTTACGAAAAAGAGGGAAATAGTGAAGCAGTGGAGGGAACAAAGAGATAGGACAAAGATAGCAGAGGAAGAGAGAAGGAAAGATCAACTGAAAGCCAGACAGGACGAGAAGGAGAATAAGTGGAAGGCCAGGGATGCTCAATTAAAGAAGATTCTTGCCGAGATTAAAGAGAAGAAGATTGAAGAAAAGGCTGATAGTAGCGAAAGTACTCCGGCGTTACCAGCGAACCTCATTTTGCAAGCCTACAGGTGGGCAATATTCCTTTCGATAATTCATCTCATCTTCCTGGTATAATTCTCAAGTCATTTGTAATGGGAAGGGCATTCTTCGATCAATTATATATTTTTTGTTTAGAGCAAAGGATCAAGAATTTATAGAGAAGAGGAAAAATATATTACTGTCCAAGAGAAATACCCCAAAACAATGTATACCAGCAATGCAATATAATTTTTCCAAGATTTGCGTATCAACGCTTCTGAACGAGACGAAAGCTTGGCAAGAAAAACAACGAGCATCCGAGCCTCAAGTGACGCGTAGTGTTAATTATATCAAAGATTTGCCTAAAAGGTACATACTAGACAATTCAAAATTTCTTAATATTCTTGTAGTATCAAAGATTATCTGCTATTATGTATTTCAGGACAATGATAACCTGGAAAAGCTACGAGATTCCAGATTCCACGCTGTTTCGCCAAAGATATTGAATAAGTGTACAGTATATTATAGAATAGTCATAGGAACAGGTGATTTAAGGTTTATCAAGTATAATCCATGTAAAAAAAATCAACGACCTCTGATATATGCTTATGTTTATTTTCATCTTTACGAACTTTTCCTTTCAGACGATGTACATAATAAGTTATGAGTAAACGAGCGTTAAGTCTTATCCAGAACCGCTGTCTTTTCATTTGCATTTTCTCTACAATATAGCTTCTTTGTTTCTTTTTATCAGATCCATTTCGCTGTACTTTCCCCGCTTTTCGGTTAAACTTTGTTTTTTTACAACAATTCGCTGAGGTTTTAGGTAATTGCTACACACAAACTTATTGCGTTATGGATAACATTAACACTGGACAGTTTTACTCAAATATATATATATATATTTATATTTTTATATGTATATAAGTATATATATATTTATATATAATATACTTTCTATGAACCTGTTCATTAATTGATACTCCGCTGCTTTCTTTTCTTTTTAAATTCTCGTTAGATTACCAAATACAAAAGAACATAGTTGATGCGGTATGTGATAATGTTATAATACAAGCGCGAGCCTTCTTATTGCGAATAGGCTACTCCTTTTCTGTTTGTATTCAACTATATACTCCACGTAGGTGTTTATGCTGTGTATACCCTCGTTTCTGAAAAACCGAGCACGTTTACATTGACATTCCCCGTGGAAATACTTACATTTATATATGTACGAACGGAGCCCTTAACTCTTAAATTACATGTACGTAGAAATATATTTGTTTAGATTTCACTGTATTTCCTAGATAAAGGTTTCTTACAATGAGAAAAAGGTAATAATAATGTAAAACAAAACACGTTTTCTTTTAATAACTTCTCGTCCTTGTGTTTTTTTATCTATTACGCTAGTAATAAATTGTCTCTTTGTCCACGTACACAAAAGCTCCCTCGCACTCGCACAAACACTATTATGCTTGCCCCTTAAAAAATTTTTTTCTCGTATATACCGCCTATGTATATATTTATATATATAAACCACTCTTTTATTCTCTCTCTATTTATACACGCATTTGTAGTTTTATGATCGACGCCTGAGCGATAGGATCGACGGCTGCAATAAATATATACAGTATACACGCGTGAAAATTTGTACAGTCCCTTTTTTCTTTATTTTAACGCGTTTACTTTTGCGATTGATACTCAAAACATGACATTTTTTTGCACGAACATCTAATTTTTTGTTCCTCTGGAGTTTTTATTAGTTCTATTTTCCATTCTTATAGATCTATCATTGCACGCTTTTTTGTTTTAACAAACGGAAAGCAGAATTTTTTCAACCGTTTCGGATCTGAAAATAATTGTTTTTTTTTTTATATAAACGATCGTTCAAACTCTCGACTGATATTAGGAAAAATTCGACACCTTCGGATTTCTATTAATTCCATCTTTATTACATTTTCTAAACATAAATCACATAACACTTGAAATAAACGTTTTTCCCTCTAAAAAAGCGACAGATGTATACTAACGAAAAAAAGAAAAAAAAATTCATAGTCAATATTATTCATGAATTATTTGTAAAAATTACAAAATATAAAATGCAATCCAATAATAAATAATTTCAATTTTTTTGAAAAAATGAACATCAAAAAGAAGATACGTCGATGAAGACAATCAATCGAGTTTAACTGCAGATCTTCTTTTTTCGCGTAAAAATTAATAAAAGACTCATCCATGAAGCGGTGCAACGCGCTGTCAGCTAACATATCTTAAATACAAGTATTAGATAGCGTATACATCGAAAACGCGGGAGAGCGAATGACAACGTGGACTCTTTGATCGACAGTGGTTTCACAAGGAAATCGCCGTTAAGTATTGAGCTTCATGTAAGAAAATAAGATATATACTCTAGTCAGTTTGTTTTTTGTTTGTTTTGCTACTCCTTCATTTATGTACACAAATATGCACGCACACCTTTCTCTCCCTCTTTTTACAAACAACTTGTTGAGCGCGCGCGCACACACAGACACCTTAACAATACAATATATACTCTAAGCTTTGCATGGTCCAATAAAAAAGCAACCGCTTTTCACAACGGCACATATTTCTATTTCTGTTTTGTCTTTTGTTGGTTTTTTTATTAATCTGGTCTACTGTGTTGATATTTACAAGGGTACGTTTTTGACGATTTATCACGCGTGATAGTCGGGATCGCTGAAGTCGTCGTTACTGTCGCTGCTATCGGACAGCCGTCGACGCTTCTTCTTCTTGTGCTTTTTGGGCTTTTCGTGTGCCGCGGATTGCTTACGGTGCGATGTTTTTCTGTGTGGCGTTGCTGGCTCATCGGCTCGAGGCATCGCGTGTATTGTGATTTTAGGGACACGAGGTGGTCCACCAGATGCATTGTTGGGGTGCTCCTGCACCTGATGTACGGCGTATTGAACTCCATCCTCGTTGACGCGATCGGGTTCGGAAGATTTCTCTTCAGCAGCTGCTCCTTTGGATCGACGGCCTTTCGATGGACTTGTCGGAGTCTCATCATCGGCATCATCCTCAGGCTCATCTGGATCAAACTTCATAATGAGTTGCTTAAAGTCCAGATATTCTTTGATCAGACGCCGTCGGCCTTCTTCATCAAGCTCCTCCTCGTCATCATCGTCTTTGCGATTTTCATTCAACCTGCCAAGTGTATTCTTCGGTTTGAAATGATGATTATTTTTGCGCGATACGGCTTTCTCATAAACTTTAGCCGATTCGGACGGCGAGTATTGGCTGATCTTTGCATCGGAGAAGCCGTACAAATCCTTGAGATGTTGACGCAAAGTGAGTAGGAGTAGGAAACCTTGGCTCGCGGTTATATATTCGCGAAGGAGTTTTGTATCTTCAGGTAGTCTTTTTAACACCGCTTCATCATCTTCCTCGTCATCTTCTTCGTCTTCTAGTGCTGCGAACATTTGATCGGGTCGTGGCAGGCCATCCGGACCGAGAAATGGTGGTCTAGTAGCTGCCAGAGGGGGAGCTCCTGGTATCGGTGTCTGTTCCGTACCAATGGTAGGCTGATCCTAAAATACGTTCAACGTTGAAATGTCAAAAATTTGAAATAATTAAAAAAATGATCCTTTAATCTCTTTGAAATTCGCAAAATTCTAGTTACGTCGATCGTAAAAAAATCTCAAATTTTCTTTTTGCAATAAATTTTATTAAAATACTTGTGTAATCTAAAATGTTTAAAATAAATTAATGTAGTGTTTGAATAATTATTGCTTATCGTCCGCTAGTCTAGCTGTATACTTTATCGATTTTCTAGCTACAAAATTAATAAGTATGTTTTCTTCTTACTATTAAAATGAAATCTTTTATTGTGCATTCCCAACATAAATAAAAAACAAAACAAAACATTTCCAAAAAATAACATTCAAAAGTTATTTTTTTAAATATTACCTGTGGATAAAACGTTGGTTGTGGAGGTGGTTGCATATATTGCTGCAACTGTGGATCCCAAATGGGTTGTTGCAATTGCGGTGGAGGTATTTGCGGTCGCTGTTGTTCAGTTTCCATTTCCTCGAGCTGTTGTTGTGGTGGCGGATGCAGTAGTTTGTACTCCCGCATAGTCATGCCTTGTAATTGTTGAGCAAGTGCGCTACCTTCTCTGGGATAAAGAGCCTCTTTGAAAGCTTGTACAAGATTCGTGCCGGACATAGATATAATGATGTCAATGTGATGTATAATGAATAACGGCTCATCTTGGACTTGATAGGCGAAGTATGCGAGATTATCTGCAAGGTAGAGCATCTGCGAAAGACTGGTTTTGGCGCTCTCGTCAAATTGCTTCAAGAACGACTGTACTATTGCTCTTCTCTGCTGCTTTGTACTCCTCAAAATAGTGTATAGGAAACCGTTGAGCGCTGCTGGATATTCGTTTTCTTTGGGCCTCATTCCACGCACGATTTTCGAGTTCTTCTGCAATATCTGTTGTAGTCGATAGCTAAGTTTAATACCCACCTGTGCTTTCGTGTGCACGAAGCCAGGATATTTCTTCTCGATGTCCTGCAGCTGTTTGTCCGCGCTGTGACTGACGAGTTTTTCGCAGTCGGTGCTCATGCAGATGAGATACGGAACTATCGTCACCGGATGCACAAGACCTTGAGCCAAGATGAGCTGCACGACTTTGAGGGATTGATGCCTCACTTTGATGTCATCGTGTAGGTACGATTCGAGAATCTGCTTGAGGTATCGCTGAATCACAGTACTTGCCATACCCGATGACACATCACCCATTTCCTTTAAATTCTCCGATTTAGACATCTTGGACCATTCTTGATCCTGCTTGATCATGCGCCTTTCTTCTTCGGCTAAATACAATTCAATGTTTTTCAGTACCTCGATCTTCATACTAATGTGAACAAGCTCTGACGTGAGGAAGTAATGATATAATTCTTCGAGTTGTGACTGCATCATAAACTCGCAATGCCTGATGCACAGCGACCCAATGGCCGATAGAGTAAATTGCCTTGTATCGTCTTCTTGATGAACGAAGTACGTGAGAGTATCGAATACTTGGTCTTTGATGTTGTCGGGCAAGCCTTCAATTACTTGAGGGTCCGTGAAATCAAAATACCTTAGGAGTAAACCAACCGTGAAGAGCGCTCTTCTGAAGTACGGCTTACACTTTGCAATATACTGGTGATTCGGATCTTTCATGTACATTGATTTGTAGTTGGTCATCGTGCCGTAATATTTTTTAAAGCAGTCCCTGATAAGCTTGAAATTTTTCGTAACGTTATTGACGATAGAACCCAGGCAAGACAGACAACTGGCAACAACCGACTTGTCATGTTGCAATATAAGCTTCACTGAGTCTTCTTCTAATTGAGCGAGGAATGTTTCGCTAGGATGCTCCATCAGAGGAACTACAAGCTCTAGAGTGTGCGCCACGCTGCTAATTATTTGGTAATCCCCTTGCGTCTGACACTTCAAACTTAGATACGGTTGCAACGTGATCGCGTGACTGACCAACAGCTGTGGCCTAATCTTGGCGAAGAGGTAGAGCGTGGTAAGACACGCGACTAACCTTTGCGAGGAACCTTGTTTCGTTGGATTTTTGTCCAACGAGCTATTTTGATTAGTCTCCTCCAAGCTAAGCACATTCTCGATAAGACAATCAACTATCTGCGTGCACGCAGTTAACAATGCCTTTGGTGGTTCTGTTACCATCTTCGTACTGTCTTCCTTGTCTTCTTTGGGTTTGAACAGACTAACGAGTAATTGCTCGAACCACTCTAGACCGATATCTTTACAGGCGGCTACAACGTCGGTGATGTTCATGACCTTGCGCAGCAAGGCTTTAGTATCAAGATGCGGTCGTTCTTTAACTGGTGTGAACCACATATTTTGGAAAACTTCCATTACTAGTTTCCTTATTCCTTCCTCGTCATTCACCCGTCTGATCATCTTAACGCAGATCTCTGGGATCTTCTCGTAATCGGGATACTCGATACAAATGTCTTTTAAAATTTTAATTACGCGTTTTCTAACGCTTACTCCGGTATCCAGGATACGAGCCAACAATTTTTCGTAGTACTTGTCGATTAGCTCTGGCCTGCTTAGCACGAATTTACCAACAAGATCAACAGCAGCTTCTCTCACCGATGTAGAGATATCCAGGAACGAATGTTTCACTCCAAGCTGCATGTCCACACGAGCAAGAACACTTGGATCTGCTTCGACGATCATTGTGAGACACTTCATGGCCTTAGTGCGAATGGCGATCGAACTTTCAGTTAGCACGCGAAGGATCTGTTGTAAGTAGATATCGAAACTGTGCGAGAACGGTCGCGTTGATGCAAGATACTGTGAGATCAATTCTGCTGAATTAATGTCGATGTAGGTTTGAAGAATATCGGGTTTCGTGCCAGAACTGTACGGTCGGATTTTACTGATGATAAGTTTCTTTTTCTCTTCGATAATTCGATAAGTTTCTGAATTATTCTGCTCGCTATTCTCATTTTCGTCTGGATTGGGCTCATCATCCGGCTCATCTTCAGTCTCGTCGTCGCTTACTTTGTAGCGACCCTTCTTTTTGTTTTTCTTTTTAGGTGTCTTTTTCGAAGGTGAATTTTTCGATTGACCTACACGCTGTTTGTCCATGCTGCAGTCTTTGTACCTGCAGTATACATTTGTTTTAGTAAAACGTTGATTGACATAATTATTAACTATTTATAATTGGATTAAGAGTTCTACAATGAATTCTTACTTTCCAGAGATTAAAATGTATATGATTTAACGTCTATCACCAATACGTACATGAAAAGTATGTTTGATCAATATATGAATGTTGCATGCTTTTGTAATACCGGATGGTACGTCTTTGAAATATAATCGTGATAATATTTATTTATATGGATAAAACTGAAGTATTGATTTTCTCATCATGTTAATGAAATAAGTACACATTTATTTTATGGTAACAATGAGTTGATTTTTATAAGATTTACAATCAGTGTTAAAATATATGTTAGATTATATATTAAAAAAAATGTTAAATATGAAACAATCTATTCAAGATCAAGCTACTAATTGTTTTTGAAAAGCGTTTCTCTTAAAATTAGATTTGTATTTCATATTTAATTGTTTAAACATAGTTACATAAACATTTTTCAATTCAATATTTTTTCTGCTATTCAAGATTGATTTTAATTTGTGTCAACATACCATTGTGCCAGATAGAAGTGCCTCGCGTATCCAAGCGCCGAATCTCTGGTACCATTAACAGCCAAGTAATCAAGCAGCACCTTTTGCAAGAACACTACCCTCTCCTCTTCAGCGTCCAATCCTTGAATGTCCTTATCTTTAACTTGGTCATAATCCGCATCCCTGGCTTGTTCTTGTTTGATGTCGGCGATAATCTGATCGATGGTAGCGAGTTTACATCTCGAACTTACAGCATCTTTCCTCAACCTTGCAGCCACAACACCTAGATAGTCAATAGACGCAACGCGCAAGGACATATCAGAACCCTTGTTGGAAAAGTGTCCAACCAGTAATTTGCCAAGTAGACTAAGCATCAATTCAGCGGCAGGCCACTCTGGTTTATTCACGGTTGTGAGCAGATCTTGAACAAAATTTTCAAAGAGCGGTCGATAGTCGACCTCTTCGCCTTTGCTGCTGCACTTGTTGAGGAAGACCGTCAGGAAGTTATAAGCAAGCCTCGTCGCTGCGTCGTACTTACTGAGGATAAGCACATCGATGTCCACGTTGCTGATGGCGTCTTTCTTTTTAGAGTCTTCGTCCTTCGCATCTTCTTTGCTCTTTTTATCGGAGATGGCAAGGACGGTGTCGGGTAGCACTACTACACACTGAATCAGCTGTAGCACCAATGCAGTGAGCATCTGAATATAATCGTCGGTGCTCAATCTGTAGGTTCTTAAACTTCTTTTGCTGCTTGGTAATCGAGCTATCGATGCGAGGATATCATCCAGCAATAATCTTCTGTGCTTTTCGTACCTCGTGAAGATGTTGGTTACCAGTTTGAGTGCACTGAGCTGCAGATCACTAACGTTCTCCACGAAGAAAGGTGCAACACCAAGGGTGGACGCGTGTAGGACACTCGTATCCGTAAGTATTTGAATGTTGAGCAACTCGCCAAGGAGGCCGACCAGTTCGTTAAGCTTGTTGTAGACCATAAGCATGCTCTTGTCACGTACTTCCTTGGCGTGGTTACGTTTCTTCTTGCCGGCTGCGTTGAAGTTGTCAGTCTTGCTCTTGGAATCGACCCTGTAAACCGGATCATACGATGGATAAATGGTATTCTGTAGTTGGAACTTGACGAACAGAATTATGCGGTCGATCACATCTTCGAGATATATGGTCTTCGGCATGTTTGTCGAGGTCATTATGTGCAGGCACACCAATGAAGCGTCCACTGCCTGCTGTACCCTTTGCATAGCGATTTGCATCCACATACGACTAGCTTCGGCGTCGTCGTCTGGATCAGCCAGAGGCGACACTTTTGCACCGTCACGAATGTTCTTTTCTAAAATATTGAGCAGTCGAACTAACTTTTCCGCTGGCACCGATTCCATTGCTCCGAGTGACTTCAATTTGGCAGCTTCCGAGCACAAAGTTTGTAATTGATGATCGGCTATGAGAAGCTCTTGAGGTACGTCACCGTCTTCCTCGATTTCGTCGAGTGCCGCTTCCTCCGTGTTCTCAAAGATGGTTTCAACGAGACTGTTGAACCGCTGGTACGTGTTGGTTTCCATCAGCTCTTCAACGCTAAGTTTCGGTAGGACGGGTACGAGTTTCATTTCAAACTTGCGGATTTTCGGCTTCACGGGCGTTAACGATGTCTCGTCTTTTTTGTCGTCTTCGCTATCCGACTCGATCGTCCTTTTCCTCCGACTCGTGGATACCTTTTTGTCATCCGAACTTTTCTTCTTGTCCTTCGACGATTGACGATCCTTCGCTTTGTTCTTGAAATACTTGCTATTCTTGTTCTCGTACTCTTCTTCGCTTTCCGACTCGGATTTACCCGACTTGTCGCGATACGAAACGTTTGTTCTTGAGGCTCGCGCTGGAGATGATTTGTTATCACTGGGCGAGCTGAGCTTTTGCTTCATCAGAACTTCATCAGCCAGGGATCTGTTCAACATGATACGTGGTTGCTTTAGCGAAATTTTATCCTTATCGTATATATTATTTTGCTGCATTTGCTGTTGAAGTGGTTGTTGAATATCTTGTAGCTGTGGCTGGTGAAGTTGTTGTTGATGTTGAATATGATGTTCTAGATGCTGTTGTTGTTCGAGTGGTTGCTGCTGATAAGGTTGGTGTAATTGATGCTGTTGCTGCTGCATTAGTGCATTCGGTGCAGATTCAGGTAAAGGCACCATGGTGTTGTCCAAGCTTGTACTTGCATTGACATTTTTATACATATTAGCCTGAGACGACATCGCATGAGATATCAAGTCCCTACTGTGATTCGTATCTACGAAGCCTCCCATCAATGGAATTTCAGGAATTTCTGGCAGACCAGATACTTGGTCCAATAAAAATTGCTGATTATCATGCAATCCATGATCCATAGTCATAGGTTGAGACATTTGAGGCTGATGCATCTGTCTATTTAGCATAGGATCAAACATTTGTTGATGCAGGTTCATGTTAGGCTGCATCTGATGCTGCTGGTGCTGCTGCTGCTGCTGGAGTTGGTGATGCTGCTGCTGTATTTGATGGTGTTGATTGATGGCCATTCTGCTATCACTAGGAGGTGTCATATGTATATTGTGTTGAGGAGTCAACCCACTAGACATCCCATGATGTTGGGGAGTTAGACTACCATGACCCGATAACATAGGACTTGGAGCGTTCATATGTGCAGGGGAGTGCATATTGAATTGAGCTGCTACATTATTTAAGCAATGGGTTTCATCCATCATGTGCTGAGGAGTAGTTGACGTTCTTGTTTGTTCTGTAATAACACTCGCACGAGGCGATGGTGAAGGCACAGTAAAGGGACTACTTTGGGTAGCGTCTGCATGATTCTGTGGTGCCACAGGCATCCTTGGATGTTGTGCATGTGGAATGCCACCAGGTAACATTGATCGTCCTCCAGGCATGTGAGCAGGACTACCCTGAGGGGTTTGCCTAGAACTGGAGGAGTTTGAATAAGACGGCGAGAACTGCTCATAGTTGCCACTCATCTGATGGCCCTGCTGGGATGGCCAATTCCTTGGAGAATTGTATTGAGGTCCTTTGAATACATGGGGATTATGATGCAGAATAGCCTTCAATAGTTCAGGAGTATTCTGCTGTGCCTCGAGTGGCTGCTCGAGACTGGCATACTGATCTTTGAGTTCTATGTGATCTGATGAGGTCTGCGATATGGAGGAGATCAGCTGTGGCACAAGACTCTCATCTCTCATGCTCAGCAAAATCTGTGCCTCGTCCACAACCCTAGGATGAAAGAGCAGTGACTGATTGGTCTTGGTTTGTGGCAGAGGCGTTGGCAGGGGCATCTCAGGCAAGAGCTCGGACAGACTGGCAATCCCAGCCAGGGTGGTTATTGGTACGCTTGGTATAACCCCATTCATTTTGATTGGTACTCGTTCTGGCATCTGATGGCTTGCACACAACCCGACATCAATTGGCAAATTTAATCGCGGTACCAGCAGAAGCGCTGAGCAATAATCTACGTGTGAATCTTTCTCCCTCCGTCTGCGTGGTATACGTATGTATTCTCACAGCACTAATTATCACTGCACATCCCCCACGTCCACGCACAATATAAAACAAACACGCACACACAGTCTGCGAGTCTGCACTCACTGCCGAAGGAAAAACCAGTGGCTGCTGCTACTGGCCGTTGAAGGAGGGCACAGCTCAGGTGCCCATCATCGGTTGAGCCACAGCAATCAACCGAACTTAGACGAGGCTCTGGTATCCTGTGCAACGCGATCCATGACAGTCACAGTCCGGCTGTAAACAAGAGACAAGACTCTTCCTATCTTTCTCTCTCTCTCTCTCTTTCTTTCTCTCTCTCTCTCTCTTTCTGTCTCTCTCTCCTTCTCTCTTCTCGGACTCGCGCGAGCGAGTTACATGATTCTCACGTTGAAGTTCGATGTGATCGCCTCTCTGTGAAAAACAACAAAACAATTGACGATGGAGCACTCGAATGCGGCAATCGATGAGTCGAGAGCCCACACAGGGAAACGGAATATATTTTACGCGCGAATTAAAGGCGGGAGTTGGCGCGGGCTTACCTGGCGCGAGAGAGAGCGAATGCCGAGTTTAGTGATGCGAGAGAGCTACAGCGAGCAAGACAGAGATAGATGTACGTGCAGCGAGTGCCAGAGCGAGAGAGATGATGATTCCGGGATTCTAGTGGTGTCACACACACTGAAAGCAAGCAGGAGGTGGACGCGCGCAGGACGACTTGGTTCTTTGAACGATTGCCGGTGGGGGCCTCTATTAGACCCGTTATCTTGGTCTCGATGAGCGACTCGTGTCGTCGATGAAACAATCGCCACAACAATCTTGAGAGGACCACTTCGGGTTCGCCGTTAGCTCGGGCTCACGCGTATTTATGGCTTGGCCAACGACAAAACAGACACAAAGGCGTCCATTTTGCTCTCTCTCTCTCGCACAGCAGCGCAGTGGCACCAACGATGCTGCTGCTGCTGCTGCGCTGTCTCCTCAGCTTGCCGCGCTGCTGCTGCTCTCTACGTTAGGCTGCGCTAAGCTAATACAACACACAGCAGTCGGGCCGGGGGTGAGGCGTGAGAGACGATGGCGCGGCAGGCGGAAATTGCGTCTGTATAAAATGAGTGTTGGTGTCGGTGTGAGCCTATATGTGTACGCTAGAGTCTTTTCGGTAAGAAACTTCGCGGCTTTAGTCACAGATGGCGCGACGGTTGCTAAGTCGATCGCGACTGCAACCTTCTCCATCTCTCTCTCTCTCTCTCTCTCTCTCTCTCTCTCTCCCTCCCTCCCCCTCCCCCTCCTTCCTCCCCTTCGCCGCGATGACGACGAAAGACGGGGGACGATTGTCATGTTTAATGATGATTATCAGCGCGATAATGACCCGATGAGTGCTGCCAACTAGTGTGCGCACGCATGTGCATTGCAAGTCTTTCACTTGACCGCGAAATTTTGAAAAATTGTCGTTTGTATCTGTAGCGCCTGCCACGTTAGATAACTGAGCTACAACTTTGCCATCGTCGTCGATGGTAAATTCCGTGTGGCTAAAGTGGAGTTTATTGCAATATTGCAATGTACAAGTATATAAGTATGTTTTGGCTTTTCTACGACCCTGTTTACGATTAGTCATCCGTTGTAATGTTTTTGCTTACTTAGGTATTCTTCACAGTAACGATGTATTCAATTTTTTTTTGCGTATGTGAGCTTCGATGATTATGTACAAGCCTTCTAGTGGAATTCTAGCGTATAATCTACATTTATTTCAGAGAAATAGAAATTTTCTTCGTAAAAGATTATTACAATATTAAGTGACACTCGTGTAGTTTTAATTTACACCACGACGATTTGAAGCCTTTCTCGTCGAATATATTCCTTGTGAGCTTGAGGCACGTAGGGATTCGTCTCTGGGTCCAAATTCAAACTGAAATAGCAAAACATGAAAATTATGTGACGTAAATGACAACGTTGATAAATGTAAGAATAAACAATAATAAATAAATGCACAAATAAATAATTGTCGTTTGCGATGTTGGAGATGAATAGATCGTTCGCGCACGACGTAAAAGCAACGATACGGTATATTTTCCACGAAAGATGTAGAAATAGCGGTGCTTGGCCAGACGAGAGCTTGGCGACGGGTTTTCGGCGTAGAGCGCTGGAACTCGCGAGCGATTTTCGAATGACGACAAATCGCAGACCCAATCGCGCAGCGAAGTCTGACCTGTAAAGCCTTGGAGCATCCCCGCAGTGCACGTTATACCACCAGTCGCACGCGAATTCCTTTTGATTGAAGATGGTGCCGTTGGCGCAGAGAAAAGTGGCGCCTTGGTCGCCTTCCCGGCCGTCGTGGCACACGTGGTACACCTGGCGAACGACGAGAGTCGAATTGCATGGACGAGGTTGCGGATGGGAGGGCGACGAGGAAAGGCGTACCTGGCAGCCGGTCTCCACGTTGGCATACATGCCCGGCAAGGCCGGCACGCGGGCGCAGCTGAAGCTCGTTTGGGGGATCTCGTGGTAGAGCGGGTAATCGATCCACGGTATGCCCGGTATTTTACTCAGGTCTTGCTTGTTCTTCTCCTCCTTCTTGCGCAGCGTGAAGTCCGCTATTGTTTGCAGGAGTCGGTAGTCCGAGTGCGCGCCGACTGCATCGCTGTCCTGCAAAGCTCGTCAATCGTCGAGTGTGGCAAACTAATATCGCGGCCGGATTTTACGGGCAACTAACGATCCTAATATCTTTTCAGTGATTTGGGGTAATTTACTCGATAAATTGCCTTGATGTAACTTGGGCACAAATTATGGCTTCGTTTTTCTCGTTGAAAGACCTAATATTTTAATAATGATTTATGTATGGCATATTAGCTGATTTATGGACGCGGTTTCTGGACTTTCGAATTAGGACGTAATTTTACTTTTGAACTGCGCATGCATCGTGTTGTACTGAACGTTCGCGCTATTCTACCAATTCAATTCATTGCGCTGCTGTGATATTTTGCCCAATGAGTTCGCATTAATGAAACGTTCGTCGATATCGTACTTCCTTTCGCCGATCAACGGACTTTCTCAGAACAAACTGCATGCTCTTCGCTGCCGCGCGTTGAAATTTATAATACTTTACCTATATAAAATGTATTCCAGCGGGCAGGGATATATGACCGTGGATAGAGCGATGGTTACAACTTGCAACGTTACAGCAATTCGTGTCTAAGGAAAGCGAGGGAAAGCGATCGATACATTTCTGAACTCTGCGTTTAGCGATTTGTAATATCGATCGGAATTCTTTTTACTTATTGTCGCAAGTTCAGCGCGCTGCTTTTGCGCGTGCCGACACGTGAGTTTTATTGGCAGTAGCTATCATTAGAAAGTAAAACTTTGCAACGGCGGTAGCTTCAAGGTTGATCGGCGGATACGAGGAGCTGTATCAACGAACGTAACTTTTACGATTGTGCGTCGGGTTTTGTGCGTCGAAAGCAAAATAAGGCTCGTGCGTATTGCCGGGTATAGGCTGCTTTCGGGATTTCTTTGTTTTCTTCCGATCTTTCATTCGCGCACGACTCGCGCGCTACACGACATCGCGATCCGTAGAGTCCAAGCGAAGGTAGAGTTCAAGGACATCGCACGTAAAAGAGCTTCTCCGACGAACGCGCAAATTATCCGCAACGAAGCGCGCGAAAGGGTAGGCACAGTCGAGCCGGCAGAAGCGGCACACGACGGAGAGCTTGCGGCTCGCGCGCGCTCGGCGATCGCGACGCAGACTTACGTGGCGGCAGAGCACGACGAGGAGCAGCAGCGCGGCGGCGAGGCAGCAGGCGGGAGCCGAAATCGCGTGCATGGCAAAATCCTTGCGCGGGAAAAACTGGCGCGCGCCGAGGCGCGAGCGCGCGTGCCCCCGCGGCAGCGAACCGGACGCGAATTATGTCACACACCACTGCCGCGCTCGCCGCTACGGCCAGCCCAGCAGGAGAAAGTCTGTTTACGTACCCCTCTACCCGGCGCCGCCACGATTGCATTGCGGCCGAGCTGCCGCGCGCTATCCGCCCATCTGCACGCGCTACGCCGAGAGAGGCTTTCTAGTGGCTCGAAAAGCTGCAAACTTTCTATAGCGACAGTTCTGCCGAATGTTCAAGGCGTTTTCTCTCTCGGTGCTGCGGCCGATCGTTAAAGCGAATAGGTAGAAATGCGCGCGTTCGCCCGCGTGCAAATTGGCCGACTTTGCAAGGCGCCGAGAGTGTCCCGAGCGCATTTTTCGAGGTGGAACAAACGAGAAGTGGTACTGCGCTATGCCGTTTGCGTCCCTCTCTCTCTCGCCGCTCTGCATTCTTTTACTATACGGTATAAGCGCCAGTCACTTTCGATTTTGTGCGTTGCCGTGCAAGCCTTATTTTTGTTTTCGAAATGCCGTATGGCTAATTCTCGCGCGTAAAGTTTCTCGGCTTTTTCTCTCTGGCTCTGCCTTGGATTTCTTTTGTCGTTCGCGCGCGGCAATGGCGTTTGGCATTTTCTTCTTTCCTTTTCACTGCTACGTGTTCCACTGACAACTGGCGACACTTCGTTGGCTGCTTCACTTTCTACATGATTCGCCGAACATTCGAATCTATCGTTCGATTGCACTGCTGCTGGATGGCTTGCAAGAACAGTGCAACGGCCTCGAACTGAATATTCTCACCTTGGACTCTGAAGTTATTACGTGAAAACACGCGCAGGCAAAAAGTTTGTTGTTTTTTCGTTAAACTTCTTTACGAATTGGCCGGCGTCATATTTCTTTCGGAACTTTCGAATTCGATCGGCCGATCGAGCATCAAACATGTATTCACGTCGGTCATCTCGTCGAGCGGGTACGAAAGTTCCGCTCGCGCAAGGTGGCAAAAGCTCGGCTCTGCGGTGTTTTCGTTTGTTGTTTTCACAGCGAGACAGTCGAACGTCGGTAATTAAACGGGCGCGCGCGGCGCTTGCGCAAACGAACAGAGAGAGAGAGAGAGAGAGAGAGAGAGAGAATAACAACAACGACGCCCCCGTTATTACGCGCGAGTATCGACTTCGATTGCACGTCTCGCGCGCGACCTCGTCGTTGTGCAAACGGGCCCCGGGAACGAAAGTATCGTGAGACACGTATCCATCGTGACGACGAATTGTTAGAGCGCAGGCGTGGGTTGGATTCGGATCGCGAGAGGCGACGGAAATACGTGTGGTTGTCGCGAGGCTCCTTGGGTTGGTTCGATGAAAAACAGGGTAAGACTTGGATCGGTGATCGCCTCGTTTTATTCGTCGATTGTTACAAATCGAAGGACTGTCCTCGTTCGATCCTCTCTTCGTCGTTCGAGCTTGCGATCCGTGATCGTCGCTGCGCTGGCATTGAAAAAAATATTAAAAAAATGTAACTTCGATTGATTCGCGCGAAGAGAAGAAAAGCCTAGTCCTCGCAGGACTTGACGAGAGGATGCAGCGAGACCGAGGCGCCGGAGCAGCTGACGGTGTTCCGTATGTAGTCGTGGAAATTGCTCTCGATGACCCAGACGAGGCGCTTGTATCCCGGCACGACCTGAGTCGGCAGTCGGCACTCGTTGCCCTTCTGTACCAGCAGGAAGTTGTCAGGGCGGAAGGCGGTGCCGGTGTTCCACATGTACACGTCGGATTGTCCTGCGCAAAAAGGGAACGGCGATTACAGGCTCGCCTGGAGAATTGAAAAGCGCTCGGTCCGCACGCTCGCGCGAGAGGTTTTATCGAGGCGTGTCGATCGGCGAGCTGTACTTATTGAGCTTGTTTCGACTAATCTATCGCATTGCACGTAGGCACGCAAAGTCGCGCGACCGTCTGGTAATTGTGCGGAGCGCATAAGTCGCAATTATCGAGAGAAGTGTGAGACTCACCTTTGTTGCGGAAGAACACGGCGGATCCGTTGTCCGTGCCCAAAATCACGATCTTGTGATGCTTCTGTCCGACATCGATGACCGTGCCGCTGGTCTTGCCTTCCCGCAAATTCTCGGCTCTGATCGCGTAAAGTCGACTTGCCCCGAGGTAGGTGAAGTAGAGTATCGGGGTGCCGCAGCTCCTTCTCACGAGCGCCAGGTACAGAACGTCTTTTCTAGAGCTACCCAAAGTGACGGCCTTCGGCAGTACCACGCGATAGCCGTTGTCGGTCGTCACGTTGTACACGATGATGGCTCTCGTCGCAGCGTCCGACACGTACAGAAACACTTGGCCGTCGTTGGCGTAGTCGACCACCAAGTATTGCAGCCTCGAGTTCGCGCTGACGAGGTTGCCGAGATCGACGACTTTCACCACTTTGCCCGTCTTCACGTTGATACCGACGACCTTCGGCGGACATCTCCTGACTGGCTGCTCCAGCGTATTGACGATGCCGACGTCCAACACCCAGAGGACGTCCTGCACGTCGAGCACGACGTCGACGGCGCTTTGCAGGGCTTCGCAGTTGCCTTCCTCTTGGATCGGCCAGTTGGGAAACGGACTGATTTGCGGCGTGCAGCTTCGGCTTCTCAGCGAGGTCACTCCGAGGGTGAACGGCACGCCGGACTTGTAACGCGGCATCGCGACGATCGCTTCGTCCCGGTAGATCTGCATCCGAGTGGCGATTACGTTTCGCGGGATGTAGCGACCGGAGGATTCGTAGATGCTTCTGGAGATCGAGCACGGCCAGTCGAGGTTTTGACCGGCGAGGTTGAAGGAAAGCTCCGGCAGCAGCTGGCGGTCGCAGCTTCCCGCCGACGACAGCCTGACGTGCGGCGCTAAGAGCAGAACGCTCAGGATCGCACTCCTCATCGTTGCGTCACAACGATGCTGTGCAATGGCTTACGGGCTTACCAGTCGACGCGGATTCTCACGTAACCGAGCCATTACTCACTTATATATGTGCGCGTTAGCGTTTACCCAAGCTGTTTGACTTATATGTTTACGCGAGCTCGAGGGCAATCAAATCGTTGAACTGCAATGACCTTCACCTCTGACAGTTGACGTTGCCACGAGCATTCGAGAATTTACCGACTTGTGCAAGTTTGCGTAAGAGTTCGCGGCCACGAGACTTTTCTTCGCTCACGCGGATGTTTGGGCCAGCAATTATGTTAACAGTAAAGTGCGGCCGCAAGACCACTGTTTTTTAAATGCTCAATTCTTTTCGTTCAATTTTTATTATTACTTTGATAATCAGTTTGCCGGGGTAGGCAGTTCCATCAAATCAACCACGAATTGGACAATCTCGTATTCGAAATAAGAAAGCTTGGAAAGTTCGGAACTCGCGTCGTTTCAACGTGTCTATTGAATATTTATCACTCGTCGTTAGCAAAGACTGGAATTCCCATGCAGAAGCGCGTTAATAGCGGAGAAAAATGAGTACAGGAATAAGCACGACGTACCGAGGAGCGGAAACATCGAAAAATCATCGCAAAGGCTTTGCAAGCGCATCGCGTTATTTCCAAAACACTCCCCGTCAACTGGCCAAAGCGAAGTTTTCGCATATAAGACACCGGAACTCGAACGGACCGCGGTAATCGAGATGAGGCTCCCGGCGCTCTTTCCGCTGCTGACTCTGCTAGGCGTAGCTGTCGTCGCCTACGAGCCGCCGTCGCAAAAATGTAAGGCCGTCGTTTGGTCGGGTGGCAATAGCATCGAGTGGCCGAGTCCGGCCACGAAAGCGCAGTACAAGAGCGAGGGGAAGTACATCGGCAGGAACGTGATCGCCACTCGCGCGGTCATCCACAAGGACGACGCTTACCTCGCATTGCCAAGGTACTTCGCATCTCGATTCCCTGGTTATCGTCGACGAGCTCCGCTCAATTCCGTTCGTTCGACGGTGCAGGTACAAGTCTGGCGTTCCGTTCACCTTGGCGCGCATCAGCCTCAAAGGTAGAAACTGCCGGACGAGTCTGAGTCCGTTCCCGCGCTGGTCTCTCCACGACGAGGGCAACTGCGCTGCTCTGCAGAACGTCGTCGACGTGTTCCTCGATGCCCAGGACATCCTCTGGGCGCTGGATACCGGCGTCGTCAATTCCTTCGAGGCGACCGCCAATCGCACTTGCCCGCCGAAGGTCGTCGCCGTCAACGCAAGATCCGGCAAGGTACGTACGGTCGGCCCGTGGCTTTCGCGGATCGCGCGTTCCGCGCTGACTCGTGCGTGCATCGTTGCTTGCAGGTGGTGAAGTACGTCGATCTGAGCAGCCTGACCAACAACGAGTCCCATCTGCAGTACGTGATCGCCGACTACAGCTACGACGGCCGGGTCTTCGCGTACGTCTCGGACGCGTCGAACCGCGCCATACTGGTCTTCGACGTGAGCTCGGCTCGCGGTTACCGTCTCATCCTCCCGGAGCACGTGGCTCTGGGCAGTACCAAGCGAGACGTTCTTTACATTGGCTTGGTGCGTCGTCCCGACCACGCCAATTTCTTGCTGCTGAGTTACATCAACAGCAAGCACGTTTACGCGATCGCCACGAGTTATCTGCACAGTGGCGAAGCCAACGCTCGAATCGACGATCTGGGACCGAAATTGGCTAAAATCGTGTTTTTGGGAACGGACAACGGGAGCGCGGTGTTTTACAGAAGGGAAGGCGAGAGCGACGTTTATAGGTGGGACTTGATGGAAAGTCCGATAAGCCATTACATGAGTATACAGAGAGTTTACAAAGGCAATAATTATGCTTTGCCGACGCAAGTTAGCGTGGATTTGAAGAGAGGCAGAATCAGGATTCTCGAGTCCAACTTCCCGGATTTCTTTCAAGGCACTGTTGGTTGTGGTGTCAATCATGCGCTGCGATTGTTCTAAATAGCACTCGACTGCGTACGATTTCCTTTGGTATCAATTGCATAAATCAATAATTGCGTAAATCAATAATTGCGCGTGAGAAAAAACGGAATGCGAGCGTCTTGCTCGTTCCTGTTCTTTCTTTTTTCTCATTGTGCCTCGGTACGCGTAAAGACCTGCTTCGGTCTAATTGAGTGTCGGTTATTTTTCTCTTTGCACAAGCCGGGTATCAATGGTTTCCAGTACGACAGGTTGATCTACGTGCAGGCGCCGAAGCGGAAGACATTCGTTGTTCGATTGCATGTGAACGAAATTGAACGTAGCGAGATGACTTTGAATGTAGAGCAAATAAAGACAAATGCCGTAATGGTCTGCAACGATCAGATGAAAATTATGTATTACAATTTTTTTATAAAACTTTCTGTGTTGTTATCATTGCATTGAATGCGTAATGTAACATAATGTAAATAAATAGAACTACTGAGAATCAAATAGCAATTTTATGTTTCGTATTTCTAATTCTACTCCCGAATCAAGATCAAAAGTTGGCGCTAAGCTTAACGGTAAAAATATAATCCGAATTCAAGAAAATGCACTTTGTTTGGATTTTCATAATTTTTATAGAGAAAATACGTGTAATCCTGTGTAAATTTGGTTTATTTGAAAGCACGTGCGCTCAACGGTAACAAAAGAAATTCATATCGAGCGTAGTGTTTCCTCCTTTGTTAACGCACAACGTTGGTCGAAAAACGTACAATTTTGTGGCGCAATCGTACTCGGGTACTTGACAATAACGATGCTTATTATTGCTAAAAATGTCGACGACCAAGCGCCAAGTGTCATTTGTTTTATTTGCACCGTGGGCCGTCAACTTGTCGGCGAGTTTACAGTCCACACGCGGTAAGGACAAGACGATAGTCGTCGCGGAGGCGCATCTGCGGAAGTACCAGCGATACATTTTTTTCCTCGAACCGGTCGTTTCCATGAGCGATGTTTTCGAAAGAAATCACGTATCTCGCGCGGTCTCAACTTTATATCCGACCAAACGAATCCGCGAGCGCACAGTTGCAACTCAGCCGCCCCGTCGCGGAAAACAAAAAGCGATGCGCAATCTACTGGCGGTCGCGTTGGTCGGCCTCGCCGTGGCCACGGCCGAAGAACAAGATTATCCCGATGGTTCGAAGGGAGTGTGCAGGAACGTGAGATGGTCGGGTGGCGATTCGATCGACTGGCCGTGCGCCGTGACCGAGCAGCTGTACAAGAGCAGCAACAAATTCATCGGCAAAAACATGCTGTCGACTCGCACTGCCGTGTACGATGACACTGCCTTCCTCGCTTTCCCCAGGTATGCGTCGCGCGTCCAATTTCGCAACTGAAAGTCTCGACGGGCCGCGCGTTGCGCCACGCTTCGTTTCCGCGCTCGTCCGATTCGCACGACGGAAGTAACGCGTGGAAACGCTTGCAGATTGAAATCCGGGATCCCGTTCACTCTGGCCAAGGTGAGCCTGCGGAGCAAAGGCTGCGAGGCGAGTATAACGCCGTTCCCTTGCTGGTCGCTGCAAGAGGAAGGCAACTGCGCCGCCCTGCAGAGCGTCGTCGACGTATTTCTCGACTCGTACGGAATCCTCTGGGCGCTCGACACCGGCATCGTCGACTCGCTGGACTGTCCCGTGAGGCGCTGCTCGCCGAAAGTCGTCGCGATCAACGCCAGGACCGGAAAGGTGCGGCCTGCCGGGCTTCGCTCGCCGACGACCCAATCGCTAACGCTCGACGTTTGCTTCGCAGGTCGTCAAGACGATCGATCTCAGCCCGCTGACGACCGATCGATCTCGCCTCCAGTACGTGGTGGCCGACTACGCCGAGAACGGGCACGTTTTCATCTACGTCTCGGACGCAGCCAGCCGTGCCGTTCTCGTATTCGACGTCACCTCGGGTCGCGGCTATCGCGTGATTCTGCCGAAAGCGGTGACCAGCGGCGCTGCTCGCCTTGACGTTCTCAGCCTGGCACTGATTCGTCGTCCCGATGGTACCAGCTGTTTGTTATTCACTTACTTCAGCGGCAGCAACTTGTTCTCGATCAAGACAACTTATCTGCAGTCCGGCCAGGCCAATGGCAAAGTCAACGATCTCGGCCCGAAGAAGGGAAAAGTCGTGTTTTTGGGGACGGACAACGGCAGCGCGATTTTCTTTAGACGCGAGGGCGAGAGCGACATTTACAGGTGGGATCTACTTGATTGCCCCACGAAAGAGAATATTTTGAAGGTTTACAAAGGGAAGAAGTGCGAGTTGCCCACGCACGTTGTACCCGATTACAATAGGAGCAGGATGAGGGTGCTCGAGTCCAATTTTCCCGATTTCTTCCAAGGCACCGTTGGCTGCGGTGCCAATCACGCTCTCAATATTTTTTAGGTGCGCAACCGTCGTCCAAACGTTCATCTTTCCTTCGTTCGCGAAACGCGCCACTTTCGTAATCGCTCTGTCTGATTTTTTTCGCAAATGCTTTTCTCGGTGACTACGCGCAATCACATTCAAGTTCACATTTTGTGCGGCGCGCTTGCTTCGAATGGGCGCATTTGAAACTACCGCGGGCAACGGCACGTAGCTTTCGCGAAAGCCGTGTGTTTTTTCATCCGCGCTGCGTGCTTCGTAAATCTTGGCAGAATTTCTTTCACTCGACATCCGTACGCAATTATTCGTCTTTTTTCATCTTTTCGTAATGGAAAAATCAAAATTATTGCTGTACTCGCGCAAGAGAATGATAAAGTATTTTACGCGAAAACGAGTAGCCAGACGATAAGTCGGGAATAATTTAACAGCCATAGTACAACGAGAAGAATTCATCACGTTTATGAAGAGACAAGGAAGCAACGTGTTTTGCCGAGTGTACGGAGAACTGAAACGAACTGTCGTTAAATATAACGCTCATAATTTTATAGAGTTGCGTACGAAAATAATAATTAAATTAATAATTTAAAAGCGACATTCCGAATCGGAGTGATATCCATGTACCGAATAAAAAGAAAAAAAAGTCGTTTTCGTTTACCTTTCAGAAATTCCATGCAAATCCATAACACTTTTACGTTGCTATTACGAGTGAAATTTGCAGACGAAACCGTCGACCAGGCAGACTGTTGACGGTGGAATTTGTATTGCACGACGTTAACAATAATGCAAATGCTGTAAGCGTAATAAAGGTTTCTGTTTGACGCCGAATGAATGTACATTAAATCAGAGCAAAATTATCATATTATATTTCGATCATTACTTGCAACTTTCACGTTTGACGTAATAATGACAGATACTGTGAAGCGAAATTCGAAAGGTAATGCCCCGCACAAAAGAATATCTTTGGAAGGATTGTTATGCGCGAACAATAGATCAAAGAAAATGTCCTTGAACGACACGTAACAAAATCGAGCCCGCGAATCCAGCCAATGCCGCTGTTATTGCATCAGCCCCGCGCGATCCCAATCAATTGGGCGAACGAGTCGCGAAGCGCCCCGGGCGCAACCGAAATTCAATAATCTACACACGCGTGTCGCGCGAGGACGATTGTAAGGATGAGAGAGAGAGAGAGAAAGAAAACTGGTATCTCTACCTCTACGATCGCCACATGGACGGCGCGTTGAAATTCCACGCAGGGCGAACCCGGTGGCCGATCGTCTCGCGTCGCGCCGAACGTAATAATTCGTAGCAGCAGCGCGATCGACATTTACTTCGCTTATTTGTATAGGAAGTAAGAGTTTCGGTTCGAAGGGAAGATCGGCTATATGTATATATATAAGTGTATACGTCGTTCCATAGCGAGCTAAGGAAGGATATACGCGAGGGTCGAGTGGAAAGTAACGCAAAATGATTCCAACGGCAGCTTGGAGAACTTCCTTCATCCAAAAACGGATATTGTAACGAGACAATTTAAATCTGATAATCGTACATACGGGCTCGCGTATTTTCATTATCCGACTGCCAGATCTATAGTGTTACTTGTTACACCAATCTGTGCGGCACGTGATGAAATGCATATATTATTCCAGTGAAATTACATAATTTGATATGCAAGTAAAACGTCATACCTATGTATGCGCGCATTTTTATGAATTGGATACTTCGGTTAAATAACTGTGATTCATTATTTAGCAATGAGTTCTAGTAGACTACGGGAAGACAGTTGTCAGAAAGGTATATCGAACCTCTACCTGTTCACCGTATAATGAGGCATCAGAAAACGAAAACGAGCTCTTTAATGAGATCAATCGTCTAATTAAGCTTTCAGCTATACATATAGTAGCACATATTTCCCTCAAATTCCCCATTCAAATGTAAGTTTAGTAATAACCAATCGGTTTGTTATTTATCGGTTGTCACAAACGAATTTATAAAAAAATATCGGTTGTAAGTGATTTAACAGCAATTTTGAGAGGGGAAGAGGTCGTGTCGTAACGAGTGTCACGGAGAAAGTTGTGAATATTGACGCCAGATATTGGACACATTTTTTCATCATGACATTGATGTAGTTGACTAATTGCTAATAAGCAATTAGTCAACTACATAAGCGTGGGGCGTTGATTAATCGGTCGGGCAAGTTGCTGCTACAAGCCAGGTTCGGAAAAATGAGATTTTAATTGTTTGCGTGTAGTCCCTCGGTATGCAGATTTATACGGTGGATTTATGAGATGTAGTGTACGCAGTTCCATTGCTGTGAAGGGATATTGCGCGTGTTGCAAAAGCTGCTGACTTATAGTGTGGGTGGGGGTTCGCGATTTTTTCGATTCCGTTATCGGAAGAATGTTTGGGTGCAGTGATTTGCGCTCTTTCGTCGTTTAGATACATACGGTCTACTTGCCGATCCTGAATTATTACAATTCCAACTTTGTCAATTGTTTGCCTTGATAATTTAACACAAGCGCGAAGTCGTCTCCAAACGATGTAGTTCAATGAAAATTCAAATCGAACTAATGATCCGACCGGAGTAAAAAGAAGTGAATCAATTAGAATGCTCTTGTCGGCGACTGCACTACTCTCAAGCGAGTGTCCCCAAGCTCGCGCGTCGTCCGGTTTGTCAGGTGTAAAAAATCACGCAACCGTCACATCCAGAAACAGACGTAGCCGCACAGGTCGAGTTCTACAAGTTTCGCTAAATAAAGAAGAAAAAAAAAAACAAAAGAAGAGAAAAAAGTAGCTGTCTGTCCCGCGGGACATATTCCACAAGCGAGGCTTGGGCGGCTGACGAAGGCCGTAAATCTCGCGAAAAAGGGTGCGCGCGATGAATTACGCGAGATTTTTGGCGTTCGAGCCGTCAAGCTTCCAGAGCACCTGACACGAGCGGCCATCGTGCGCAGCATTTTGCATGCGCGCGCCAGTTACGCGGATGACAAGTGGACGAAGTCGAACGCTCGACCGTTCGCCTTCGGAGAGCCAGCTTATTTCGTAAATAAAAAAAAAAAAAAATCTTGACTCGCAGTTGGGAAAGAACGCATCGCGGCGACACGAGTGCGATCGAGCGATGCAATTCAATTAGGGTTCTGCCTAGTTTACAATCGAGTCAGTTTACGTTATAAGAGGCGCGGGTCGTTCGCGTTGTTGCAAAAGTAGAGTTCGCTCGAAGAATTTGCTTTGTGCCCGCGGTCGCTTCGCACGGATTCAACGCGCAGGATATTCAGCATACGTATCAAACTGCTCGACGGGGAACGACACGCGGAAGAAGGCGAACAAAGCCAAAACTCGCTCGCACACGCGTGGGCAGTGGAAGAGGGATTTTGCTACTAAAGCGACACGCACCGCCGAGCACGTAAACGCGCGGCAACGGTGAACGACTTCCTCGAGCGCCTATTAAATCTACGTGTAGCGTAGGACGCGCTGCGAATTATCGATATCGGCGCGTCATGTAATCGAGAGTGGGGGGGGGGGGGGGGGGGGGTTCACGAGCAATCCGTCATTGCGAGTAATTGAAACGTCCTGGTGCAGCCAAGACGCCGATTTAACGCGTGCGCGAACGGGCAAAAGTGAAAACGCGGTCCTCGCGGGTCTCCGACAGCTCGTCGGATTTCGGACTGCGCCACTCGTTGGCCCAAGCTCTACGATTCGCCGTACTGGCGTGGTCCGCTACTTCGATTTGTCGCAAGATGTGTCTGCTCGACGATAGGTCTGCGTGTATTCTTTTTCATTACGGTGACAGCTCGCATCGTCACAGTGCGTCACTGCGCGTGGCCAACGGTCGCGCGAACTTGAGTTCCACGCGAGTGCTTTTTTTTTTCCTTGCGTCGAACGGTAATAAGTATCCTTAGTTGACGTTCCGAAGGTGCAGCGACGTGCGTCGAGACGATTGCATGCGTGCTCCCTTTGATGCGAGTCAGTATAGATACCGATGCCGATCTCTCTATGGAAAAGAAAGATACTTCTAACTCGTATGTCTCAGCGAGACGAAAATGACATGATTGCTTCGACACGCTATCGTTTGCTAATTCCATGGCTCTGCTGCGCCGCAGATTAATTTGAATTCGCGAAACCATCAATTTTTCCAATCAATCCGCCAACAAAGCGAACGGCTAATCAATTGCACGCGATAGCGATGCAGCTAGCTCGTTCTCATGTCTCCCTTTTTTTTTCAACCAAATCGGGCGCGCGCGCGCGTTCGAGTTCCCATAGCCAATGACCAGGCAAAGGCGTGGCAGGCGTATCGGCCCCGGACCCCTTTCTCACTTTGTGTATTGCACGTATACACAAGGTCGTCCGCTCCGCACTCTTGCGCTCGGTCGTTCATCGGGATGCGGATGCATAGATAACACATTGTTTTTCGTGATCTTATATTTCGTAATTGGCGATCTATACGTTGAGTTGGATCCGCTCTTTCCTTCGCGGCAACCTGGTCGCGGCGCGATTGTTTCAGCTTTTCTGTTCTTTCTCAGTCTGCGCTTGGCTGTTTATCTTCTCGCTCGCTTCGGCGGACGAAGATCTTTCTCATTGTTTTTGTAGAAATGTTGAGATACGTATGAATTACTGTGAGAAATTGGTTTGTTTAAAGAAATAAAGATTATATTTTTTTCACGGTAGTTCTTAAGGACATTGAACGTAAATTATATTATTAGAAGAAACGAATCGAGAGTAGTGAGCATTGAAAAATAGTAATTTCAATCTTCACTTTCCTTTGGAAAATTAAATGGGTCCGATCTTCGATCCGATAATCATGAAATTATGCGAACATACTCCATATTCGATATTACGTATACATTAGGCGGATAATTGGTACTTTGTTATTTAAAAAGCCGTTAACATTACTAAATCCGTAGTGATGGATATCGAGAACGACAAAAATAAAAACAAATTTTTCACATCCGCGATTACGCACGAAGTGCACACGCACGTCCAGTCGCGGCTGCGCGCGATTCCTGGAAAACTCCCATTACGATCGACTTTTCGCCTGAGAAAAACGGAAACTCGACTGAAAAAAAAAGAGAGCTCGGGCGATGCCATTAGCACGCTCGAGCATAAATGCAGCTCGCGTTATAATTGCGTCGAATCTTGTGATTATATCCCAGTGGATTATAAATGTGTACGCCAAGAGGGGAAAATGTCGAGTCGCCTAAATTGCATACAATATGAGTGTTTTATAGTAGTACCGGTTTCTCGCCGTTGGATAAAAAAACAAATTGTTATTTGAATGCTTTACACAAAGCTCTTATCGTATAGAAATGCGATCGTTTGATGTAACACGTGCGGGGGACTAGTTGCCATTACAATACCGGTATTAAGATGTTTTTTTTTCACAATGCGTCGACGTCCGAGTGTACTACAGATGATCTTATATTTATTCCTCACTGGTGTTTATAGTAACGCTACGCAAAGTGTGTCTAGTTCGTGTTATACAAAGTTGAAAAATCCTGAACGTTCAATCTCTCTTTCGCTCTTTACTTTCTGGGACGCGTTGCATCACATACATTCACACTGAACTTTCATTCTTAATTGGGTGAAAAGTTGCAGTCACCTTTATGGGTCCACATGTTTTTTTTCTTTCGGTTTAGCCGGTTTTTTTTCCAGAGAAATTCCGAGTTCAGTTGTTAATTCAAAGTGTCCCATTTTTTTTTTCTGTCGCGAAAACGACCAGCCTTCCGTTTTGTTTGCTTGGTCGATAACCAAAATGAAACTCTTCGCCTTTTTCTTTCTTCGAGTGGAACAAATTTCGAACGAGCGAATTAATAGCACGCGCATATGAAATATGGCGCACGAGCTAAAAAAAAAAAACGGCTAAAGCCGCGGCCGCTATTGTGAGGCGAACGTGAGAAAGTGTCGATCAACGTGGACAAGCAATTAGTGGAGTAAAATCGTTGGATGCTGCAACCATCGTAGAACAGGTCCTTCTATGCATTCTAAGGCGCTTAGGCAAATGTGTCGTGATGCGGCTAGCATTGATGCACAATTCAAAGGAAGAACGGCCCTGCGCACTTGTGTAATTTTTTTTGGCGCAACGTACGAGAATGCATTGTTCGAGGCCGTAATATCACCTTCGCGTGACACTTTTCTCGGAAAATTAGCGTGTGTACAGGGCGCCATTATCCCATGGCTACGGGACTAGAGGTGTCAATAAGAGAGAGAAAGAGGAAGGGAGAAAGACAGAAGAGTCACGATCCCGTATCGTAAAGCATGCTCGCCGCGACTCCCAAGTTGTACATGCATATCCAATCGAAAACTTTCGAAAGGTCGATAGACAGAGGGAGTGTCTCTCCCTCCGCTCGTCCGTGTGTGTGTGTGCGAGAGCACAATGAGATAGTAGCCTAGGGGATACACCGAGGCAAGCGCGAGCGCGCCTGCAGAAAATTGGATCAGCCGTGGCGTGGCGCAGTCAGTCGGTACTTGGCGAACGTAGCCTGCGAGCGCAAGTGTGCTCCGTGTGCTACCAAAGCGCGCGCGCGCGGTTCTTCGGCTCCTCTCTCGTTCTTTCCTCTTCTTCGTTTTTCTTTTAGTTTTCTTTTTTATTTGTGACTTTTGAACATGAGGTGAGTGCTTGCAATTTTTTGTCTTAGTGAATTCAGTGGTGATTAATCGTCTTTCTCGCGTTTCTTTTATTAATTTGTGAATTCACGCGCGCAAGGGAATCGTACGCTGTTTTACAAGGTGTATACATGCGAAAAAAATTGTTACGCCGCGTTATAACTGATGAGCGGTTCGCGCTGTAAGAAATTTTCACCAGATTGTTTGAAAAATGCTTTGCGACGCGATTGATTTTTTCGATGATTTAATTGCTACTAACGTGGTAAACACGATAGCTAGTATAGGCATCATAAATGAATTCCTTTTTTCCGATTTCAGTGACGTTAACTGTGATAAAAACATTGATTGCTTGAACGTTCGTTAGAATTATTCTTTTTCAATCGTCAGGTTCGACAAGCTTGTCCCTTTTACCTATGCATACGTTTTGTTCCCGAAAATGATTTAATACGAATTGACACCCGAGATTTTCAATTTCGAGCTCTATCGTTAGTTAAAACGAGATAAAATCTGAGAAAAATTGAAATATCATTGTGAACTACTGTCCGAGTCATGAGTTCACTAAAATTATTGATCGTAAAAGTCGAAGGAATCGCACGAGCAATATAATTCGGATATGCATCTCCAAAGAAAACATCGGCGCACGCATAGTTGATCGCGCGTGCGTGCCGACGACACAAGCTTGCAGAAAAGAAACTTTCACAATTGTCACTTGCATCCAAAAGTAAAACAAGACCCTAACACGCGATTTCGCCAGTCAACCTGTTTCAAGGCCACGTAACCACATCATTCGAAAGTCCATGACTTTGTAGCTCGCGCGCAAGAGCTATTGATAATTAATGCAAAGAGCGACGAGTTGTAACAGGCTTGCAGTTTGCTTCGATTACCGAAACACGATAAGAGTGGTCGCGTGTGTAATCATGTGTGCATTTGTAATCCTATATACACGTATTCCGGTTGCCTAATGAAATCCAATTTTTCTCTTCTCGCAAGCTCTCCCCGCCTATTTCTTTTTTCTCCTCTTTCCCATAGGCCGAGTTGCGTTGCTCATGTGACTCTATGAAAAGGTAAAAGATCAGATTACCCGGAAAAGGCTTGTACTAATGATCGCGACGCCGCATCGTGGGTACATATGTCGATTGTTCGATTGTCGTGCTACGCTTTCCATTGTCCAGTAAAAATAAAAAAAAAAGACTGCGCGCCGATTCATTGACGACTACGTTGGATAACGTTGCGGCTCGTCGTTTATTTTTTTTCACACTCTTTTGGGTTTTTTTTTTCAATCGTTCGAATTTAAAGGTTTTTTTTCGTAAGGACAGTGGTTAGATATCCGTGATGACCATTATATGCGATAAATTACTAGATAATGACAAGGCCCATTTGGGTAGTTTCTGAAAACTTGGCTAAAGTGGATAAGTAGGGCTTTTTGAGAAAATAAAAAAGTTTTCTAAGTAAGAAGTGAAGGACTGCCGGATTATTGCATTCGGTTCGGGTGGACACTTAGAAGTGCATATCTATTTCAAGAAAAGCTTGAAAATTTTTGTTTTCTATGATTCACTTGTCAATGTAGAAACGATGAATGGTAGAAAAAAAAAACGGGAAATCAACAAGAATAGACTCAGCTACAGACATCTGTATAAATAGAATCCTTATGAAAATTTTGATGATCGTTATTTTTAAGTATTTTTTATAAAAGGGTGCATTAGGCATGCGCGCACAATTAGCGTATTTAATGAAAAGGCGCATCACGTTTATCAGCTTAAAATAGATACACAGCGAGCTGCGCGACGGCCTGGCCAAAAGCATGCGAGTGCTCGAAAGAGAAGCGGCGCATAAGCCATGCGCTTGTCGCGATAATCACGCTGGCGATAAATATTCGCGGTCGATAATCTAGAAAGCGCAGTCAAAGGAGCTCGAGCGCGCGCGTTTCGCTCATGCATAGGGATTCCAGCTGTGTCATTGTCTCTCTCTCTCTCTCTTGCGCTCCCGGCTGTGCGCTTTTAGAAAGGAAAAGCACTGGATTGGACAAATCCAACGTCGCTTCCGATGTCCGCGAGTCGCACGAGCAACGTCACTTTTCATGCAAATTACGCGCATTAGTAGAAAGTAACATTAGCGACGATTTTCCGGACGTAGTAGAGAGTGAGTGAAAGAGAGAGAGAGAGAGAGAGAGACAAAGTACATCGCGAAGAATAATCATTCGAGCAGCCGAAGCGACAACTTCGTGTGTACGCATGGCCAGCTACAGACGTGAATCCGCGTGTGATTCGAAGGGCCGGCCCTCGCCTAAACGCCGCTCAGTCAAAGTCAAACGCTAGCGCCGAGATTTCTTTCTTGATTGTTGACTTCGACGCGTTCGAACGTGTCGCCGTAAAGCGTTAATTACTTTCAGAAACTTTGGGCTCTTGTTCCTGCTGAGCTTGCTGGTGGCATCGACGTGCAGCGCCGACGTCCTGGAGACAATAGCACAGTGGCCGCTGCTCGAGTTCGCTTTCCCCTACGATCCGGCGTTCCTCGATCTCTTTCAACCCGAGAACGTCGTGCCCACGGGCCTGGAAGTCGGCTGGCATCGAATTTTCGTAGCCACGCCGCGATTGAGAGCCGGTGTGCCGGCTACTTTGGGTTTCGTGCCGCGAGACATGCCATTGGGTAGCTCACCGCATTTACAGGCAATTCGCTTAATTTCAGTATAAAAACAGAATTACGCACAATTACGATTTCGAGTATATTGGAAGGAGGCGTATTTTATTACCTCATTGCTCAAATTTTGTCCCGTAAAATTGAATTGTCTCTGACTTTATTTGGCCTGTGAACAAATGCTGCAAAGACTTCCGCGCGAGAATTTAGACGAATAACGTTTTGTGTGTACGCGCGGTGAATAATCATTCATATTTATAATCAAGTAAGTTCATCTACGTTTGTTGTCTTTCGTAACGTGAAATTTATCGTATCATTTTTCAACGTCGAGTCTCTGAATTATACTTCAACTTCAATTCACTTGGCATATGATTAACGGTAAAAGGATATACTTGAGCAGGTTCAAGCGTTGAGTTCTTTTTGCAGGAATTATACAAGTCGAGATAATTGGTTGAGTCACCGAACGCTTTATACGAGGAAAATAAAACCGACCAAATTTCATAAAGAAATGCCGCTCTTGCGACACGAAGTCACACAAAAATAGAACGTACCATCAAGTTTTGTAACGAAAGAGGCGTTGACAAATGATCAATCTCGTGAATGCACAGGCGTACCCGTCGTGGGACTGGCACAGTGCCGGCAAAGGTGACTTTAATTGCTCCAAATTGATCTCGGTGTACCGAGTCCGAGCTGACAGATGCAATCGTCTGTGGGTCCTCGACAGCGGTATCAACACTTCCATCGATGACTTCACGGTGCTTTGTCCACCCAAGATATTGATCTTTGATCTGCAAACCGATCAGCTCGTTCGCATTATCACTTTCCCTCGCGAGGTAAGCTTATATTCAAACGGGCTTGGGCAAGTTGAGTGAGTGGCGTGGTACACGCTTAAGTTTCACTGTTCTTGTGCCGTGCGCTGTAGCAGCAGTTTGCGCACATTATTAACAGCACGAAGATCGTTAGGTTCGATGTTGTAAAGAATTTCAGCCTAATGTCTTCATCGTTGCAATATAGCCCTTGATAATTGATTCTCTTTACATTTAACGTGAGTTTCCATTTGCATGACAGTCATTCAAAATTCTGATCGACGTTTATTATACAGCAAGAATTATTACAGCTTATAGTAAAACGAGTTCTTTATGTGGAATTTTAATTAATGGCACAGGTCGATCGAGGAAAACAACGTAAATCTAATGATCTGTAAATGATTCTTTTCACTTCGCAGAACGTGCGACCGAACTCGCTATTCACGAATCTCGTGATCGACGATACGACGGCGACAACTTGCGACGACGTTTACGTTTACATAACGGACACCACGGGTCCCGGTAAGTTTGCCTCGCCTCGCACTGAGCACGGACAATTTTTTCATTCGACGCGCATTCGATTAATTATGTGTCGACGTTGCAGGACTTGTAGTACTGGAGGGAGCAACAGACAGGAGTTGGCGATTCCTGCATTCGTCGATGTTCCCGAATCCGGATATGGCGCAGTATCAGGTAGAATTATAAACGAAAATTTTGCAATTCAGCTTTTATTCTCGTAGAAACAATGGTTTCACAAGTTGGATAATTGTCTTGCGTTACCATTTGCATCGTGGAAATTTCATGTTACAGAAGTAAATTGTGACGTTATGAGTTGCTTTGATAATTATAAGTTTGTGCCTGATTTGGACGTTGAGTGGTAATATAATCCTAATATTGTCACGTTTCGTTTTAATGAGCGTTCAACTTATCCCGCGCTAAAGTATTCGTAGATGTATGTATATACTTACTCCGTCTATTCTAATAATTACTGTATTGTAACGATTCTGTTGCCCTCGTGCATCGAAATTTCATCGGAAAACTAATCGTTTCAATTGGGGCACTTTTGCTATGTTCGCTACTGTTTAACGAATTCTCTAATCGACGGATTGTTCGAATGTTTCTGTACGAAGCCGCCATAAAGAGATATTATCGCGGGTGTAAAATGATTGCGGCAGTATACGCCGATAAATGATTTTGCGAATGAGACTGAGAGCACGGTCCCCAGCGAGTCGTTGTAGCGAGAGACGAGGAACGGCCGCCCAGTCACTTGCGCGTCAGCATCGCGAAAGTTAACCCACCGACGACAATTACAGATTGGCCGCGACACGTTCGAGCTGTTCGACGGCATAGTCGGAATAGCCTTCTCGCCTCGACTGGGAAGCGTGTATTACCAGCCCTTGGCCACCGATCGCCTCTACAGCGTGCCAGCGTCGGCGCTGAGAGCCGGCCCACCTGCGTTCGGCGACGTGCTCCCGGTCACGCTTATCGGGCGCAAATCCAGCCAGGGCATCGGACTGTCCGTGGATCCACGCGACGATACCATTATCTTCGCGCCTCTCAGCGAGACTGCCGTGGCTGCCTGGCAGCCGCAGACCAACACCCAGAGGTAATTGCTTTCTCCGCGCCGCGCCCGAGCACGCGTTAAGTAAGTGCCGGAGAAAAGCCACACACATCCGTTGTTTTTTACTTATAAAAAGAGACTGCAGAGATTTATTTTCGAAACATAGTTTACCGCATACGGAAATTCAATGGATATTACAATAACTTAACGTCTGCGACGAATAACCGATTGCTTGTCTAATTTTTACTTGGATTGGACACCTCTAATGTTTAATAGTTGATTGGCCACATCGATCAAATATGTTATTGTAACGCCTATAGTTTGTTATTGAGCACTTAAATTCCATGTAATATGTTACACTTTTTCCTTCTAGATTGACAAAGAACTAAAAAGGTGAGATTTTCTGGGAATTGTAGAGCGGCTTCGTGATATATAACATACTATTTACTCCACTGACCATTGTTACGACAGATGTCGTTAATAATGTTAAAGGACAAAAGCACGCGAGTATAAAACAAAATGCGTTAACGTGATTCGCGATGATCGTGTATTGACCATCCAGAATCATTGGTTTTACAATACAATAAACATCGGAGGTCATGCTACGGAAGACATCAATAGCAACCAATTGGAATATTTAAGTTGTCCAAAGTTATGCAACAAAGTTGTCTGTTGTTTTTACTTCTCAGCGCGAACTTGAAATGGAAAACGCAGGTGGACGCTGACGCTGCTCCCGTGAGACATTTTTATAAGCGCTCTAAAATTAATTTTGCTAGAAAGGACTTGACATGGATTATAAGGCTTCCAATGGTTACATTTAAACTTCAATACCGTATTTTCGTATGAAGAGCCTTTGCCCCGTTGGTGACTCCGCAGAGTGGTAGTTCATAGTTCAGACCTTAGTTAAGCTTTTAATTTGTAATTCATTCGGTATGTTACAAATTTTTTTTCATGAAAATAGATACTCGCCGTGGCCGATTATACGAATTTAAAATAGTTATTTTAAAGAGCATTTTTCAAGTGTGAAACTACGAGTTTATAGAACAATATTTCTTGCTATACATTTTAATAGTTGTTTGTTACCTTACGGCAACATTAACACAATAACATTACAGTAAACGAAACCTTTGATATACTGAAGATTTAATGGGTAAGAAATTGAGCGTCGATGTTCTTGTTGGGTTTCAATTTTAGTTATTTTTCTACGTTACCAAAAGAAAAATTATAGAATAATTTCTTTCTAATATTTACGATATTAAACTTACGTAAATGAAAAAGTAAATTTATTTATAAATATCCTTATTTTACAATTACATTATTTATCATAGCAATAAAAGTACTTATTTTCGAATCAGATCGATTGTATCAATGAATTGAAGTCGATCCAACAAGTAATGTATACCACATGTTTTTCAGAATTTTGGCGTACAGTCCGGAGCAACTGCAATTCGCAGCGGAAGTACGATGGGTAGAGCGAGACAGCGGCAACGTCTGGGCGTTATCCACTCGCTTCCAAAAGTTCTTCCAAAAGACGATCAACGCGCGCGACATGAACCTCCGAATCTTAAGGATCCGAGCCGAGGACGTGATTCCTCATACGCCTTACCTGCTGAGACACTACAACGTGCCGTCCCATCTGTCCTTTTACAACCGAACGCTAAGCGGTTTCTAATCATTTCGATGAGCGCGCTTATACGTCCCCTTCGGTACTCCGTTCGAGAAATTGATCGACAAACGAAAGACTGGCTTAATGATAGCAAAATGTTAGCGTTCGGAAGTAGTAGAAAATTAGTTGTCGCACGTGTACAATGAGCCATATCAAAACCACATAGCATGCATTATGTCGCAATTGCCACCTAACGAGCTTCGTTCGCCGACTCGCAGCCGCGCAAGCACCACCATATGCCTGTCCTCTTCGCTTAGACCGAGAGGGAGGGGGGGGGGCATCTTATTTTTATATGATCGCGCATAAGTTTCTTCGTAAGAATCATCACGCGCGAGTGCGAATAACAAATCGATGTTAAGTTCCATTTTCACGGTACATCGTCAGCGGCTGAACAATTTACGTGGCCGATCCTGCGCGCCGCGGCGATCGCTCGCGCGAGCGTTTGGTTGCCATTCGCGCGGGGGCCGTCGAGAGCGTCATTCGCTCTCTATACTTTTGTTACGCAGGCAAAAACGTGAGCAATCTGTTTTATCGCGCTTTTACGCTTTACCTGACAAATGCACCTATCGTTGGATTTTATCTTTTCAATTCAATTGGCTTCACTAATAAAATTGAAGCAGTCTACAAGCTTTCTAATTTTGAATACATAGACGTGGCCAGAATATTTGAGCTATCTTTTATATTTCGTGGTTTTGATTTTCCTAATTGATCATTGATAATTTCATGTATTCTTTTGCTACGGTTTCAAATAATTAAATATTTTTTTTTAATTGTGAGAATTGTAAGAATATATATATGAAAATACAAGATAAATGATGAGAACGGAATATTTCAATAACATTTACAACCTTCTTCGTTTGTACTCTTCCATTTTTTCTAGCAGTGTTCAAATGAATTCTATTGAAAATACACAGATGAACAATGTTTGTATTGTCTAGTCACGTATTTTCAACATTTCTGTACAAGATTTCGTTTTACATTTAACGAGTTGTTGATAAGAAGTAATGCATGCTGTTCACGATAAATTGTGAAAATGTCTATATGCAACGTAGAATTGGAAATCATTGTAAGCTGATGAAATTGCTGTTGTTCTGCTCGTATCGTATCTTTGCATTATCAATTTATTTCTACATTATTCGATTCATCGTGTAAAAAATATATCGCGTTTTATTTAATATTTAATAACAACTGTGAATTCGAAGTTTAGCTTTTGTTCTATAGTATCTGCAGTATTGTTTGATGAAGATAGATTTTCGGTAAAAGAAAATGCTTCAATTAATAATGTAACCCGTAAAATCGTGAAAATGAAAGCAAATACGGAGCCTATTACGACAAAATAATAGGCAAGTGCCGTTGAAATATCCGCTCCTACGCCGAAACATCAGTAATTGCAAAAGAAAGCTAAACTCCTTGGTTAAATTTCCACAGAGTGTTAAATTCACGCTTTTCAGCTGAATATCTCAGAATGTAGAAGAATACAGTAAAGTGCACGACACAGTAGGAGCGAAGGTAAAGCAGTGCAGAGTTACAGGCGCGTGGACGATTTATTGCCGCATTCCAGCGTAAAAACCTACCGTTGTATCAGCGAAAACAGAAAAGAAAGGTCTAACGTCAATCGTTTTTCCGTCGACCTCGCGTAGCGTCGAGCGTATGCACCAGTCAATTTTCAGTGTGGACCCTCATTGTTTCCTTCCTGTTATTCTCGAATAAAAACTCGTTTTTACCGTGTAAAGTAATACGCGATTTTCCCGCCAAGTTTTCTTTTTCTTTTTTTTTTTTCATAACTCGATATTTTTTCTTTATGGTCGGCAAAAATGTAGTTGTGTTCACGATCCGCGAGGCATCGTCAATGACGCAAAGTTGTTTGCTCGTTGCATCACTTGAATTGGCCTAAAAAAAGAAAAAAAAAGAAAAAACTCAGACGAATCCACGTGTGACCTAGTTTTTCGATCTTCCGAGCACCAATTTGTACATTGATAAGTAACTTTACAACGCGCTGTTGGGTTCTTCTATTACCTTACCATTCGCGCTGCGATACCGATATTACTCACATAAATAACAACTCAATAAATGGGAAAAAAACTATAAACGCAGGTGAGTCCATTAGAGATACAAAGATCGAGTATAAAATGCACCTGTAAAAGTCGAACGACCTCATCTCTCGCTCGCATACACGCACGCGCGCTAAGTATCGAAAGGCAAACAATTGCAACAGGTTCGAGGCTTTCGTTAGAACGCGCCTGACCGTTAAAGAAAGAGAGAGAGAGAGAAAAAAAAAAGAAGTCGTACGTTCGCGCGAGCAAAGGGGCTCGCTTCTGCATGGAGAGCTTGGATGCCCAAGTGAAACGGACGTCCAGTTGCGAGGAAGAATCCGACAAGAAAACACGCTTGACTTTGACTTACTTCTGCCCACTCGTAAGTATGTCAATCACAAAATAATTTGCTTGTTTATTGGAGGATCGGTCTGAAAATCAGTCTCCAGAGTTTTATGAAATTGCGTGCCTTTGAGATCAACCTACTTGTCTGCTCGATTGAGTTGTTTGTTGTTTGTTCGCTCTACTTAAAATTTTCAATATAATTTTGTTTAATCTATATAAAAAAATATCTATTTAATGCTCTTTCTCCGTTGAACGTTTCATCATATTTCACAAAACTGCTATGTAATTATGATAGATATATTAAATAGAAGATTTAAATATGCCATAAGAAATCGGCTCATACTAACATAATAATTACAAAGGTGCGATTTAATGATAAGCATCCAGTCACTTTAAAAGAAACGAGATCATTCAACAAGCCATCCTCAAACTCCTTCAATTTTCGACGAAATTGAAAAAAAAATTATTGATCGCAGGCTTCAACAATTTTCTAGCGTTACTTGTAGACGTCAGTTATTTTTTCAAGTACAGAAATTTCGCTTGACAACAATCGCATAAAAAATGAACCGCAGCTTTAGAAAGTAATCCACGCGTGTAGAGCAACCGAAAAAAAACCTGATTGATTTTACAAGTGTCTCGCGCTCAACTGAATTCCGGCCAGAAAAACGAAAATTCCGCACGTGTGCACGCACGTGTAAGCGCGCGAGCGCCTTTTTCCATTGCGCGGAACGCTTGTTTCTTTGTCGAGCGTCGCCGATCGATCGGACACGCGCCAGCGAGATCTGAAATAAGCAGCGGCGCTTGAAGAGGGGACGGATAAAAAGGAAGAAAAAAAAAAGGAACAGACACCAAAGTGTCGCGACACGCCTGCGGAGATGGAAATTGCAACGGGACGCCAGGCAGTGAGCCTTTGACCGTGCTCAGCGACTGGTCTATCTGCACTCGTCGGCAGGCTTTGCCGTCATGTGAAATTTTCGTATTTTTGTGATTACCCATTGACGAATGGTTCGCGTTCTAAGGTATATGCGTATCAAACGCGTCATTCGTGAATTCCGATAATTTGTGATAAATAATCTGAAGTAATCTGAAGAGTTTTACAAAACATTATTCCAATAAACTGAAGTTTGTAAATATACAAATAGCATCTAACAATGCTAGCGTGACGATAAATACGAGAAAAAAGTTTTATCAGATATCTATCGTTTTTTTCTACTCCCACAAAAGTTCGATCGAAAATCAGTGATCTCGCAATCCATTGCGAGCACCTCGGCGAACAATCTCGCTGTAGATTTCTTTCGTTTCGCACGCAAAGCCGGTACGCTGCTACATGGCATAACGACCGTGAAGACTGATCGATAGCTGTCGGAGGGGAAGGGAGGATCCGACCCCGCGGTGAAAGTGCAGCGGAGATTTGCGACACAAAGGAGATCGGCAAGTGTTTTTCGTTAACGCCGGATGCGCAGCTGATTCGCATCTCCTCACTGGGAAGGTGAGATCGGTATTTTTTTGTTTGTTTTTTTCTTTGGAGCGATTTTTCTTTTATCGCTCACTTGGCTATTAATAGTCGTTAGATGTTGATTTTATGATTGGCCACGCGGTTTTCATTTTTCTAAAGATATCACGACTTTAAAAAGCTGATTTACATTTCAAATAAGGAATTTAACATAATCAAATCCTACCCCACGCTAGCTATTGATATTCAAAATAAGATTTTATTTGTTGTTTTTTGAAAACTGTTTTATTAGGAATTTCTCGAGGACTAGTTTGATTACTCAATTATTAAAAATACACATATCGCAAACACTGATACCATTCATTATAAGTTTATCTGTACGATTAGGTGTATTTAACATCACACGTGTTATTAAACAACTGGAATTTCTTTCAATTTCTTTAACAATAATTACGTCAAATTCGAATAATTAGACTGTACATAGTGTCAATTTATGCCGACAAATTTAATAGCCACAATGATTTTCAATTAATGCAATTCACGCTTTCTAATTATAACGCGGAGATAAGTCATCAATTTTACGGTTGCATTACTAGCTTAAACTTTAGTCAATAAATAAACAGTATAAGTTAAAATGTACAGCGTTAAACGTCATGTGTTTAAAACTTCAATAAGTACTAATGCAATTCCTACCATCAGAATCAAGTTCCTCATCCGTATTACATTGACATACCCTTTTTAATTCATTCATTCTCGAAGATTTTGCGTTAAATTTGGGTTTCACAAAGCAATAACGTTTGCAGCCACCGTTGTTATAAGCACAAGGATGATTACTGTTAATAATTTGAGATTCTTTACTGAATACCGTCGCTCCGCGAATCTCTTGGGATTCATATCCGAACGTTGGCAATACATGAAGAATTTCTAGACCGGTTTTTTTGTTGATACGCCAAATACTCGTGAGATTGCTTATGTAAATATAATTACCATAAATGTTCATCATTATTGGCTTTATGACATTCGACACGTCGATGGTTTGCAAATTCAAACCATCGAAATCGGCGCTATGCACATTTTTCTTACTTTCATCGAGCCAAAATAAACGATCTTCTTCATAATCTATTGTTAAGCTATTTTCAATATCACTAATTGACACATTTTGAGTCAAAATTATTTGTTTCGTTCCATCCATGCAAGCTCTAATTGCATCAGTATTTGTACTGATTTTACTCGCCTAAAAAGGTTCACCAACGTTACGAATATAAAGCCACGATTTGGGTGCACAGCTAATGATTTCGGAATCTTCGATCCGTTGATTGTAAAAGCAACATATGAAGCAGTTGAACGATCATATGGTTCAATGCTACGAATCTCGATGGAAAAATAGTTCTCATAGATTGACCTAATGTAATAAACGTTTCCTGTTATCCAATCGATAGCAGGATTAATTACAATATCATTAGAATTGCCACTAATAAAAACTTGCCGACTACCAGGCTTGAGATTTATTTGATTGCTGCTGTAATCATCACTGAAAACTAATTCATGATGACGTATATCGAAATCAAAGTGAAATATTCGAGATCTCAATTGCAGAGAAACATTAAGTTTAATAGGTAAAAGTGCCGCAGTAAAAGTATTTTTTGAAAAGTCTAACAATCGACCTTTAACGAAGTCTCCTTGCACATACAATAGAAATTTATCGATCGCTTCGCAATTCTCTGAGTCATTTTTTAACTGCCAACCTACATTACAAACGCATCGCGGTTTATTATTAGAATTGACGCACATGTGTTCACAATGTCTGATACTCTCGCATGGATTTGACACTTGCACTTCATTGAAGTTGTACGTTTTTATTTCGATTACATTGTCGTCGAACACTGCACTCGATTTCTCCTGGCAAACACCGTTTATTATTTTGCACAACCACAGAGTAGATTTTTCGTAATCATTCGATGATGGATTTAACCAAAATAGGTTGTTGCGTGAAACTGTCAAGCTAATAACGGCTTTGTTGATTGTCTCCACGACAATCAAATTTTGTCCTGCATAATCGACGCTTTGAATGTCATGTTTCGTGGCCCAATAAATTCTTTTCTCACTTAGGTCAATCTGAAACGTGGACATATCATTTCTTTCAATAATAGTTTTTGGTAAAGTCCCATCCAAGTTAGACTTTAAAATTAAAAAAAAAATGAAATATAGTGTTGGATTAAAAAAGAGCGTGAAAAAAATAAAAAATACACATTACCGATGATCTTTGCCTTATAAATAAACATCCTTGTATTGGGTCAACCGCAATGTCTTTGGGTTGATAAAGATCTATAGAAATAATATTGTAATACGCATTCCGAATATCAAAAAAATTGATTTTTCCAGCCAATCCGTCGAGTACATAAACCTTTTCGTGAACGTAATCCACTGTAATTTTGTTTGCATACCATGTTCCTGGTTGCGTCAGATCATCATATTTTCGTGAATACGATGTGATGGGTTCTCCAACAACTGTACTGCCAAAGTAGATGTTTTTTTTTTGATAAAAATCATGCGAATGGAAGGTCGTTGTCCAATTTTTAATCACATACATCGAATTATCGCTGTCGATGTCTTTAGCCCATAGCGTTGAGCTGTTTATATTAACGACGAGTGCATTTATGTATGTTAGTGCAATTTCGTTATCTGTATTCATTGGTGGATCTGGCGATCGGTTATTACCAATTAAACCTAGAAATAATTGCATAAATGCATAAAAGATTTAATTCTGGTATCGAATGTATGTCAAGAAGTATGCTGCGAGATATCGGTGAACAGTTACGACACTATATCGAAATTCTAACAATAAGTAAGTTCGTTACATTTACTTAAAGTAACGACGTTACTTGTAACATTTCTGTCGATTATCTTTAAGGTAACGACGTATTATTGTTAAAATTTTGTTCAGGAGCAATGTTATTGCAAGTCAATTCGCTACAAAGATTAACGAAGACACTTTGGAAACTAAATGTGACGCCGTTACAAAAGTCGTAACGAAATATGTAACGGTACTTAAAGTCCAGAGTTGTCCACCTCAACTACAAGAGCATCCAAATTTGTAGATTACTCATTACGAAGAAGACAATGACCGCAATCAAAACTAATAGTAAAACTGGAATCCCACCGCTGACGATGTAAAGTCTCTTTGTAATTTTCATTCTTTACGTTTTATTTTGAGTAATATTGTAAAATCCTTACAATGTCAGAAACCAAATTTTTTTTTATTTAAAAATGACACGTTTTGTTTTTGTACGTTATGAAAAGAAAACACTTTACTAAATTAACAACACTGAAACCTATTCGTTAGTGTGAGTAATACTACGATTCAGCGACATGACGTGATTTATCGATCTGAATTGATAAGAATTATCTCGACATATATCTATCTATATGTTGCCAGATAAACTAATATAGCATTAATGTAGAATTATGTGCCACGTGTATTATATGTGCTAGTAGTTTACCTAATTTAAATTAGCATGAATTGATTACAACATTTATTTTCCTATAAACTGTCATTGAACTTATCGTAGACACAATTTCTATGGGTTATCGTGAAACCCACCTACGACCTCCGATAACTTTATCGGCGCGTCGACGTTCTTTTCTCGAATGAGAGTGCATATAAAAATTGAGCAAACTAATAATTATCCGCGCCTTTATTTATCGTAAGCGCATTGAATGTCGGCACTTCCATAGCCGACGGGCAATCGTAAAAGATTTACCTAGAAACTCAATAAATCTTTTACTTACATAGTCAAACAATGCTGTTTCCATTCAAGACACGTGTTTGCTTGAGAATGTTGTTACTGAAATAATGAAAGGTCAGGCAGTTGAAAATGAAAAGCATCGATGAGTTGGTATACAAGTGGTACTGCTAATGGTGATATTTTGCAACGATATATTGCAACGACTGAATAAGAGAATTTAATAAAATAATAAAGTGTGTTTTTTTGAGAGAGCCTCCTAGATTTTATTTCGGTTACACAATTAATTATCAAACCTTGGTAATGGAGCTCTGAAATCGCACCTAACACTCTATATTTCAAAATATATTCGTCGAAACAATGCTTCAAAAGAAGTTTCATAGACGCAAAAAAATAACTTGCCCAATCTGTGTCGTGAATAAAACATCGAATTCTCAAGAGATTCGTGAGCAGATTTATGTGTTGAAAAAGAAAGAAAAAGGGCTAAAAGATAACAGATACCACTCAATTGCCCGATTCGCTTGTATATACGTGTAGCACCGTTCATTATTCTGTCCTCGTAAATCTCTAACGATCGGTATTTTGCGTGGCACGGATTTGAGATGCACGCGTTCCTGCACCACGTGGTCAAATTCCTTTTTGATGATTGCAGTGCAGCGAGAGTGGTGAAAGAGAGCCAGCTCGGCGAGCTCGTTGGTGTAGTGCACCATACGACGCTCGGTTCTCGGCTGGATCACTTGCGCGGAGGCTGTGCGCATGTGAGGAAACGGATATTCGTTCGATGAGCTTGGAGGTCAAGTGCAAACAATTGGACGTACTATTCGACGTCTTGTCTTTGTTGGGGTAAGAAATCGAGTCTCTTTTTTTAAATATAATGATTAGTTATTTCGTGAGCATTTCATTTTTTCATTATTTCAATATATCCATTTTTTTCTACAATTATTTAAAAATGTTCCAATACTTTTGTAAATTTTTAAGACGAGCATGATAATCAATTTCAAGTATTATGTGTTCGAAAATTTTAAACCTATACCAGCATGACCAGCTTCAACTTTTTTTATTTGAACGCAGTATACTTTATATGAATTCAGAATCAGGGATACAGATTGAATTTAAATTCTATTTACAACTATTCGTTGGAGAAGATAATGTACAATCCATATATAATCACGAAAGAAGTCACCGAAAAAGCCAATATTATTGATGAACAGTACCAGAATGTATTGTACCGTTTGCTTTACCTTGTGTTATTTTTTTGTAACATTAAATGCGATATTATAATTTTTTTACAAAAGTTTTAAGCTTATTAAAAAAAATTTGTTTTCTCTAATGAAATCAATATCGATAACAAAGAACAGGTATTTTATCCCTTATATAGTCATTGAAATTTAGGATGAAATTAAATAATATACTATCAATACTTAGCAAAAGAGTCTTTGATTAATTATCTGACTCGTTAGGACACCTTACCAAACATTTCGTTTATCCTTCATTTAATTGAAGCTCATATAATAATGCTATAGGTGAAGATGGACAAACGGCAACTGCATCAAATATGCTGCTGTTTATTGTTGCTAATAGCGACGACAAAGTGTTACAATGAAGATGATGCTGGAAAGAAAGTTTTAAAAGGCGTGTACTCATGGAAAGTTTTAGAGTTCAAGTTCGCAACTAATCGTGACAAAGAATTGGCTATTGGCAGTGGCTATTACAAGCCTGGCGCGTCTATTCCTATCGACGTTGACGTGTATTATGGTAATTATATATTCTTTGTATAACGAGTGGAACTTTTTTTTGTAGAATGGCATTGATTAATACTAGTTTGTTCGCTATCGCCGATCAATGATTCAAGGAAAATGTACTGATAAGCGCATAATTTTTCATTTGTTCGTTTGATAATTTAATTCGGCAACTAAAGGTTGTTGAAATTATTGTTCTCGTTACGATATCTCAAATAGATTTTTTTAAATATGAAGTGCAGGTTCGCGTTTACTTTTCGATGAAAGCTTTTCAAGATTTTTTTTATTCGAACAAAATAAAATAAATCATTGTAAACGTATAAATTTATTTCGAAAATTGTGATACAATAAAATTATACTTGACAAATTAGTTTTTAAAGAAAACTTTCTTTTACTGTTATAGGTACTAACGATCGTAAAGTATTTGTAACGATGCCTCGATTGGAACGGGGAGTTCCAATGACTGTTGGTTACGTTTCCGACATAATTTCAGAATCCGGTAATCCTTTGATAGCTCCTTATCCCAACTGGGAATGGAATAAGCTGGATAACGATTGCGATGCCATAATTAGTGTCTATCGAATACAGGTAAGTTGGTTATTTCCACAAAAGAAGTCATAAATATGTACCGACACTTTTGCTGAAGACTTTTGAAATAATTTTTGAAATTTGTGTCAAGTGACGTAATCTATTGAATCTTCTGAAAAATTAACATAATTATTTTCATAGACACAGGAAAATACAATTAAAGTAATACAGGCCAATCGTTAATTTGTCCAGGTTGACGAGTGCGATCGAATATGGATCCTAGATACCGGCGTAATAGGCGAGGAGAGAGTCTGTCCTCCCCAGATTCTCTCATTTTCTCTGCAAACAAACAAGCTACTAAGCCGATATCGTTTTCCACGCAACCAGTACAAGGAACATTCTCTTTTCGTCACACCGATGGTTGATGTGAGATCACTGGACAACCACTGTCGCGATACTTTCGTATACATCGCGGACGTCACGGTGTTTTCCCTCGTGGTCTACGACCATCAAAACGTGCGCTCGTGGCACATTTACAACAACCTGTTCTATCCGTATCCGCCCTATGGGACGTTCGAGATAAAAAAGGAAGTTTTCGATTTAATGGATGGTATTTTGGGATTGGCCCTGAGTCCGCTCAGATGGCACGAGGATCGGATATTGTACTTTCATTCGTTGGCTAGCAGGATCGAGTCTTACGTTCCAACGTCTGTCATTCGGTAATCATCCCTAAATTCTTTTCCTAAGCAAAATATGACAAATGACGATTTTCATCTCGTAATATTTTTCAGAAATTTTACGCTTTTCAACAACGCCCCTTATGCAGCGCCAAGATCGTTCAAAGCTTTTGACTTGGAGAGATCATCACAGTCCGCGGCCGAGACGATGGATCGCGATGGTGTTCTATTTTTCGGCCTCATGAGTGATTTGGCGATCGGCTGTTGGAATAGCAAACACTTTCCCGAGTTCGGCGGGCGAAATATTGAGACACTCATCATTGACGAAGATACTCTGCAATTCGCTTCTGGTCTCAAGGTTAGTGTGCCTGCATTGTTTACTTCGTTTATTGATGAATAGAAGGTGATACGGGTTGAATAACAGATTCATTTGCGTAAGAATGAATGTGTGTCACGTATTAAAACATTAAGTCGTTTCAGAAAAATCATTTGCTTAAAAGTCAATTCCCAGAGTCGTTACTTCAATTTATGACAATATACGTGTTATTTCAATTTGAGCATGTGCCAAGCTATTGAAATCAAATCTATTTATGTAATGTGGCTAACATTAATTTTACGGTATGATCTGCTCCGCTGAAAAATCTATGATTACTATGATTATCATTGAAAATATCTTTTGTGCGTTCTGAAAACCAGGTGAAAAGCAGCAAAACGAATCGTCAAGAAATATGGGTATCGACAGCGGCGTTTCAACGTTACATGAGTGGCACATTACACTCGAACGAGACGAATTTCCGTATCCAAGCAGCTTTCGTCGACGAATTGGTACGCGGTACCAAATGCGACGTGCGTGCCTTAGACAATTACAGCCAAAGTAGCAGTAATCGTTTGTCATCGTCGCCGCGGCCAACCAAATGAAGGTCGTGGTACCGCGGGAAGAAAAAGTGGCGCAAACCTTCGTATTACTATGATCTGTTTTTCAACAGCGACAGTAATGATCGTTTCACGGACAAGTTTATTAGTGAGGAGCGCGTCGGTCAGCAACAATGGCCGCCGTCGTCATCGTACGACTTCTCGCGGTACCGACATCAATTTTATTCTTACGACCATTTCCGATCTCATCCCTATAATTATAATTCTACCAGATCAGTTCGACCGGCTAGTTATGGTTTTCACATTGATCATGGTTGACATCTGCCAAAACGTAATAGTTTATAATCAGTTACGGCTTTAATGCTTGTATTTATGGAATTTTTTGCTCTTCGTTACAGTCGTGAGTCTTTCCTTGATATCTAGAGAGATAGGAAACACTCTGCTTTCCGTTATTGATTGTACAATAATAAATCGGTAATCGCGACAGTTTATGTATTTAATAACTTTTACTTTTTTATAACATATTTTCGCCTATAAGATTCATGCGTATGGAGTGTCTAACTTTGTGTAAATAAGATTGTCACTTTCCTTCAGATGATGTAAGTTAGTAAGCAAAGACAATAGAATAACGAGTACATATATATACATATATACATATATATATATATATATATAATTTATCGTATAATGTATACAAGTGCGAATCAAATGTATTCAAGTGTTGTTAACGCGTCGATTACTTTTTTCTATAAAAGAGAATATACTACAAATAGATTTAATACCCATTTCAAAGATTTTATTATTCTAATTTGACTTTACTGAGTAACTGGTTTCCTTATATATTAATTTCTTGAGAAAAAAAGTAGTTTGTTATGCCATTAAATAGATAAACGACCATTTCAAAGAAAAATTACATAGTTGTTCAACGTGGAGGTTGAAAAATGATTCAAATTTCTGATGCCTCCATATTTCGTAAGTCATAAAATGTGCATCACAATTCAAAAGCCTGCAACTAGAAAAATAATATATTTAATTTTTTCCAGGAGACAGTGGCTATTGATAAAAAGACGTCTGCAATATGTAAATGATGTCAAAGTATAATAACCAAGGCCATTGAAAATCATAAAGTAGTCTTGTCAAGGAAAAATTTGCGAAGAACTGTGGGCACTGACCAATAAAATGCTTAAAGTGTTGAATGGATTACGCAATTGCCATGAAATCAACTTCCGAGTTTTAATGAGTCCGGTCGATGATCTCATTACTGGCATAAATTGTGAAATGTCTCACTCAGCAAAAGAGATGCTTGTATAAATCTTAGCGCAAGAGAGGAAGAAGATGCAAAGTAATAAAATAATGCGAATGAATCATAAAATGTATTGCTATCGTTATTAGACCTTTGCTAATGATTTAAGGAATGCCCACAAAGAACAAACTAATTGGAGAATACATGAATTAAATGACTGCAGGATAAACATAATTGTCGTTGATGTGAATAAATCATTCATTTACTGTATTAAGACTTTAATTTACTATATTAAGTTGCAAAGCAAACGATAAGATAATTATCATAAAAAATGGAAACAGTCGCACGTGTCAAAGTCATTTCCTCTAAAATGATTTTATTATCGGCTAACGTAGAGCATCACCACCACTTCCTGTAATTTTAACAATATTCAAATTTCATATGTATAATCAAGGAAAATTTATTTATATTTTTCATGAAAGTATATTTTCATGGAATACAGTACCTTTTAATTAGGAAAAATGCTTTCATCTTGTGTACGTATCATACCACAGTATGAAGGCAATTTTAGAAATACATATAGCAATTTCAAAAGCAAAATGCACAAATAAATCAATAATAAAATCAACGAAAGCTAGTGCGTTAAAATTTCTCTACCGACTTAACTCAATTTTATTATCTAAAGTTGAGTTCAAGTCGCTCGAAAAATTTAAACATGTGATTGTAAATGCACCTTTGAAAGTTGCGAATATATATATATATATATATATATATATATATAATTATATTTATCGGCGAATGAGTTTTTAAGGATATTTTAGGAGGAAATTGATTGAATTCATTTCAATAAAAATGTATTTTCAATCGGTTATTCCATTTATTGATAAAGTATTCGACGATAAAATGCTTAAAGTTTTAGAACGTAATTATTGAAACTAATGGGTGACTTCGGAAAATATTTATTTTCGTAGCTAATTATTGACGAATAATGAATTAATCGCCCAATTTTACACGAATATTCGATATTGTTCCTTAAATGTCACAGTACGTCGTTGTGCCTCATTAAGACTCTTATCAATCGGCGAGGATAGACCTTGGAAAAAATGCTACGTACATACATTATTCTCGCTAACGATGTGTAGGTAACGTGGTATTTATCTTCTCGCTTACTCTTAATTTGTATTTGTGCAGCCACTCAAAACTCAAACATTCGTATCAGTACAAATATACGCGCAAGTGTCGCGCGGACTTTAAAGCTCTGAAAACTCATACCCGTGTGTATTTCAAGATTTCACGCTTTAGTTAGAAGTTGGCAGCAACGAATTTCGCTTTACGCACGTCGACTCGTCACTGACATTTGTAGGGAAATACTCGCTAGTAATGCGGTTCGTGTTGTGCATTTTTGCACTTGTAGGTGTAGCTAGCGCCTACTATAATTCAGTACATCAGTATTCTCCATTGACCACCGAATATGAGTGGACATATTTTGATTACTTGTGGGATTCTCAACATGAAAAAATTCATTACGTCAGGTGGGGCCTGTATAATTATACAAAAATGACGCCTATTGATGTCGAACGATCAATCGGTAAATATAACGTTTAAATTTTTTTTTCTTTTCATATTAAAAATAAATTGTACGAAATTTAAGTTTACTGTTAGCCAGTAAATTTTTTGAATTTGAAAGACAAATAATTACTCTTCGTAAGTTTGTCAATCAATAAATCATTGTCAGTAATTACCTTAATAGTTAGATAAAAACACAAATTATCAATGTTGAGTTTTCAGCACTCAAATTTATTTATACCGAAAGATAAATTTGTTCAACAGTATAATAATATAATAAGCCTTGAAAAATAAGATGAAATAAGTTGATTAATAATACGAGTATAGTTGTACTACTCAGAAGTTAATATCTATTTTTCACATTAAATTCGGTTTTTAAATTTACTTTATTCTCTGTATAATTACTGAACCGCATCCAATTGAATAAATATTAATGTCAGAGTTGTGGTCAGAACTGGTATAGTTTTCCTCATTCCTTTTATTACGCGTTATATAATTAATGTTGTATTTTATTTTAATACTCTCTCAAAGAGGCTACTGTTTTAAAAAACCCCATTCCACATTTGCAAAAATTTACGCAAGTATATATTAATATATCAGGTATCAAATTATTTCAAAAGAATTTTTTCGAAAGATTATTATGCGGATTTTGAAAAAATGTATAAGGTAAAAAAACAGTAGTGTAAATAATTTTCGACATTTCTTTTAAACCATGTTTATAATTGTACGTTGTCAATAATTTATATAATTTTCATATTGTAAAGATAGACAGGATACGATAAGTGCTTTTAGTGTTCTTATAAAATACATGAAGTATAACTTCGTATCGATTCAACGCCAAGTTGAACATTTATATAATTTATAAAGTTAATAGTAACGATCAACGTAATTAACTGAATATTGTACATATTAATTCGTTAGCTGCTCTTTATACAATTAAATTGCGAATTAACAGATGGGCGGACATTCGTGACGATCATAAGAACAGCAGGAGTTCCAGCTACACTACACACAGTATCTAATCAAAAAGGTGAATCTGGTCCTCTTTTGAAACCTTATCCAGATTGGTCATGGTACTCTAATCTTCAGTGCGACAAAATTATAAATGTCTACAGAGTTGCGGTTAGTTATTTTATGCGTAATATCGGAACATCGATTATAATAAAAAATGTTAGTAATAATTTTGTTGTACATTGATTACGTCTAACAGATTGACGAGTGCAACCGAATGTGGGTACTAGATACCGGAACTATCGACGACTCATACCCTTGCCCTGCAAAATTGTTAGTTTTCAATCTTTACAACGATCAGCTCCTTTTTACCCATGAGATTCCCAACCATGTTGCTCGAAACAAAAACGGCGAGGGATTGCTTATTACACCTATTGTTGAGACCTTCGGATTCAGATGCGCCAACTCTACTGTAAGACTTAGCTCGCATTAAACAAAAGTATTCAAGAGTCTAATAGAACTATTTGCTGCATTTATGTAGGTATACATGGCTGACACAACAGGCTACGGTATGGTGATCTACAATGGTCAAAGAACGTATCGTCTCGAGGCTGAGGAATTCCGCGCGGAGATCAAGTATTCGAATTTCACGATAGCTGACGAAAGTTTCTTCCTTCCGGACGGTCTTTTTGGAATGGCGCTGACACCTCTACTGCAAAATACCAGAGAGAGATTCCTGGCCTTCAGGCCATTGGCGTCCACATCGCTGTACGGTGCCAGTACAGAGGTACTGAAGCGCAGCACACAGGGCAATACAATTCGATACTTGAAAGGCCACCATGTACTTCCCAATCAAGCTACTGCTATGGCTTTCTCGTCAGGGGGAACTTTGTTTTATGCGTTAACTGGTGAGACGGCTATTGGATGCTGGAATGCTGATAAACCCTTGGAACCGAGATTCTTTGTAAGTGCAGGCTTAGCTTCAGAATTAAAGATTTTAGAGTTGCGATTTACTGTAAATCTTCTGTACTCGTGTGAAAATTATGCCTAATTACTTATCATTGTCATACGATACTCATTTTTCTTCGTTTATTAACCATCATATTCATAAAAAAATTTTTTTACAGAAAGTGGCAATTCGAGATCCCACGCGTCTACAATTTGCTAGTGGACTCAAAGTTATTAAAAATCCATTAAACCCGACGCACGGCGAATACTTACTCGTGATGACGAATCGCCTACAGAAAATTTACTCTGGGACAATCAATTTCAAAGAAATCAATTTCCGTATTACTAAAGCTGTTGTCAAAGACGTCATAAGTGGAACTGTATGCGACAGATATTAAGAAAACATTTCAAGATATTGCAAAATTGTAAAAAATCAAGTTTTCATAAATTTATCATTCGTACGAAAATGAAAGACTTATGATATATTTAATCGATCTGTTATCCCTTCTTTATCGAATATACTTCATTTCCTAAAGGGTTACTATAAGAGACGGTTCTAAGGAAGAAACTCTATTATTTATTGTTCTTATAAAGGTAGAAAGAATGTCATCCCAATACATTTCACTAATAAAAATTGTTTTAAACGACCAAAATCTGGCGATGCGGTGATGCACTCATTTTTGTTGAGCCTCGGTAGTTGGACCGAGACGTAGAAATCGAGCAGCGAGTAATTGATACAGAGTAAGTCATTTTATTTTTATTAACGCATACAAGGAACTTTGATGAAGTCGATATTACTGACACAGGTTTTTGTCCGCGAAATTAAAAATCGCCCTAAAAAGTCTTTCGCAAAAGCTCAAAACGAAACGTATGAATATCTGTACGTTTTTGGATTTCAATATTAATTTGTTACGTCACTCCTTGTTCCAGATAACTAGGTTTTTGTTCGAATTTATTTTTCGAATTAGATTTAAAGTCAAAGTGTTTTCTAATGAAGGAGTTGAAAATTACGAAAGTCCAGTAGAGTTATCATACAACCAACTAGGTTATTAATCCAAATCCAATCAATTTAAAGGGATACCCGTCGAGTCGCCAAAAGATGTTTTAGCAGAATTGAGCTAAGGGGAGTCAAATCGTTCTTGAGTGTGAGAAAAAGAGAAAGAGAGAGAGAGAGAGAGAGCTATGCCGGAAATTACCGACAATAGAGCAGGAGGCGTGAGAGATTATGGGGGATCCGCCCCTCCGAAAATACCGGGAGCGGGATTGAAGTGGCTCTTGGCGTCAGTCCCTTACCTTCGTTGATATTCATTGCGTTAGAATTTAGGTTAGTTTTACATCAGATTCGAAATAATCATTTGCTTTTTTGATTGATTATTGCTTGATACTTATTTAATTGTCTGTCCTACTTAAATATTTCATAAGCTGGGGGCTCGTTGATGTTCAGGGCCATCAATTTTTCAATGTTTGATTCCCCCGGGTATACGATAAACAGATTATAAATGTGCTGCGGGCGTATGAGAAAACGTACTTGAGTCAAGGACGTCCTGCAGAAAGTAGATCAATCGATGCGAGGCAAGTTGAGGGATCTCGTCAACGATTACGATCGTCCGAAGACGAGGATGAAGTCACGAATCAGTGTGTGTATTTATTGGTTACGCGCTAGTAAATAAAGTCACCAAAAAGAGGCGACGTCGTTCATTGAGGATTCCTAAGACGCGTCTGAGAGTTTAGTGATTTATATATTGGACTTGTTTTACGTTTCGATTGACGAGGAAAGCCAAAAATATTCGTCATTCGCCACTCCGTGGATGCAATACGTACTCGCAAAAGCAACAATTAGACGTTGTAACTTTCCGGTAATTTCCCAATTGTAAGGGATGAGCAGAGGCAGAAATAACGAGGATGGATATTTTTGAAGTCTATTATATTTATATTTTCTGACACCACCGTCGTATGACGTCAAAGAGAGATCGCTGGCTTACAGGCCGATCGTGCCCAGATCACTGTACCTTTCTAGTACGAATATGTTAAGACACACCACGAATGGTAGTGAGATCAAGTACTTAAAAGGTCGTTACCGTACTGGGTAACGATGTGTTACCCAGTCAAGCATCCACAGTGACTTTCTTGTCAGATGGAACTCTAGTTTATGGACTGACTAGTAAGATGGCTGCCTGATGCTGGAATATTAACAAACCCATGCAAGCAAAATATTTTGTAAGTGCACTAATTGTGAGCTTGTGAATCGAACTTTTTAATATAAATAGTAAATTTTATCAATTGAAGCCAGATTAACTAACTCGAGGGATAAAAAGCAGTTTTTCTCAATTAGTAACATAAGTTATACAAGTCAAGCTTTTAATTAATAATATAATCGTAGTATTTTCATATAAAATGGAAAATATTTTTTTTCAAATGTTATTTATCATCTAAAATATGTATTTGTAGGAAATAGTAATTACTAGTTCCGTATGTCTTCAATTTGTCAATTATTAAGAATACGGAGAACGATGAATATTTACTTATAATGATAAATCGTGTACAAAATGTCGTCGTTGGCACATTAAACTTTGACGAGACCCATTTTCCTAAGGCGGCTGTCAGAGACGTCATTAAAAAACAGTCTGCGAGAAACATAACAAAGTTATATAGATATTATATTAATTGAAAAATCTAATCTTAAATACTTCATTAGATATACTTTTTCTTTAAAGGATGAAAAAGTAGCTGTAATGGGAATAAAGAATGTTCCACAAACTTTAACACTCTACAATGTTAATTTGCCTCGATTAACTCACCATCATAGTATTTTATATACATTATCATAGAACATATATCTTATTTAACCAAAGGAGCTTGTAATGTCATGATTATTTAAATTTCTTATAATTTTACATTATAAAATCGATTAGGCACTTAGATTTCACATGATAAATTCTTCTTCTTCTCTTTTCGGTCGCCCTGTGGATAGGTGTATCTGTACCTCTGCGGAATACAATGTTGGACAATATTAATCTGTATTATGCATAATCTTGCAAATGTCTGCATTCAATAAATATAAATACAAATAATATCTAAGTCAGTTAATCCGGTGAAACCTTATCTCTTGATATGGGAAAACCACTATTCGAAAGTTCATTCATTGTGCCTCGATCTCATTGTCGAGATCAGCAGCTCAAAGGCAACCGTCTTCAAACTTAATTTCAAGACCAAATCCATGATGTGGAGCCGCGATGCACCACAACGTTCTTTGTAATAGTATAGCTACGGCTACCTGATAAGAGGCGGAAGAGTTTGAAAAAGGCGACGCCTACTGTCATCGCGGGCCTCGGACAGGTCACATGAAAGAGGAAAGACGCGGGAGTGGGAAAATATCGGTGGTTGACTCTCTCAGTAGTAATCAAGCAGACCGTTTCCAGTCCCCATCAGAGCAAGTTGTCAATTTTTTATTCCATTTGACAATATCAAATCTATTCTTTCAAAAGTGTTTTAATGCAGTGAAGAAAAAATAGAAGAATATATAAAAGTACAAAAAAATTCCAATCGAATTAAAAAATAATTCATTTCAAAATCACATAAATGCCAAGTTCTAGGGCACATATAAAAAAGCAAAAAATTTGAAATTTAAAAAAGCGAATAAATTTGTTATTAAATCTCCCATATCAACAAATAAAATGCTACGTAGATTTTAAAGTGAAACACACACGTCCGGTTAAAGCAGATCCTCTTATAATCTCCTTATTTCCATTATTTCTCCATATAAAAAAATTATGGATGCCACGTTGAAGTATTTTATTCGTGATCTGACTGGCTGAGATATGGTCACGTGATGTACTATTATATGGAGGCAAATGGGCGTATGTGGCAATTTCGTGATCCACCCATGTTCTCTAGATGGTGTAGGCCACCCGCAAGTAGTAGGAAATTAGCTTATTGAATATATAAACCTGCATATAGGTAGCGGCCCGAAAACTCTGAGCGTATGAGGTAGGTCTTACCAGCCATCGAGTTTCACTGATGAGTGCAGCCGGTAACACCGGGACGAAATGCTTCTGTCTTACCAACCTCGTTCTTCTTCCTCACGAGTGTTGAGCCTAAGCTTACACTCGTAAAACTTTTGATCTCTCGTTCCGTTCCACATTGCAGCTCCCTCCCCAGACGAACCGAACTAAACAGCCAAATACATATGGTTTTGAGTTGAAATATTTAGTAGTAAAAAATCAATTTATCCCAATGTTTAATAGTAATTAGTGAAAAAGAACTAAAAGATTATTTACAGCACTTTTCGATGTAATAAATCGTTAATTTGGAATACGCGGAGCTGTTTTACTAATACGCATTTTTCCGCTGTGATATGCGTTTTGTAAAAAAATTGAAAAACCCGATAGTAACTAAAAAGAAACGTACAAATATCAGGTGATAACGATTATAGAAAAAATTACGAAAAAAAGATAGCTATTCTTAGACTAAACATATGTGTCCAGTTTAAACAATACATCTTTCAAATTGTACAAATGACCGGTGCTAGTGCACCCATTGAAAAATAATGAAAGAGCAAGAAAAAGTAGCAAGAAAAAATGACTTTATAAGCTTCTCATTCATTCGAATTCTGTTACTTTTGCGAATTTCACTTTTAAAAGAATCCAGATGTATCAATATCTATCTATCGCACCAGTGTACAGAAAACGATTGAAAAATGAAAACGATTAATAATTCAACGGCGAAGATTACATCGTTATTTTTCATGGTTTTGTTTTGATAAACCCGATCGGTAGTATCGTATAAAACGTGTTCTAGCGTTCATGTTCAGTTCATTAACGCATCGCAAGCTCTTGAGCTCACAGATTCTGTGCAAAGAGAATTCACTACATTCAAAAATGCGATTGACATTTGCAATTCTGCTCTTTACCAGCGCCACGCTTGCATCAAGTAAATTGAAAACTATTTATGAGTGGAAATATATTGATTATATGTGGGAATCACCAGCTCAGAAAGAAAGATATTTACAGAATGGTGAATATGATTACACGAACATTGTGCCGATAGACGTAGATAAAGCAAGGGGTACGTAAAAGAAACGAAATCAATACTTTTTTACTACGTGGCCCATTATTTTATTCTCTATAATGTACAGATGGTCGCGTTTTCGTCACTGTCATTAGAAATCGTGGTGTGCCAGCAAGTTTGGGCGTAGTTACCGATCGAATTGGTCCATCTGGCCCACTTTTGAAACCTTATCCTAATTGGTATTGGTATAAAAAAGGTCATTGCGATGGCATCACTAGTGTCTACAGAGTAGCCGTAAGATTTACCAGACTCAGTTAACATTTAATATGATTATGTATACGTTTCAGTTAGTTCGGCTCTTAAGTAACAACTGATACGAGCTTTTTTTCTTTTTTTTTTATTATCGTGCAGATGGATGAATGCAACCAGCTCTACGTTCTAGATACTGGCTATATTGGAAATAACTACACATGCCCAGCGCAAATATTGATGTTCGATCTTCTCACCGATCGGCTGCTGAAGCGTATCAAGATCCCAGATAACGTGGCGCAAAATAAACAGGGCGTCGGTACATTGGTTACTCCAGTGATCGAAACGAAAGGCACAGATTGCAGTCTGCAAAACGTTAGTGGAATTTCATGACTATTATCATTCTCGAAAGTGTCATTTATTCTGACCTTCGATCCGAATGCTTGCTATTTGAGTTATCAATTTCTTGCGTAACGTAATGTTCATTCGTAAATATTACATCACAAATTCACATTACAAACATGCCGATGTACTAGTTCGTATATCTTTTTCACAGTTGTTTATGGCTGACGTGAACGGTCACGGTCTGGTAATCTACAACAATGACCGTTTCTTCCGCCTAGAAGCTCAAATCTTTGAACCTGAGCAAGCGCAGTCAAACGTGTCCATCGCTGGCGTGCAGTTCGAGCTTGCGGACAGTATTATGGGTATGGCTATAACACCAAGAACCTTTCGAGGTGAAGGTCGTGATTTGATTCTCCGACCATTCGCTTCAAGAGCCGTTCACACTGCTGACACGCGAGTCTTGTCTCGAAGTACATTTGGTGATACGATCAATTATAAATCCGCCCCCGATATGCTGCCAAGTCAAGCTACGACTATGGGAATCTCGTCGCACGGTACTCTGTTCTTTGGTCTGACTCAAGAGATCGCCATTGGATGTTGGAATCGGTATAGGAATATGACTAGAGATAATATTGTAAGTATTGGATATTAACGTAATTTTGATGAGTTTCGTTTTGGTTTTCAATGTTTTTTGTTTCAAGTAATAAAGCCGGTCGAAAGTGACCGCGACATTGTCATTTTCAATTAACTAAATTTCGTCCATAAACTGTGTAATCAGCGTTACGATCGCGGTTCCTTTAATGACACGTTAAATATAAAATATTAATTTCTTATATTTTAAGAAAATGTTACCTTTGTGATAATTCACGGCACATAAATTACCATTCAAATATTAAGTCGATCGAGAACCAATCAATGTAGATGTTATTAAAACTTGATGTATCGCTTAGGAAATCGCCGTGCAAGATAGCGATCGTTTACAATTTCTGAGTGGATTGAAGGTACTGCCAAAATCCCGTACGAAGGGCCAGGAAGAAGTTTGGGCATTGTCCAACAGGTTGCAAACAATTATGACAGGAACTACGAATTACAACGAAATTAATTTCCGAGTAGTTAGGAGTACAGTGAGTGAATTAATAAGTGGTACTAGATGTCATCCACCCATATAAACGAGATCATTGTACTTATTGTTATAACTTTTACGAATTCATTTATTTACTATTATTTAGCTGTACAAATGTTGATTCTTTGTTGTCAGTCACCAGATAGTAAAAATAATGTCACTTTATCTCGTGTTTGACGTATAAACACATTAATTGCGTGAAAGTTGTATACATCTTCTTACTCTAAGTGTTACAATCTTTACGTTCCCGATACTGGCATACTCGCATATGTGCAGCTCAAGTGTCAGTATTTAATCTTGTTCCCTGATAATGAAATTTGAAATAGAGAGTACTGCTATGTACTCTGGTGCTTGAAGAAAAAGGATCTCATTTGCGAATGACAGAACGTAAAAATGATGAATATTTTAGTTAATAAAAGACCATAAAAACCTAAAAAAAACATATCTGTGTCGAATAATTTGGTGCACAATTATTCCTCGATCGTAATTTGCGAACATGATTAGATTTAGTTTGACCGGATTCTCCATAAGAACAAATAAGAATAAGTTGCAAAGCAGAAGAGTAAGTTTGATTAATCTTTCAGATCGTTTTCACTACCATAAAAATTTTACTTCTTTTCTGGTAATCCTCGAATGGATTTCAGGAATTATAATCACACGTTTAGGAGATCTAAACTACGAGATAGATTAATATCGTAATAAAATATTTAATCGTCCCGTTGATTAGATTGTTTCATTCAAACCAAAAGGCAATTGTCGAAGAGAAGAACAAAAATCAGCTTTGCCGTGTCAAGAAGAACCAGTGTGATTTTAAATTGAAATTTAGTCATCTTTACAACAAAATCGTTGTCGACTTCATTTTAACGATTCCAAAGTGCACTCGAGAGCTGCAATAACCCATCGATTATTCAACCACAAAGTATTATTTCCCAATCACCACCAATTACAAAGTAATTCTTTTTGCTGGATGTTTCAGTCAAAGTTTTAATAAAGGATAGCAAGTGTCATTCTCCTGCAAGCATATATGACTATATACCGTAGCATTTTTGTCGCTTTAATGAGATATGAATATTTTATATATTTATTCCTATGGATTGTAAAAGTTAAACTTATTCACATACATCTATGGGTCAAAATTAATCTGTTTACTACACCAAATAGAGTTGACGAAAAATAGTAAAAAAATATAATAAACATTTTTCTTACACGTACAGTGCATTTGAAATTTTCTTAAAAGATCCGGATTTCGCATTAATGACAGATATGAAAGCAAGAATTCTCGTGTTCCTTTTATTTAAGATCTCCTTCTCCTTGCGTGCTAACGTATACGAGATTTTTATGCAGTGAACGGTCCGACCAGGAACTCATTTTATTAAGAACACTTTCGCCAAGAGCTTCGATGTTTTCAACAAGATCACATTTTCAGATCGATCAGATAAGTTTATACCATCGTTAAGTTTTAGTGAGATTATTAATATTTTAGCTGTTCCAATTCGGTGAAATGTTATATTGTTTACTGTGTATAACAATCCTTTAATGCAGGTTAAAATTGACAATATCGACGCTTTCAAAGTAAAGTCATCGAAAGTTCCTGTATCGGGCATCTTATCTTTAGTGAAGTGTGTTTGAATGTCTAAAATTTTCATATTCGATTGGTTATTCTCATTATTTCGTATAATTCATAAATAACGATAAGAAAATCATGACATTGTAATACAGATTATATTTGTTGAATTTTGAAATTAGGTTTTCGTTATAAATATTAATGTTGCGGTCGTATATCCGATTATATTAGAGGAACAAAATATAAACGCACGAAATTAGAATAAATTTTAATACAATTCACTTCCTCATTTTCTACACCGCCACTGTAACTGTAAAGATCGAATGTTGATACACTCTTGTAACGAAAGTATCGAATCCAGGTCAGCATTGTTATTGTTCACGGTTGAATTAAAAGCTATCCTTTTTTTTCATGACTTATTATTCGTAAAATGAATATCAAAATTTTACAAAGTTACGCAAAGTAAAAGTGAAGTATCGTGTTTTGTAATAGACAGTAAAAATGATCCCGAGCAGGGCGCGAGCTCGCGCAGAAAAAGTGCGCGAAGAGAGAGAAAGAGAGGAAGGATCACGCGCGTGTAAGTGCTTCGTCGACGATTCGTGACGCGCGAGATTTCACTGCAACATCGGAGCGCTTTGCATAATTCTTCCATTAATCTCGAGCGCAGCGCACTCTAAGAATTATACCACGGTGCTAGTGTCGGACGTCGGCTTATGAATTCCGGTGCACGTCAACGACATAATTGTCGAAAAGGAAAAAACACAAAAAAAGAAGGATGCTTTCTCTTCTCTCTCATCGCGCGCGATGAGATGCAGCTGGCTCGTTAGAAAAAATTACACACGGAGATAAGCAAATCGTAGCAGCGGTAGCGGGTATCGTATCTAGAAAGCTGGAAGCGGTCTGTTTTGTAACGGAGGCTCGCGAGCGCGCGCGCGAAATGATAATAGGGCGGCGAGGCGCGAAGATATTTTAGAAAGCGACAATTAGCCAGTGGTGGAATGGGTTTTCTAATTGGAAAATCCAGCGACGACGACGACGACGACGACGACGACGACTGCGCTATCGGACGAATCCATCTTGCGCAACAGTCCAATCTAATGCTGCGCGGGTCGCACCGAAAATCCAGGAGAGTACAATGGGGCGATAAATCATTCGCGGTGAAATGCACGCGGATGTATATGTAGGAAGCCGCGCGGCGAGAGAGAAAGAAATGATCGAGCTAACCGCGTCATTGTTTTTCTTCCTAGGCGCGCTCGTGGGCGAGAGAGCAGCTTCGGCTCGCTTTATAAAATTAGCGCGCGCGCAGGCTCCGGGTGTAATGTTCTCTCGCGGCCGTTATACTTTTTTTTTTTTGCGCGGCGAGCGCGCCCGGCGGCGAGCTCACTGCGACGGCGTAACAACAATCCGATTAGCGCAGTTTTACTTTGGACGCGCGACCGGACGCTCCGCGGCTCCACTTTTTTCCCCTCTTTGCCTCGATTCTGGTTGTTTGTGAGTTGTTGATTAGTGAGTGATAAGCCGTCGATTGGAATTCGGAAGGGGAAAAAGGAGGATAATCAAGGCAGCGTTCTTCGTATAAAGTGATAAGCACTTGTCGAAATTATGTGATGGTCCGTAGTTATAAAACCGAATCTGTTGATTGGTCGTGCAGATATAGAAGAAGAAGGTCTGCATTTACCAAGAAAAGTTATTACGCTGCAGATCAAATCGCTTACCACTCGTGGGACCCCGATCCTGACCCTGATCCGGTGTTCCATTATAGCCCGGAGTTTTTACAAAAATACTATGGAGCGCCATATGCGAGCAGCTATGACAAGCCGCGTAAGTCTTTCTTAAATTACGATTGTTTGACATAAGAAAGTACAGTCTCACGGATGGCTTTTCTTGCGTCGAATGCATGTCGCAAAACCGCAACTAATTCGAAATTGTTTGCAAGAATGCGGTTTTGAAATAATTATTATCCTGCGGGACACTATTCTAACGAGTGGTTTCCACTCGGAGAAAAATTATTGGAAATTAGGTTGAACGCGCGCATTTTTTTGCACGGCAAGTGGTACATTTTATTGAACTTGAAGCCGTTAAGATATCAATTCGTTCTGAATAAATTAGCAGTAAGCGGCTTGAAAGTGCGTAATTTATAAAATAATATATATGTAAATAGACGGTAATTGAACATCGAGCAGCTTTAATTAATGGTTGCCATAAAACCTGAAAATGATGGTTTCTTCACAACATCGTATCTTATTGTGCAATCTAACAATGTGCAATTTCACGCGCACTTACATAATTAAGTACAAATTATTAGCAACGGTATAGCAGTTTTTCAACTAGAATTATATTTCACCATTACGCTTAAACTTGCTCGCCTTTTAAATGTTACTCGCAACTCCTTGTGGGCGGATAATAAAACCAGCACTCAGCAGAGAAAATAAAGCCTCTTTCTCTCTCTCTCTCTCTCCCTCGAGAAGAAAAAGTCGCGCACCTGCACCGAGCGGCATTAATAGCGCGCGCATTCAGCCCGTTGTAAAATCAAATATTCGCCGAAACAATAAAGCCGTTCGCTAATTCAAATTAGTCGGCTGAAAAAGAAGAAAAGAGAGAGAGACAGAGAAGGAACGATCGTTACGTTGAATAAACATCGGCGCGCGGATGTGCGTTCAATTATTCGGCGCGTAATAAAAGCACGGCGCTGTAAAGCCGTTGCTTTCCTCGGCGCGCTCTCCCACACGGCCGAGCGAGAGAACGAAAGGGAGAACGTATTTCCTCGACTCTTGCGCGCATCCTTAATGAGCGCTTTCCCGTGAACTGTTGTGCGCGCAGCAGGGAGCTCGCGTCGTCGTGGCTAGGTCACTGGCGAGGTGAGAGCTCCACAAGGAGAGAGAGAGAGAGAGAGAGAGAGAGAGAGAGAGAGAGAGAGAGAGAGAGAGAGAGAGAGAGAGAGAGAGGAGGGACGACACGAGCGTTCTCTCCCGCTCGCGGCCTGGATAAACCCGTGAAAATGGCTAAACGCGTCCCCGTAGCCAAGTCGTCGCGTCCCGTCCGCTCGCGCGATTTCATCTTATAGCGGTGCGCTCAAGAAAGCGAGGATTCAGTTGAGACAGGGACGCCTATTCGCGTGCGCGCCATTCGGACTCGCGATCGCTTCGATCGCGCCTCGTCTTCTTCCTTTCTCGCAGGTACGCTCGGCAATTCGGCGCCCGTTGCGTTTTCCGAATCGCGCGTTCGGGCAGTGTTGTGCAACGGCTGTGGCCTGGCGTTCTTCGGCGACGCTTTTACGACGCAAGGCGCGTTTCGCGCGACGGACGTTAAACAGCGAAAAATCGAAGACGAAGGAAAAACAAAATCGCCGAACTTGTAGAAAGTTTACAGTGCGTAGGCCTGGTTTCTGGTAAACTTTCGAGATGATTGACTGAGGTTTCTTTTAAAAGAACCTCCCCGCGCGGCTAACGTACTCTTACGTAAACTGATTGAGCCGTGAATTACATTGTTTACGTTTGAACGGTTTGCGCCTAGAAATGAGCAAAAAAGTGTACGAACCGTCGTGCTCTTCGCGAATACCGGCTTAGCGACCTTTCCTTTTAACGCTCTTTTCCTTTTTCAAGAATGACAAATTGCACATTGGAAGGAAGTTTACGTTCAATTCATTATCGGCCGTTGCAAAATATCTGGTTTGTATCTGGAACAAGGCAACTGGCTTTTTTCGTCATAAGGCAAATCGATTTTCCAAAACGTGCTCGCGAGAAAATAAAAATAGTGCACGGTCGATTATACTTTAATTGCCCACGCTACGTCGAGAGCACAAACGAGCTGTAACACCGTCAAGAAATCTATTGAAAATTCAATTGAATGCGATGGCAAATCTCGTCGAATCCACGTGGTCCAATTAGAAGAGCTTTGCGTTACATGCCATCAACCAATTATAAAATATTGTCATCGATTTAACTAACTTCCATGAGAGTTAAATCTAGGACAATGTATTTCAATTTAAGCTACACTCTAAGGTCCTTTAACCTGACGCGTTCTATGGTCGACTTGTTTGTTTTCACGAACGTTTATCACCGAACGATTTATGTAGTAAAGAAATAAAAAATCGCACTAAAAGAAAAATTTCCTCCTTCGGTTTCGTACCTTTCGCAAATCTAAGTGCGCGAAGGATCTCGTAGCGAATGGTTTTCGTTTCGCATAAGTACGTAGATCGCGACTTAAGCTCACTAAATCCGCATTTTCGCAGGAATGGCGAACGTGGTGCCATGGCTAATGACGCTGTCGTTGCTGGGTTTCCGCGACTCAGTAGCGCCGGCTTCACCAAATTTCCAGTTGTCGCAGGACCTCGAGGCACCGCTGCCACAACTATCCACCGATTTTGCTACGGTAAACACTTCAAATCGTGACTACGTCTGTGTGTATATATATATATATGCGTTTGTGTGCACGTGCGAGGGGAAAAGAAAACAATGCTGATTTACGGGCTTCGTGAGATTGCATTTTATATCGGAGAAATCGATCAAGCGCTCTTCTGCGTTCGGATGGAAAAACACGTGAATGGCTTTTTATGGGTTGCGTAAATATCGTATCCCCGTAGGCATTCCTCAGCATCGAGGTGATTAGCGTCGTCTTTTGTTTTGGGTTATCGATCGTCCCTACACGGCCGTAATAATTTTATTGCATTTTCCAGTCGGCCATGACGAGCATTCATACTTTATCGTCGCCATTGTTTCACGCGGTAATCACAACCTGTGATTATTTTTATGAATGATTCCGCGTGTAAATTAATCGTTGCTTATGCGACCAGCGCTAAAACTAATTTAAATCGTTCCCAAAGACATCCAGCACGTCGTTCGACGATCCCGATTTTGGGCAAGAAGAACCGCCAGGACATTCGAACTGCGACTATCCGAAGAACCACAACTACGACAATACGATCGGCCAGCAAAAAAACACCGAGCGACCGCACGGCTTTCAGATAGATCCGAATAATTTCGTGCCTGCCAATCATCGACCGGAGAATAAAAAGAGCGAGCGCAATCTCGACTCCTTTCAAAACGACGCCAATACCAACAATATCTTGCAACCGTCGCCCAAGGTCAATCAAAATCAGAGCGACAAGTACTTCAGTCCTGGGCACACGTTTAAACCGCCTAAGGACACTGGATTCAAAGACGAGTATGCTGGGCCTGCTATGCAATTGGTATCAATTGATGTTTTTTTCTCGGTGAACGATGATTGATGGCTACGTGGAAAAAAAATTCATTTGCTTAATTGCAGGCATATTATTGGAAGACGGTTGATTACGAATTTGACAGCGAAGAGGATAGAAAGAGCTTGATTTATAGTGGCAGCTTCGTGCCCGAGAATAACTTGCCACTCGGTCTTGAAATTTGGAAGGACAAGATTTTCATCAGCTTGCCGAGATGGAAGAAGGGCATACCAGCGACATTGGCTACTATATCGACTGGAAGCTTGGACAGGAGTCCAAAGTTGAAACCCTATCCGGATTGGAGATGGCACCATTTAGGTAAATTGTTACATAGCTTTTTCAATCGTCGATCAATTTTATTGACATTTGTTTTCGAAATGACAGGCAATTGTCAAGGTTTAACTTCGGTCTTCAGGATGCAAATCGACGAATGCGATCGACTGTGGGTCTTGGATTCCGGTAAAATCGACATTACAAGCGATCCAAAGCAAATCTGTCCGCCGACAATCTTCATCTTCGATTTATATACCGACCAGCTAATCAAAGCCTACCAATTACCACCCGATCAGATCAAAGAGGACTCGCTCTATTCGAACATCGTTGTTGACATAAGAAACAATCAGTGCGACCGTGCGGTCGCTTACGCGGCCGACGTTTGGCGTTTCGGTCTCATCGTGTACGACTTATTCAATGACAGCTCGTTCCGCGTGCAGCATCACTTCTTCTTTCCCGACCCGCTGGCCTCGAGATTCAACTTACACGGCTTGGAATTCCATTGGACCGACGGTTTATTCGGCCTAGCGTTAACGCCCGTCGACGTCAACTATGAGAAAACCATGTTTTTCCATCCGATGTCGAGTTTCCGCGAGTTCGCTGTGCCGCTCTCGGCGATCCGAGACAAGCGCACTGCCGACAACAGTGCCGACAAATTCGTACCGGTAGGCAAACCCCGAGCCAAGGACTACGGACACTCGTCGGGCTCGACCATCGACAAAAACGGGGTGATGTTCTTCAACATGGTGACGAGAGATTCGGTCTGGTGCTGGGATACGAGAAAAGAGTACGTACCGCAGAATCTCGGTGTCATCGGCACGAGTAACGTGTCCCTCGTCTTTCCCAACGACATCAGAATGGACCACGAGGACGATCAAAACGTGTGGATATTGTCGAACAAGTTACCGATGTACCTCTACGAGTACTTGAACAAGGACGAGGTGAATTTCCGAATTTTGAAGGCCAACGCCAGGGAGGCTGTTAAGAATACCGTTTGCGATCCGAATTACATGGTGCCCGTTTACGAAGCAGGCATCGATGTCACTTGCTGAAGCTTATTGGAGGGTGCGAGTTGATATTAGGCGTGTGTTTCGTAGAGATAAGTTTTCATTGTTCTTTTTCTTTTGTACACAGAATCAAACATTTATTTATGTATAAGTATGTAAACGGACGGTTTTGCGAGCAGTGGCCATTTAATTAATGTAGATATCGACACATGGAAGTATGCGAAGAAGCAATAAACACGATTTTATTTTCTACACGAGCGCTGGTAATCATTGCGTCACATAGCCGGGAACTCCTCCATCTCGCCGTTGTCGGCGGCGCGTTTCCAATTCGAGGCCCACTCGACGGGATCCGCGCCGTCGAGGCCCTCGACGGCCCAGTCGGCGATCGTTCGAGCGATGCCGGCCGACTGCAGCCTCGCGCGGTAACGCCGACGGGCGGCGTCTCGGGGAGGACGCGCGGCGCGCGCGGAAGTGCTCGCGGGCGCCTCGATCCCCGACAGCAGAGCCTCGCGCGACGCGTGCAGCTGGTCCTCCAGTTGCCTCACCAAGGAAGCGGACCTGGCCTTTCTCCACTCGATTTCGTCCCATTTGTCGTCGCTGTCGGGGGCAGGACCGACTGGCTCGACGTCGCTGTCGCAGAAAATCGCGTCCTCGCTCATGGGAAAGCCTTCGCGCTCAGTCTCCAGTGCGGCGGGATTGCGAGGCCAGCCGTTGGCTTTCAAGATTTCCGTCAGCGTCATCGCCACGATTTCGAATATGGGATACGGCTGATTCGTCTCCGGGCCCAGCTGGAAGCCGCGGGCGTTGTCGTCGCTGTGAGAAAACGCATTTTGGAGCTCGCTCAAGGTTTCGTCCTCGAACGTGTCGATTCGCTCGGAATCCTCGCGGGCGCTGACTTTCTTCGCTCGCTGAGGTACTTTGACTTTGGTCGGCGACAATCGCTCGAACGCCCTCATGTTGATGTTCCAATTGATTTGCTTTATGAGTTCTTTTACGTTTGCTCGGCATTGAGAAAGACGATACATTTTCGGTCGCTCTGCATTGGCTTGTTTCCGGATGGAAAGTTTTCTCTTCTTTATTCTTGTTGATCTCTGCTTACGAACCTGCAGACAATCACTCGAATAATTGGCACTTCGGCACTGTTCGTTATTCACTACGTCGCAGCGAACGTCCTCAGCTTGGTTTTTCGCCTCGTAGCGAACCATTTTTGATTTCTTAATTTTTTTCTCGGCCATTTCTCGTCTGTCTTCTTCGAGAGTAAGATCATTGTAAATCTTCAAATTCCACAGCTCTGGAATCTCAGAAGCGTCCGTATCAAGGGATTTAATCGATTTGAGAACCAAAGCGTTCGGTTTCCTCGATGTCGCGCACTGTGTCGCATCCGCGTGGCCCGCGCGAGTCTTTCGCGACAGTATTTTATTGAACGCGGAATAGGACGCGAGTTTCGAGTCGTTGAGATTTTTCGCAGGCTCGAAGTCTTGCTTGAATTTGATCGCGCCGTTTCTAATTTTATTTCGTAAAGCCTGATTAGCCATTCCGCTGCTTTCACTCGCTGACGACGGCTTCCTTCTGGAGCTAGCGCTCGACTCTTTGGATAACACGTGGCGCTGCAAATTGCACTCCAATTGACGCTGGAAAATCAGCCACTTTTCCATGTTATCCTTCGACGCTGTCTTATTCTTGTTGCTGATTGCGCGACACATTTGATCCACAAGTTCGATATTCTTGCTCAGCAGGAAGTAGAGATTGCCGTTCAGTCCGTGGGCATTGGAACGAGAGCGACTCAGCACGAGAGACGTAAACTGGCCATCGAACATGGTATCGAGCGAATTTGGTTTCAGGCTCGCTGCAATTTGTTTGCTTTGTGTCAGCGCACCGCTCGGCTCGTAGTTCGCTCGCGTTCGCGAATGAACTTCGACGCTCGGCTGGGACTCGATCAATACATTCCCGCCGGAATTCGGAGGATCCCTTTTACTTTGCCACTTTCTGGAGAGAAAAAAAGTAGCGTCGTCGTCGTCGTCGTCGTCGTCGTCGGAGCTCGAACACGAACACGTAGCTTTGTAAGTTTTGATGGACGAGTCGGAGTGTTTGGCGCCAACGACGTATTGTTTATCCTTTTTCGCGTCCTCCAAGTCATCGGGCGTGAGATTCAGCATTCTCATCGATCTCTCGGCGGGCGATAAATTTTCAGCGAACGACAATGTTGGCGACGAAATGTCATCCGATTCACGGCTATCGTTTTCTATCATATAAGTGAGAGATCGAGCTGAACGAATCGCTCGAAATTCGTCCGATCCGGTGAACGTCTCGCGGAATATTTCTTGCAGATCGGGGATACTCGAATAAGTTTGCGATAGCGAGCCGGGACCTTCGATAATTTTCTCATCGCTAGCACTTTGCAGTACTCGGTGTCGTTCTACTTCGCGCAAGTTCAGGTAAAATTCAAAGAATACGTACCAGTTGTAAGATGCTATCGCTGTGGGAAAAGGACAGTTCTCATTGCAGACGAAGAAGAAATAGATAATACAACTTGCACTCACAAAGATTAATCGATTCGACCACCACGAACTCGAGCAGCGACAGAGTTGAAATTTTGTTCGCCTTGTAGAAGACGAACACCAAGGTGACCGAAAGGATTTTTGGGAGTATCGTATTGAGTGCATGAGTTAGTAGCCAAGGCAGCAACAAAATCGATCGACTCCACGTGATGATAGGATACAATTTAAGTAGATGCGTTAATGGATTGAGCAATCCGCAAAAGAATTCCACTACCACGGTCACAGTGAGCACTAAAACAACCAACAATTACTCAATTAAATTCTGAGTTCCATACAGAACATTTTAACAAAACTCACGATTTCTAATTCTCTCGCTGAATGTATTAGTGAATTGAGCATTCTCGTCCGAAAAGTTCAACTCCTTGATGAGATTCAGTCGAGGAATAAGTTCAAAAGGCTTCCAATCCAAGGTGGAGTTGGCCTTCAATTCATAATCGCAATAATTATTACACAGAAGCTTGCACTCGCAATAGTCATATATTGCATGGTGCAATTGATATTACCAAACCTAGAAGCGTCATTATCAAGAGTTCAGTTTGAAATGAAACACCCAAAAGAATTCCCATTAATTTTGTCATCGGCAAACGTACTTTCCGATTTTTATTAATTAACAATCAAGTTTTAGGAACAACAACATTTCTACAGTTTCAACTCTAATAATTTAATTCATGCTAATAATTTTGAAATTTTCGCCCATAACCCTCGAATATATAAAATACTCAAACAAAACAGCATCATTTTTGTTTATTGTTTATTATTTGGATGGTTAATTGTATTTTTCTGAGTAGAATGCCTTGAATGCTGCGTGTAAATCTATCCTACGTTGTATATAGTAATCAGTTTTGAATTTCGTGCCTTTTCTTAGATTCTAAGAATTTGGGAATTCCGTAGGTTAGTTTAGTATCTATGACGTTTCCAGTAATTACATTCTTGTCTGTTCTTGTCGAATGAGTCGAGTTGCTGGCTAGATCGCTATGGCTAGCATGGCGAGTTGGCGTCAATGATAGACTTGGGATATTTTTGCACTGTATTTTAATAAAAGGTGAGTTCAATTGATTACCTTGATTTGCTTTGTATTGTAATCGATATATACATATTTTGAAATAATTTAAATGGAATTTTAATATTGATATATAAAATAATTTTGAATACTACAATGTCTTACGTTTAGGTTAGGTTTTCATTCTCATGTTTTAGCGTGTAAATTTGTTTTATTCTTGTATTACATATCTAATTTCCACTCGGCAATCATTATTTTATTTGAGTAACGGCTACTTAATTTTTGTTGCGAGACTCTTCTACTAATTAATTATCATTATATTTATTATTCAAATTGTATACTTGATACGATTTTAACTATATTGTATATTTGAAACGATTTTAACTATAACACACTGGTATTATTATTTATGACAATAAAAATCCATATGATTATTTGCAACAAATTACCAATGGATCCTTATGAAAAATCCTGATTATAAACTTTTTATGATTGTTATAATGATAAATAATAATATAATAATTTCATAACTTTATGTCAATAATCAATCAGACTTTTTAATTACAGGTAGTCTAGAATCAGTGGAAAGTTTGTAAGCATTTATTAATAGTTGTATAATTTTCTTCAAGTTATAAACAAGGTAACTTATAGTTTTGTTATTTAATTTTTCCCAAACAATTGCACTACAAGTTTTTAATTTATGTTAATTAAAAAATTGATTAATCTATTTAATTATAACTTTTTAATAGTAATTATTTGATATTGATAATTCACACATGATTATTCACAGTAAATTACCAATGGATCCTTATGAAAAATACTGATTATAAAGTTTCTATGAAGTTTTACAATGCAAAACAAAGTACTCCTATATGTTACTATTAAAAATTAATCAACATTATATTTTTCCAGGATTTAAATTATATCATGGTGAAACAAAAAACACGCTCTAGTGAAGTCAGTATCAAAAGGAAAGAACAAGGTGCTGTTGGTAAAGTTGCAAAGAAAAAAGTAGTAACTTTAACTCAAAAGAAAAAAGAAACTATTTTGCAAGATATTCTTTCTAAGAAGGATGAACTGCCAGATAAAGTAACGCTCAAAAAGAACAAAATCAAGTCAAATTTAAAAGAAGAAGTATTAGTAGAAAAATTAAATATAGATTCAAAGAAAAATAAGAATAAGAGCTTGGTTAAATTAGATCTAGTTCCAAAAACAAGAAATAGTAAATCTGAACATGTTACAAGAAAACCTGCAAAGAATGTTGGAAAGAGTAAGCCTAAAATCTTAAATAAGAAAAACAAAAATGCAGAAACGCTAGTTAGAGAAAAGAAAGTTAGATCTACAGTTATTTCTAAGAAAAATAATAACGCAACTAAAAAACTAGTAGGTTTGAAAGAAAAAGAAAAAAGTGAAGCTAAAGCTGTTTCTGAGAAAAACAAAAAAAAATCCAAACAAACTCTAGTTCCACAAGAAAGAAAGATTGTAACTAAAGTTCTAACTAAAAAGGAGAAAAGTAATTCGAAGAAAGTTCCAGTGCTTAGAAGGGAAAAAAATGAAACTAAAGTTGTATCTAAAAAAAATAAACAAAAAGCTAAAGTTCTCACAGTTCCACAAGAAGAAAATAAATTGAAACCTATTCCTAAGAAAGTTAAGAGGAAAGCTGAATCTGACTTACAGAAAGAAAATATAAAACCTGAAATAGCTGTAAAAAAACCTAAAGTCTCAAATGATGTGACTACAAAAAAGGAAATAAATATTGTTGAAGATGTAACTTTAGAAAAAGAAGGTCAAAATTGTGAAAATTTAGTTTTACGAAAGAAGGTGAAGGTTGTTAAAGATCCTTTAAAAAGAAAAAAGTTAGAAAATTCTGTTAAAGCACTTCTTAAAGTAGTGGATGGAGGAAAACAAAAGAGAAGAATATTGTTGACTTCAGAACAACCACCAATTTTCCTAAATATTACCTGTATTAAAATTCCCAAAACATCATTACATCAAATGCGATTGTAAGTATGTTTTTAGTTCCATTAATTTGAAATCACTTAAAAAATAAATTTTCATTTATACATGATTAATTACAACTAATTACCAATGGATCCTTATGAGATTATCTGATTAGAAAATTTTAAATGACTAAATATTTATATAAGAACTTTTTTTAAACTTGTTTAAAAAAAATTTTGTTGAGAATGTAAATTATATTTTCAGTGAATTGCCACATTCATTAGTTGCTCCAACAGATGATATTGCTTTGTTTGTGAAAGATCTTAAGAAAGGCCGTAGGAGAGGTTTTGATGATACCATACATCACTTTGAAAATTTATTACAGAAGCACAACTGTAACATGATAAAATCTATTATACCATTCAATCAGGTCAAAACTGAGTATAGACAAATTGAAATGAGAAGAAGGCTGTTAGGTTCATATGATCATTTTCTTTGTGATGGTCGAATTTCTGGACATTTGGCCCATTTATTAGGTAAAATATTCAGAGACCATAGAAGTCTACCGATTTCTATTCATATGGATAGACAAGATTTGAAAACAGAAATTGATAAAGCACTCAAGAAAACCAGCTTACAAATGCATAGTAATGGTGATACCTACGTAACACAATTTGCTACTTGTGCTATGAGTGTAGATGAGATAACAGATAATTTATTGTCAGTTATACAAACATTGTTTAAAAATTTTCCTGGAGGTTGGAAAAATATTCGATCCTTAAGGATAAAGAGTCCATTGAGTATGGCAATTCCAGTTTATATGACACTTAGTAAGTTATCAAATTTTTTAGAAATTGCATTTTGCAATTATACAATTATTTTAAATATTTAATATTCATTTCCTAATTTTAGAAAACAAAAATGAAGTAGAAGTTCCTGTACTTGAACCCAAGCGACCGAAGGCTTACAAGAGTGTTGAAGGAGAACTATCCACTTTTGTGTCCAATGTTCATGTTACAGTAGCACCTGATGGTACTGTTGATGTTCAAAAATTAGGCGGTGAAAGCGACGATGACGAAGAAAATCTTAACGATTTTGAAGAGGATGATGCTGAAAATGAATTTAAAAATGAGAATGAAGATGAAGATGAGGGAAAAAATGAGGAGGAAGACGATAATGAAGATGAAGATGAAGATGAAGATGAAGATGAAGATGACGATGACGATGACGATGACGATGACGATGACGATGACGATGACGTTGACGTTGACGTTGACGTTGACGACGATGACGTTGATATTGACGTTGATGATGACGTTGATGATGACGATGATGATATTAAATGAAGACAGAAATAAGTTTCGTTTAAATAATTAGAATAATTAGTTATTTTCACATTGTAAATAACAGTATCTTTTTATTAAGTTAGATTCTTTTTTAAAAGTCAAAAGAACGTTTTGTTTTTTATAGTTCATGTAGATAAATGCGTCGTTTTTGTACAAATATTTAAATATTTAAATACATTATATAAACTTTTAAATAAAAAATGTAATTTTTATAAAACCTAGGCTAATCCAGTAGTTTAGACCAGTGTATTGATTAGTTAGATGCAATTAAATATTTATAAAAGTAACAGTAGATAAAATTTAATATAAAATCGTTTGATCCTTTTTGGATATACTTTGATAATTATTTGTTGGAGTTATGGGGACTGTACTACCATTAGCATATAGCATAGATTTATGTTGTACTTCATTCCCAATATTGAGCGATGAAATAAGAACTACTTCAATTTCTTGAAAATTAACCAATCTTTGTACATCTTTGTCTCGTCTAATTTTGGTATTAGGTAATTTTCGTAATTTCAATACTTGACTAGCGTCAACTCCTAGTTCATCACAACATACTTTGATTAAATTCTTATAAGTCAAAGAATTATGTGGAAGATCAACCTCTATATAATCTGGGTCATTTGAATTTGCTATTCGAACTTTTAGTACCAACTCTAAAAATAAAAAATAATGATATTATAATGAAAAAGAATGATTGTTTTATCAATAGCCAAACAGTTATAAGTATTACCTTCTTGGAATATATTAGAAGTAATATTGCTACTAATGTTTCCAGTATTGTTAATTTTTGTATGACGAAGGGAATGTAAGTTTAATTTGCTGCTCAGTGGAGCATTTTTAATATAATTAGGCACAAAACTGAGCGTTTCTACATCAGTAATTATTTTTGAGAAAGCTGGAGGAGTATCCAATAATTGTAAAATTCCTGGATTTGTACAAACTGATGCTGGAGTCTCACCTTTGTCAGATACAACATTTTTATCTGCTCCACTTTTCAATAATAAAGCTACAACATCAAGGTAATTCCTTTTACATGCCCAATGTAGCGGTGTCCTGTTATGAAATCATAAAAATTGTCACTTTAAAGACAATAGCGATTTAGTAATCTCTTTCCCACAATAAATATTCTACATTTTACCATCCATTTATAGCATGCCTCGTGTTAACATCAACTCCAAGATTTATTAACTCTTGAACTGCATCTGTATCACCGACACAAGCAGATTCTCTCAATTGTTCTTCCAATATTCTTCGATCATCCATCGTTATTTTATTTGAATTGTAACAAAACAAAACATTCGCGAGGTATGGACAGCTGATGAAGCTGTCAGTCTGCTCTCCTCTTGTAAACTGTTCAGTGCTGAGGCCGAATCGAATAGTTTGCTTCGAGATTGCTTCCTGACTTCCTTCAGGTCGTCCATTGTAGCTCTCACTTCGTGTACGAGATGTCCGTCGTGTTATAGAGTTGTAACGTCATCGGCAATATAATCGTATACTCGGTGACTAAATAAAAATGTAGGCTTTAATTATGTAGTTTTAAAAATATAAAATATTCAACTGCGTTAATCTTATACAGTACCGACTTGTTTAAAATCGTCATTCTATAAGTTTCAAAAATACGTGATGATTGTTATATGTAGCAAGCTTTGTAATAATTAATTATTTCTAGTTAAACATTGGGTGTTCGTTCGCGCACTATCATAATTAATTTTTATTTCAATAATAATCGATGTATCTAATGCTTACTAAAAATTTTATTTGTTCAGTAGTAAAATCTACGTTGTCAAAAACGTTCTTTTTTTATTTAAATATTGTTCAAATATATTGTCCTTATCAATTTCGCTCCATCATTAGAATGAAACTCCACCTGAGCGAAGCATTAACACTACAGCTGTTACCGATCAATTCATATACCAATTTTATTTACATAGATAAAAGAGAGAGATAGTATATTCCTTAATTAGTTATAGAAGTTAACGCATTTGAGTTAAGAGGTTTATAAGCAAGATGTACGACTGTATTGATCCGTTATGTATTCGATCAAAATAAATCTATTGTATTATGAATTCAAAAATAGTGTATCTTCTTTTATATTAATAGTATTCTTATTAATTTTTATACTAAACATTTCGGAAATCCTTTTTTATTAAAATTACTTTCTTTAATATTATTGCGCTATCCCAATGAAAAGTATGATTATAGGATTTTCTAAAATATGTTTTGGAACTGGTTGTAATTTATTATTATTGACATCTAAGAAATGGTGAATTTTTAATAACGCATGACTTCTTATGCTCATCAATACGTGGTTTTAATGACCTTTTACTTTTTCCAATATAGTCGCTATATTACAATCATTAGAGTTGAATTTTTAAATCACTCGCGTCTCATTCTATTTACAACTATTGTCTTTTCCTAATTTTATGATATTATCCAATTTTTTATATTCATTAAAGAAACACGTCGTATGTTATATTTTTTCAATGATTTCTTGCTATTACGATAACATTTTTCAACAAATGATAATGATATTGTGAAGATTGGAAGGCTGCATTTATGTGAAATTATATGTTGCGGTTTGTTTTTGAATTTATGATATTTTAATCTATTTTTAATACAAGTATCTTTCAATTCGGAAGGATAAGAATTATTACAAATATTTTTAGTTATGTCTAAATTGTATTGATGAAGAGATATATGAAATAGTAATATTGCCTTGTCAATTAAATTTGATACAATGTTTCTCTTTTACTATATAATTAGAGTTCAAATTTAATATTCTATTAGAGCAAATTTTTATGCGACACCAATGCGTAATAACTTTTATAATTTTTCTTAATAAGCGTTAAATCTAAAAAATTTGATAGTTATTGGTTTCCAACTTATATGAAAAAAGTAAATCTATATTATAACTATTAAATGTATCCAAAGTTTGTTGTAATTAAGAATTCTTTCTTGAGACACATAATTGTGTCATCTACACATTGCAAATAAAATAACGAAACACAGTCAAATTTTTCTTTTAATTGTTGCAGGCAAAATTCTTCTAAATCTGTCATTACCAAATCTGCATAAAATGGCAAAATTGATGAACCCAGAGGGCAATCAAAAATTTGTTTGTAAAACTTATTAAATTACGAAAAGATGTTATCAAAAAGGAATTTTACTAACTCTATTATATCTATATTTATGGAATTTTTGAATGTTTCATAATGAGACTATCTTTTGTGTAAATTGTTAATTACTAATTGGCATGAAACATGATTTTATCGAGAAATGACGTCTATAGATATTAATATATAATTTAAGGGTTATATACAAATACATTTGATACTTTTTTATTTTAATTGAAAACTATTATTAATGTGTAAATCCCGTTTTAGTAAAATAGTTGAGATTCTTGTGGAGCAATTTGGCGAGGAAATGTAACGATCAGCTATTTATGGAAGAAATAATGATTCTGTATGGCATACCTTATTTGTGGATTTTTGGTAACCCATGCGTTTTTGTTAAAATTGTATTGGTTTGAGTAAGACTATTTTTATGATATTTGTTAAACCTAAATATCCGTTCTCGTTTGAACGTGTTAATATACTATATACATTCTTTTGTAAAGAATTGAACGGATTTTTCAAGATACTTTTACATGTTTTTTTATCATTGTAATTATTCTTCATCTTTTTCTTATAATCCTTAATATCTATGCAAGCCATTGTAATAACTTTGTCAACACTAGTAAAAATTATATTTGTATGTTCCTTAAGAAAATTTTTTATAATATTTACTATATTGAGAAGTTTCATATCATGTTTGGAACGAAAATGGCCATTTCTATTTTGATTTTTGTGTTTTATAATATCTTCCGCAATAATCTCTCTCGCTTCATTCTTAAAAGAAAAGCTTATCCTACTTAAACTATTTTCTACTTTTTTAATTGTTGCAATTATATTGTGTTTTGATAACCCACTTTTTGGATCGAAATTGCGACTTGTAAAATGACATCTTTAACTTCTTGTAGAAGAGAAACATTAGTCAAATTAATTAACCAATTATTGATATTGTATTGTTTATCTTTGTTTTCTAAGACATGAGTTTTTGAAATCTGTTATTTCAATTGTCTTTTAGTTTACTATAAATCTTTTGAATTTTTGTTTCAGTGTATAATAATCTAAAATTTTTTACAATACTGTTGTCTATGGTTAACTTCTCCAAAAAAATTGTAAGAGCATTTAATATGTTTTTAATATGATAAATATGAGTGGTTAAATCTAAACAAATAGTTTTCACATTTCAATTTCAATTACATATTGTGTAGATCTATTCAATCAACTTGATCATTTAATATAGAATGAACGCGACGAACAGACCTTATACAAAGCGGGAGCCTGCAGAGCTGCCAGAGTGCACGGACGTCTGCAAAGCGAGCTATTCGATTCAGTTCAGCACTACCCAATAGTATACTGAATAGTCTTATAGTATACTGAAAATTGTTGCACAACGTGCAATAGACTGGCTATAACCTTAAACTCTATAGTAGTATTCATAAAAATAAGCATTTTTTAGAGTCGATTAAGACTTAATAATAAGAGAAAATTTATAAGAATTCAATCGTAAACAATGCATTATATTTACAATTTTTATTTTGTTTAAATCTGTAAGCCTGTCATTCGAAAATTGTAGTGTATATTTATTTAACAGAAATAAATATATTTTTTGTATATTTTATTAAATTTTTATAATGGCGAAATCGCTAATAAGATTGTGTGCATCTTTAAATACATTATCGAAAACACCCAAGTATTTTGGATCAATGAGATTATGTCACAGTGAAAACGAACACAAAGGTAATTAATAAAACAAAATAAACTAATTCAATGTAGGTATAACTAGAGTACTTTTATCAATGTTTCCATTATTTTGAAGAATTAACAGCTGTCAACAATCAAACTGCAAGTGAAGCTAAAAAATTGTTTGATTTATTCAATAGTGACAGAAATCCTATCAATCTAATCACTAATATAGAAGAGAACAAAGATAAAATAGACGGACGTCATGTCGTAGTAGCTTTAACTTCCATGTATAAATTTTATGAAATGAATAAGTATCCTCTAGAAAATGTGATATCTAGTCCACAGTTTACAAAAATATGTAATCATCTGAATCGACATATCAGGACTTTGGAAATGTCACATATAATTCAATCTCTGAAAATATTGAATCTTTTTAGAGTTAAAAGTTCAAACACTATAGTTCAAAATCTTCTGCAGTTGATAAGGACTTCTATAAATGATTTACATCCTAATGAAATATATTATTTGACATTTCTATTGAAACGCATGAATCCAACCCATTTGGGCAATGCTATATATACTGCATTGCCTGAGGTATTTGAAGCCAGGATTAAATCAAAACTTGATGTAGAAGATATAGTAGAGTTGAGTAATGCATTAAAGTTTGCGTCTGAGCATACTGAAGCCAAAGAATTAATTCAATTTCTTGTACAAAAGATTGATGAGTACAATGGACCAATTGATACAACAGTTTCAATAAAAATTTTTCGGTCAATTTGTAGAATCAATCAATTGACAAGCAGTTATCATAAAATCCTGTTTAAAATAAGAGATGTTTTATTACAGAATGTGGATAATCTCAATGAAGTTGAGGTAAAGCTCATTATATTAGAGATATGCACACAAGTATTAAAAGGGTATGTAGCATATTTTATACTATATTATTAAAATTATCATGAGATTTTTTAAATTTCACTTTCAGGTATGATGAATTTTACAACTCATTACTTCTAGATATGCTTATCAACCAAATTGTCAAAAATAATTATGGAATGGAGTATGGAATTCAAGTTCTTGGCAAAATTAATCGTTTAAATCATATCCATTTGCCTTTACTTCAATACTTGATATCTAAGATTCAAAACAATCCTTATATTTTTCTTAAGACTCCAAGAACTATGATAGTATTTTTACATGGGTTGGCTAATTCAAATTTTAAACCGTCTAATTGGGAAAGTTTAAGAGATATAATTTTCAAAAATTATGTAAGACTCCCTGATCATGTACCAATGGCTTACCTTGCATTACACATAGCTTCATTAGATGATTGTAATTTTGATATGATTAAACATATTTTCACAATGGATCAAAATCTTGATCGATTAAAATTTGATTATCACGAAACACTTTGTGAATTGTATCAAATTGTTAAAACCTTGTATCCAGAGTATACAGGACCTTGGCCTTCCGATGAGATATTAAATTCATTCAAAACTCTGCAATTTCAGTATGATCCAAAGAGTTATCCATTATTACCAGCATTAAATAAATTGTTGGAAGATCCCGTTTGTATAAAAACGAACGTTCTTACAAGTTTAGGACATCACATTGGTAAGAATTTTGAACATTCACATTATAATTATATATAATAAAATCTGTATCCACGTTATAATTTAAATATAATATATCGTATAATCAATATTGTCCTAGATCATTTAGTAGTTTTACAAGATGGTTCTCCCATTCCTATAGAATCCAACACTATGTCTGAAGATTCAAATTTCAGTTGTTTTGTTGAGGACCTCAATATTCCTAAAGACTGCTTAAAGTAAATAAATTCAGAATTATTATCCTAATTTGAATTTAATACGACATGGTAAAAAAATAAATATATAAATATTTTTGTTACAGAGTAGCTATTTGTTTAGTTCCCATGGAAATGTATGGTAGGAATATTTTACAGCCGAATGCAAAAATCCGTATGAAAGAAAAAACACTAAAAGCAATGTCATTCAAAGTAGTTTTTATAATGAAAAATACGTGGATATCGATGCCCGATATGGAAAGGATCCCGTACTTGCGACATATAATCGGCTTGAAGAAAAAAGAACCGAAAGACAAAAACACCGAAATCGACTTGGGTGAACTAATAAAAGTTAGTACGTGAAATATTTTCTAATATGTATATAATAGTGACATTGTTATATATTTTCAATTTGTTTTCTTCATTGATATCGTTTATGTAATAAATTGTATATGATATTATATAAGAAAAACTTACAATTAGTTTAATTTTTTTCGGAGGTCTGAAGGATTTTCAATAAAATTTCACATATTTTAAGTTTTTATACAAATATATAAAAAACTGTATTAAAAAAAAGGTATAAAAATCTTCATAATATATACACAATACAATAGTACGTCACTAAGATATCTACATTTGAGGCTTTTCTGTATAAAAAAACATTTCTTTTCTATAAAATAATATTATTAAGAGAAGACACGCAACTAAAGCTCTCGCTCTCTCATATCGAATCCTTCCTTGGAGTCGTTGGCACAATTAGAGAAGTAAAAAGCCGCGCTCCGCGCGAACAGTGTCAATATATTTGAGTGTGTTGTGGCAGTCCAATTAATCTCACTGGCTAATCACGTCGGCCATCGGATCTTCATTTACATCAGCGTTACTCTCAGCAGCGTCGACAAAAGCAGTCGACAGGTTACCCGCGAGTTTGTTCACTGTTTCCGACGATACGTCGTACATGAAAATCTCTTTCTCAGCGTCAGGGCTGTTGCTCGGTCTGCAAAATTTAATTATTAGTTTTGTAAATATATAAATTTTTATTATGTAGAATTTACAATTTTCAGTGAATTTTACGGTGTTTTGATGATAAAAAATTTAAGTCGTAGTGATTATACATGAAATGAGGAAAAAAGTCCCAAAATATTTACATTCCACAAAATATTTAGCATATTGCATAATAGCAATCTGCAACTAAATTTTCACAACTACGCGTTAGCTGAATATTCATAATCTTCCCATGCAGTTATTATCATAATCTCAACGATTTCATAAATATGTGCATTCAAAAACGTGCGCCGAGCGTAGCGGAGCGTATAACCATTAGGAAACATATCTTTGCACCGGTTACCAAAACGCTGTTAGTTTAATAATATCACGCCTAGCTTGTATTCGCCAACAAAGTTCTCATAAAGAGTGCAGCTCAAGCGCAACGCTCGCTCTGCTTTCATTGTTCGAGCTTGCGAAATTCGAAAAAAGATTGCGTGCTTTAGCTCGCACGCTTCATCTCATTATTCGGCTTGGCGATCGCGCTGAGATTAAACTCGACTACTCTGCTCGAGTTGCCGCCGCCGCTGCACAGCGAGGAAGCGTTAATTGGTGATCGCGTTGCGAGGTGGTATTTTGTCGCAATCGCGCAGTTGCCGGCACGTCGCGGAAAACGAGACTGAAAGACTGCGCAGAGAAGCGTGATGAATTTCAATTTACGACGGCCGCGACGTAATTAAGTACTTTTTTTGCGTTTAACGAACTGGGTCCGATAGATCAAGCGACGCGGAAAGAATTTGCGAGCGCGGCTTTAATGATGTACGCTTCTCGAGCGAAACGTGATTGGCCTGGGTTTATGCCGCGACTCGAGGCGAACACTGGTGATCAATCATCGTGTGTAGTTGCATGAGGAAATTAGTAGAAATTTTGTCGAGCGTACATACGCGTTGCGCGAACTCCACGTACGTAGCGAGTGCAGCTAGTTAGGATAAATAGACTCTGACGTTTCTAATTGACTTACTTCAGGAGGAAAAAATACACGAACTGATTATGTTATTTATCCTTTTTTAGATTGAAGTTTGGTAAAGTATATGTGTTTTAATGAACGCGTGCGATTAACTTGTATTTCAAGATTTTTTTAAATGCAAGTTGTCAACACGTGACTTTTGAAAAATTGAAAGAATAGCTTAAAATAATTGAATGGGATTGCGTGCAAAAATGACGCGTGTTCGAACGAAAAGAAAAAAAAATTATTAATCGACTAGTCAATATACTTACGTGGTAACAAGAAGGACAACACTTTGTCGTTGAGGTTCAGTTTGCCTTTCCTGATCCAACCACCGCTTGTAATTATCAGCCGAAGGTTTCTTCACTAACTGCTTAAGTGATTCTCCAGCAAGGAACTTGATCGCTTGCACATCATTGGCAATTTTACGATTATGCCTCGCATCTTGACCATCAGGTTGGAATCCATAATCAACAGGTGCCAACACGACCACTGATGAAATTGTTTTGCCAGCAAGTTCCGGCACACTTGGAATGGGGAATGAGGCACCACTAACTTTGAGCGGAAGATACCTGTTGTACTGTCCAGATTCATCATCACCTAATGCAACAGGATTCAATTGAGTTGCATTCTCCTTGATATGTCGATCGGCAACCGATTGTCCTTGAGTAGTGCTTGGATCGAATCTTACGACTTTCATTTCAACGCCACCAGGTCTTAACGTCACCTCCTCGAAAGAATTTTTACCCAAATGCGATGACGACGCGGCAACTTGAACTTCATCCTCGACAATTTTCGGTTTCTTAGCGACGACTTGCGGTACTGGTTCGCTTGCCGATGTGGCAGCAGCCCCACCAGCACCGTAGAAATTAGCCAGAGCTTCTGGTGGGAGATCACCGATGTTGATACCTCCAACCTTGTCGTAATCGAGAATTTGAATATCAGCGTTGCCGAGGATGCCAGAACTCAATAGTTGTTCACGAATGTCATCGGGTACTTCGTCCGGTAAGTTGGCAATGTTCTCTTTGATTTTAGATTGCTGTTTCGGCGACAGAGTTGTCGTTGGTTCCGGTGTAGTCGTTGTTAATACTGCTCTAGCTGGTGTGGTTAGAGTCGTAGGCTTCGGGGTCGACGAGTATCTGATGCTATTCGGCGTTGAAGCTGAGATTTTCTTGAAATCTTCGCCAGCCGTTTTAGTCAGCGGAGTCGCGAAGATCTTTTGGTTCGAGTCGACATTATTGGCTTGGTGGAATACTGGTCTTCCCCAGATAGATTGCTGTTGTAGCTGAGGATCTTGCTGTTGGTATTGAGGATTAGGACTCTGCTGCTGAGGAGGAGGAAGATTTTGCAGGAAAAACGATTGTTGATTCTTGAATATTTGCACTTGAGGTTTTGGGGTATTTATGGTAACTGTTGGTTTCTGTTGAAGTGGTAGCTTCTGTTGCAATAAATGCGACGGTGGCTGGGTTTGCTGGAATGACAACTGCGACTGTTGAATTAGATTCGATTGTACATTAGGTTGGTACGACAATTGTGATTGTTGCGCCAAGTTAGACTGTTGCTGAACTGGTCTGTTATACTGGTTGATATTCAATTTCAGACCTTGTTGTTGCTGTGGTTGCAACTGATTGATGTTCGGTTGTTGAGCAGGCACATTGAATTGATTATTGTTGAAAGTCGCCTCGGCGAACTGAGGATTTGGTGGGAATGGTCCCGGGAATTGTGGATTTTCCCTGATGGCATAGTGCTGTTCCAACTTTGGAATAGCTTTCAAGATTTCTCCGCCGTTATCTTTTTGTGGTAATTGTTGATGCGTTTGCAGCAGTGGCAATTGCTGTTGCGATTGTTGCGGTGGCAAAAACTTGAACGGTGGGTGCTGTTGTCGCTGTTGTTGTTGTTGCTGCTGTTGCAGCCTCAATTTTTGTTCCTGCTCTTGCTTACGTCTCTGCTCTAAAATTCTGAATTGCTCTTGCTGCCTCTTATAATCCTGTAATCTCTGTTGTTCGAAGTACTTTTGTTTTTCCTGCTCTCGCTGCTGCTTGAAAGGATCGAAGTTATTGAAGTTCGCTTGCTGCTGATTAGGCAATTGCTGATAGTTCTGCAGTTGAACATTCTGATGGGACAAGGTGGATACAGATCCTGGATGATTCACACTAATCCTGTGTGGTGGTACAAAGGAATTGAATTGCAACCTCTGCTGCAAATCCGGTAGGCCCTGAATAGTGATAGGTAACCTCTGGTGTGGCGGTCGATTTGGTGGGAATGAAATAGGAGGTTGATTCAAACGTTGATGGAATTGTGGTGCAAAGTTCGATGGTGGTGGTTGAGTTCCTAGAAGTTGTTGCTGCGTGAACGAGTTGACAATACGTTGGTGTCCGAATGCAGGTGTCACTCGTGGAGGTACCGGTTGAAACTGTGCGTATGGTCCATGTGGCCGTTTCGGCGATCCAGGTGGCGGATGAGCAGTAGGTTTTTCTACAATGGAATCGTCGGAATCGTCCTTGTCGCTTCTCTTGTTATGATTATTCGGTGGTATTTGTTCGGTACCAAAGGTCACCTTAATGCCACTGCTACCAGAATGATAATATTCACTATCGGGCTTGATAATTGCTCTAAGAGTGGTGGATAGATCGGGTGGCTGAGTGATCGTCTCGACAGGATACGGTGCTGCTTCGGGTTCAGCATCGTCGGGTCTTATTTCCTCGTGCTCCTCCACGGGATTTATCGCTGGAATCGGCGTATCGTAAACCACCCTTGGCTTGTCTTCGCCGTATTCCTGCTTCTTCTCGTACTTCACGTAGAACACTTGAATGGGCTCTTTCTTTTTCTTTGATACTGGTGGTAAGGTCGGAGGCACTGGAGTTGGCAAACTCTCGTTGGACTCCTTGATGATGATCTCGATGATAGGCTCTGGTTCCGTGGGGTAATAATTGTACGGTGATTCCTCGTAGAAAATCGGCTGCTCGTCACTCTTAGCTGCCAAGTTGTAGAGCGGATCACGCTGAGAGTACTGTGCTATTGGTTCCATTTGAACAGCGTATGGTGGTGGTCCAGTACGTCTTGGGGTGAATAATAGCTGCTGTGGTTCTCGCTTGTCGCGGCTCGTCTTCTTCTTCGCTTCGTCATCGGCAAGGACCGCGAGCGCCGCGATGCTCAGGATCAAGATCTAAGACAAAGCGAAAGTGACGATGTAGTGACTTCGCGTTTTTATTTGATGGCTGGCTGATGGGATTTTGTCGCCAGCCGTAATTAGTTCGAGAGACGAGTGCTGTAAGTGCTTTGTCATGCTTGTAATCGAATGATATTTAGGATGAAGTCCGTAAGTGTGCGTTCTTGCCGATAATTGCATTTTGCGCTTATTAAGGGTCAAACGAACTTTCAATGCCTCGGGCGTATGAAATTTATTGATCGTTATAATTTTGGACGTTAACGACGATTACGTAAATGGATGTCGATAGCGATCTTTACAGCTTAATACAAGAATTTTTAATTTTTCGAAAGTACACAACGATACTGAAAGCTCAATCTTTTTTCTTTTTATCCAATTATGGAAAATAACTATTGTTCGTTAGTGGGAAATGAAAGAAGTACGAATTTTTTGCTTGTCTTTTTTCTTAATTAGCCGTTGAATTATATAAGCGATGTAATTCACCACCACAACTATCTGCTGACAAATGTTCCAACGAAATATCCTTTAGTAATTTAGACTGTCCAACGCGCTTAATTTTCCCTCGTCAATGATAAGACTACGACGAACGGGGCGTCAGAAAAACAACACAACGTCGAGTGAAAATTACCAGCTTTAGAGCGAACGTTTAGAAAGCGAAGTAGTTCATCGTCCGAGCGAACGAGCGCGTGTGCAATTGTTCCATCGGCCACGCTTAGTATTCATTCCTCCTTGGGGGCATTTCGTAAACGTCTTCGTTATAAAGGCCGAGAAAAAAGAACGAGTCCAATGAAGATATCATATTTATTGCCAAGAGAGAGAGAGAGAGAGAGAGAGAGAGAGAGAGAGAGAGAGAGAGAGAACTAATGAACGGCGATCTTATGGAAAAACGTTAGGTCGTCTAACTGTAAAATCGATTTTAACGAAATCCTATTACACGAAAATACAAAATAATCTGCATAAAGTTGGGTACAATCGGTTTCTGGAAACGGAGACGCAGGTGCTCCCGCGCTGACACTTGTTCTTTCTCTCTTAACCGAGTGACCCGATTGTCGAACATCCTGTATGATTGGTATTCCCGATGAGACCGATCGACTCGTACGCGAATAAATTAGCGTCGACATTTCTCTCTTTACGCATTTTCCGGGTGTACGCGACGCGTATTGACATTCGTTAGGTAATCGCTTTCTTTTTCTTCTGCATTGTCCGAAGATTATTCTCTGTTCAACGCGCTAATGCTTAATCAAATCGTAATTGCGGACGCATAGCTCGAGACGACTGTAAATAGACGATGATTCGTTTTCAGTTCGTTAAAAGTTGCTTATACATATCTAGTATTAGTTGCGTAAACGCAATATGTTATTAAATAATTTCTGCTTGTACTTTATAGAGGAAAAGTTTACATAAGGAGGCAGCTGCCGGTTAATTGCTAGTCACTACTAGCTTTTAGAACTTGACGCGGATTATTTTTTTTTCTTGATTTATAACGTATTAAGTGGATAATTGCTTTCTGTCGGTTAATGCGTCGATCAAGAGGGAGGAAAATCTTTACGAGTTTATATAAATATAGGAAATTTATTTATGGTCAGTCATTGGAAAAATTGCATACGGGTGATATACGTCGTCTCAATAAATAGCTGTAGCAGAAACATTGCTGGTATATTTTTTAATGTTATTTAAAATTTTATAGCAGCAAGTTAAAAAGCATTAGGTTTCTAATGACGTATGTTCAAGCTTTTTTTGGCGCGAGACACTTATCTGATGTGACAATTATTAAGACTTTTTTTGTTTTCAACGTAGAAAGTCCACAAATCAAGCGATCAACGCTCTAATGAGATTTTACAAATATAAATGCGCAATTAATTATCACCTTTAGAATGTTCTAGCAATAGAGTTAAATATTTCCATGCTTTTCTTGCAAGATTTTTATCTTCAAAAAATTTCTTAATACTTAATTAATATTCGTCAAAATATGTATATTATTCAGTCATCAATCACACGTGAATTTCCAAATTTAACTGATCACGTCGGTAGTCGATTGAATTTCAGCAGTTCTTGATAAACGATGCCAATAACGGTAAATCAATCAACTTCCAAACTTGAAGCTTTTATGTTTCATTATTTTCGCCGATAGCCATGAAAAGAAATTTGTACAGCGTATCGTCAAATCTTTACACACATAAAACACATGTTGCGAAGCTATAAATCTAAAACAACGTGCAAAAATAAGATTTCAATCACAAGTCTTAAAAAAATGGTGTTCGAGGCATAAAACGGAGAACCTTAGCGTATACATCACCGCGAGGAATCACCAACGGTAAAATTGTATCGGGAGCGTTCGTGAAAAAACAGCGAGAATACGAGGCGCATAATAACGATTTTTACCTTTTAAACAAGAGCGCTCTTTTTCAAAAAGGAGTAAAAAAAAAAAAAATTGAGAGTATGCCTGGGATGTCAGTCGGTTAAAAAATTACCAGTTGCAGGAAGCGCATGCTTGCTTGAATTTTCTCCCGCTACACGGGGAAGACGAGATGCATAAAAAGAGGCCTCCCTCTCCTACAGCCGTTGAAGAACACGATGAACACTTGGAAACAACATCAACAACAACAACAAAAATAAATAAATAAACGACGCTCCCGCGAAGCCGCTGACACGTACAAAAGTGTTCACGCACGTTGACGCATCTTCAGGCGGCGGCGCGCGGCTACCTCGCACTGCAAGATAGAGAAGGGAACTGAGCAATTCAACAGTCGCCGCGCGCTCGCCGCCGCTGTTGCTGCTTCTTCCCACCAAAGCAGCGACAACCATGCGCATACACACACTCCGGGTGTGCGAGAGAGAGAGAGAGGAAGCCGATCTGCTTCCTAGGCCCCCTTTCTCTGACCGGCGAATAGAGGAGAGAAATTTTTATGGGATGTGATTGATCGCCGCGCGAGAGACGGAGACGCGGCCGAACGGAGCTTCGAACGTTTCAACGGGTTTTTCGATGTCCGCTCGCGAGCGTTATTTGCGGCTTTTGGCGTCCTGCCTGGAAAATACTCGCGCGGCTATATACGTATATACACCGGCGACAGCCTCGCTCGTGCCGTCCTTTGATATCCTCCTCGGCAATTAAGATGCTCGTACTTTTTTCCCCGCTCGCGTTGGATTGGCCGAAAGCTAAGCATTCGCCGGCAATCGTAAGAATTTCACTCCAACAATCTTTCGTGAAAAGAAGAGGCTTTGGCTGACACAATGGCCGAGGAAAGATTTGTTGTTTCTTCGTATTCTTGTTTCTTTTTTATGGATATTCCCAGCAGATAAAAACAAATTACGAACCTTAACGAGACGCACATCATACCGCGCTAACTTTCTCCCTCGGCGTACGTACAAAAAAAAAGTAATAACGAAAACAAATTTTTTCTGTGTTTGGCGTACGGACGATCCACGTGAAATTCCATGAAACATATACACCTTCTCTCGTCTCAAAGAGGAAGTCTCATTAATTAATTAGGAATTTTAAACGCGCCGCCGTACGCGCGTTTTCTCATCGCGCATACACATGGCCAAGAGGGATATATCGCATGGCCCGAGGCGCCTTCGCGGGTCCGGAGTCGCGGAGAATAGACTTTCCTCGATTATTTTTCGTCGATGGGATCTCGCGCGGCGCTCCTTTACGATAGGAATACGCAATGAAATTAGCGGCGACATCGTCTCGCGGAGAGATACGTACCCTCGCGCCTCGTCCGTTCGATGCAGCCTCACCGCCCCGGTGCAAGCCTTTACGATGAAAACGTCGCGGCCGAACGGAGCCCGGAAAAATTTCCGCTTTTCGGGAAGTCCCGTTGCGTCGATTATCTATGTTCGCGCCCGAGCGAGCATTCGGGGGACTGCGCGCAAATCGTAAATTTTCTTGCAGATCCTCCGTTCGCCTTGCCGCGCTCGCGTTTATCCGCGAAAAAAAGGATTCGAGTCGGCATTGTGCTCGACGTTCCCAGACGGCGAAGCTCTCTTCGCGGTTCCTTAGCGCTGCATATCAATCTCTTCTCGCCTCTCCTTCCGGGATACACAACGCGCGCGCGTTGTGTTGTCCCTCTCTTCTTCATTTTTGCTTCGTTTTGTTTTGGGAAACGTCGATGCGTAAGAGATTAGGTAATGCGCGAAATCAAAAGACAGCCAGGCAGAGCGGGACAATAAAGTGAAACGTTAAGATAGCCATCTCCGTTTGCGCCAAGAGGGGCAAATCCAAAAGGCTTTTACGAGATATTCAAACGCATGGGCATTGTGCGCTGTGTTCAACACGATGTCTCTCTCTCTCTCTCTCTCTCTTGCTCGCGCGCGCGGCTGCTTTTCTCGGCTGATTTATAGCTCGACCATTGATACGTCTCGTTAATGGCCAAGCAAACGAGATTATGAAGACTTTCGCGAAGGCGACGAACGAGAGTGAAATGACGGATTCGCACGGTCGGAATGACGGACTCGTAAATATCCTCGGCGCGAGAACTTTCACCGCCACCCCCGCGCCCTCGCGCGTCGCCTCGATTACACACCGATCGGGATTCAATGATCATCCTTTTCCCATCTGCCTGCCGCGGCTGCTGATCCGGAACGTGACCTTGCTGAAAAGTTCGCTTTCATTCCCCGCCGTTTCTCTATTTCGCGTGTCGCTGGCTGCCTCGTGCATGCGCGCGGCTTTCACGCAAGAGCGGTTCGAAGGTGAATTGGCAATTCGTGACTTGGAGGATGCATCGCTATAATTGATGATATATGTCGGCTATTCATTGATATTTTTCGCGTCTTTCTTTTATCGGATTGCTCGGCCCGCGGCCAATTATTACGCGGACAATCGCGTTGGATCGACGCTTCGCAGCGATGAATTAACGTTCGGGTCCCTCGTTCGCCGATAACGTACGGCGGCAGCGCCGAAGAGCGCATCCAACCTCGCGTAACGCGTGAACGTCGATCGGATCGGACCCGCAGGGTCGGGCGGTCGGCTCGCGCGCGATGCAGTGCACCTGACGCGCGTTCGGATTCGGGACGATCGGCGAGCACTCTCGAATGGAATTCCGCTCGGCAGATCGGACGCCGGCGAAATGTCGAGCGAAGCGCATATCCGCGAGGCTCTCGGCGAGCGCGTCCAGCACTTACTTGGGAGCCGCGGCAGAGCAGCTCGGCGTTTCTCGCGCGCTCGTCCTACTTGGCCGCAAAAACTTTCACTTGCAGCGGGCTCGAAGCGGCCGCGCTGACGACCCGATGTATATCGATATACGTGCATACATGCACGCGCATGCATGCCTGTTCTCTCTCGGGCGCTTTTTATGTGCATTTGGGAAAACGATGCATTGTGCGGCGATAAAGAGGGATGGTTAATTACGTATGGCTACCATGGTACGACGGATTAGAATGATCGAGGTCGATATCGTAGGTCGTTTGGTAAATCATCGCGCTAAATCTGCTTTTTTTTTTTTTTTTCGCGAAGAGACGCTTCGGAAAGATTCTCCTTATTAATGGGCGGAGAAGGTTCTCGGTCGGCGCGAGAAAGTTTTCACCGTTTGTGCGCGCGATGCTTGGCTGCATTTTGTGATCCTCATTGCGGCATATTGACGCGAGAGATCGCGGAAAACGCTTAGACGATCAAAAGTTGTAAACAGAACCATCATTTGCGCAGACATGAGAATGCAGCCATTGTGGCAAGTGGGAAAAGCGCGATAAAGCAAAGATAACTGTGCTCTCTTCAAACATACGTATAGTACTGCACGTGTATTCCGTAGATATTTCTAAATAATTATATCGTTGCATACGTTCTCGTAAATTGACGTATACCTGTTTTAATCCGACACACAAAAAGTTATAACTAAGTGACGTACATCATTGAGATACAGATATTTGTTGATCCGATTTATTTTGCCACGCAAATCAAGTTTTTCGTCGATGTAGGTTACAGTTCAATGACTGATATACCTCTCATAATCTAGCAAAGATGCTATATGTCGAAAGTAGATTACACTCGTTCAGTATCAATAAGTAAGTTTCATAAGAGTACATTTTCTAACAGCAAAAATCAACTAGGCTGATCGCCGTACTTTTACGGGCTGTAAACGCGGAATTACATAGCTCACAAAACTTAATTGAACCTTACAGCGACACGCGCAATTTTCATTGGAAAACTCTGCGCGCAAACGTGCATTATAAAATTCAAATAAAACTCGCTCCTCGTCAAAAAATTCACTTTGTGAAAGTTTCTCACTCACTCGAGAGAAATTAAAATTACAAAGAAGAAATAATGTACGTGGAATGAAGTAAAAAAAAAGATCCACGTTTCGTTGGTCTTTTAAGGCGTGTCGCTGCTGATTCGTTTTTTTTTTCGCGCGCACCGTTAGATGACTTTTTTTCGTAGAGAGGCAGGCCAGTTCGGTGACCGAGTTGATTGGCATCGATTCGTAAAAAGAAGAAAAATGCACACACGCGCGCGCGCGCGCGAGGAAGAAAGAGAAAAATACAGGTCGATCGCGAAAAAAGGATTGCATAAATTACGCCGCCAGAGGTATCGGTCGCCGCGGCACTTTTGCGGCGCGCGGAAAATCGTAAATAAGAAACCAAAGCGAGCGTGTGAAGGAAAAAGCTAAAAAAGAAAAAAAAAAAAAACAGCCGTAGCGCTTAAGCGCGATTATGAAAATTACGCAAGGCTCGCGGCAGGGGAGATTTCTTCATTTTCCAGAGCAGCGTAAGTCATTAAGAGCGCCAGGTTTCTTGTGCAAACAATGCGTGCGTGGAGCCATTTTTTTTACTCTTTCCGTGAATATAGGTTAATAATCGGCAGGTGAGTTATTAACGTGTCCTCTCTCCCCTCCGACGAGCACTCACCTTTAGAGCCAAGGGAGCGTGAAAGTTTTTTTTTTTTTTTCTTTTCCTTTTTTGTTCCAGACTTCGACGCTGAAATTGTACGTTACGGTCTCGCCTTTACGCGCGTACGAAACGCGATTTTTCCAACGCGTAATTTATGTAATCCCTGCTCGTAGTCCGCGCGTCTACCCGAGTGTTTATTATACCGTACGGGAAATGGGAAATGCAGGCGCGACGCGCGCGCGATTGGCTTTCAGATAGACGTACGGACGCTCCAAGTGATTTATTTTATTGTTCTGTCGCGCGACGGACTGACATATTTTTTCGTTTTGCGAATGCAGATTGCGTCCTGCTGATTTTGCCTTTCGGAGATGCGCCGATTTCTTCTTCTCGTTCTTCGTCGCATAACAAGTGCGAGACGCGATGATAATAGCGAAAAGAGTGAAAGTTGCCGCGCGCAGAGACCTTCTGCCCCGCAACTGCGAGATGTGCATTATTCATGTAACTATATCTCTCTTTATTCCTAAATACGCTTGTTCGATCAATCGTTATTTATATAATTTTCATTATTTCCCTCTGGAAGCCCGAGTACACCAGGGCACGCGAATAAATTATGCGCGCGGTTGACGAGTTCAGAACTTTTCATTAAAATATTTGAAAAATGAAACTGGGAGAGAGTAAAGCGGAAGAAAAATTTATTGGCAAAGAGACACTTTATGTAATCTAAACAGTCGACCGGTCGTGGCGAGGATGAAAGTACGCATCGATGCGGATATTAATTTCATAAAAGCCGCTTATGAGCAGCATCTTTTCTGTGCGACGATACTTTCAATTGTGCATCCTTCGGACAGTATCTTGTCTTTTTTGCCATTTTAATTGGGAAAACATCGACTAAGCAAGTTTTAATATGTTGCCCGTTGATAAAAGCTAACTATACCGATGAAAAGCGCTCATCATCGTGCGTCCGTAATTTCAACAACTTTCCACAAAATCAGCCGATAGTATCATGACGTTTATCGGTTCCATCGATTAGAATTACCTCGTTGAATTCACTTTAGGGGACAGATATTAAAGTGTAATTGACAAAAATATCGAAAGGCGACAATTTAAACATCTATTTTTATTCATCTTGCAAGTTTCATAATTTAAATTAAAATTTCGATTAATCATTTTGCACGTGCAGTTTCCAATTTGCCGGCATATTTTTTGTCCGCGTGCTGACAGGTGTCAAATCTTCGATATTTATGTAATAATCAATATTCAAATTTAAATGTGGGCTGAGCGCACACACTTCGTTGCGTCACATTTGACAAATTACATAAGCACTTTTACGCGTCAAATTAGCGAGAAAACTGATGCGTTCGAGCCCGTAACATTACGCTCGCAAGCATTGCAATTTCCTCGACATTTACCTTCAAAACACGAGTACCAATTAAAAGAATGAATTTACATAAGGAGAAGACATTGTTTCTCAACGGGTAACTTTTCATTGGAAGACGATATCACCAAACGGACAATCGCTCGCAAATAAAAAGGTGTCTAGCCACTAGGCTCGCGATTCGCGGCCGTAGCTGCTCGCGAGTGACTCATTTTTATATGCGCGCATCCAAGTTGCGCGAGCGAGCGGGTGCGTTCGCGTGAAAAAAAAAAATTGAGGAGGATGCGCGCAAGTCGGAATGTGAGAGGGGTTGCCTATCTGCGCGAGCACGCGCGTAAGAGTGAAAGTGATAGCCGCGCGCGCGCGAAGAAACCGAGGCCTAAAGTGGGCCGTCGGAATCGCGCGGCGCAACCGTTATTAAAATATAAAACGCGCGTCCGCGGCTGTTCGGCATTTCGCTGGCGGAGAAGGACGCCGCTTCTCTCGGCGCGACGCCGCAGCTCCGCTTATTGGCTCGCGATCGCGCGGCGAACTGCGGACGGACGCCCAGGGAATGTGCGATTCGCGCGATCGAGCTTGGCTGTCGTCGTACTGCCTACGTGCGACACGGCAGCTGACGACCGCGGAAGCCCAGTTGAAATCGCTCTCGAAGAAAACGCCGAAGCCCGAGAGAGTTAAACGCCCACGCGTGGCACTATGTGTCGTCCGAGGAATGAAATACTAGCTCTTCGTGCGCACGTAAGTCGCTTTACAAGACGAAGCGGTTCGATGAAAGCTGTAGCTTCGTTCTGCTCGCTGGCCATCTTTTATACGCAAGTGTCGCTTTGTTATGCAGAAAGTATCGATTTTTTTTTTCATTCCCGGCCAACAACTGGAATTGCGCGCGCTCGCGTTATACGCTTCCAAGATTTTCAATTTTCCGTGCACTCTGTTAGTTAAATTCCAACATCGTACCTTATTTTTTAAATCGTTTAAGTAAAGTTAATGGCTTACCGAGAAACTTGAAATACTTGAATTATTTATAGGATCATAATTTGTGAAAAGCCTTGCGTTGTATGTATAGTTTCTTTCTCAATTCTCATCGACAAGATATCGGTATATAGGCTTTAAACATTTTATTTTACGCGCCATCGCGTCTATAATTTATTTCATATACAAAAACTAAACGAAAGTATTATTAGACTTTATGAGAAAGTTCGAATTCAAAAGTTTATCCAGCTTAGAAAAACCTATTACAAGTACTTCGATTACCACCCAACTTTCATCTTAATCGTTTGAAATGTACGCACAAACACGTTTCTTTTTTGCAAGCGAAGCTCAAAGTATGAGCCCCCCGAAAACCAAACAAGGAATTTTATAAGAATTACGTGAACGTGAAATCCACGACATTCGCAAAATGCCGTCTGCGTGCGTGCCGCGAGACAAACAAGCGTATACCGTCAAGAGGTTTTTATGGTACTATTTGTAAGCAGGAAAATCCTCATGAAACGTGCGGATTTTCGCATAAGATGGATATCGAACATCTTCGCTCCCATATTAAGCGCCTTAGTGAAAGTGCGATAAAGCCGCGCTTTTTTATTCATACTCGCCATTCAGGGAATTCACTTGCAGAAGAGTGAGAGAGAACTTCTCGATGGTCGACATCGTCGCCGCGAGTTCGATCTTGATATAGCACGCACGATATGAGATTTCTATTATGATGGAAACGTAGATATATAACCGACGCACGTGAAAGAGACTCATTTTTTTTTCTTTCATCGTCTCCCCTTTGATTCACGGTTAGTGCCGTGTCATAGGCGCGGTGAAAGTCCTTTTGCCATTTTATTTCCTTTACGATTACCTTGCCAATTTTTTCAGCGCAATCGGCACGCATTGTGCCGACGAGGGGGGGGGGGGCTTTAATTCGACAAAAGGTAATTTCAGCGCGCTATTGCCACCGGCGGCTTAATTAAGTTTTCTAAAATCCGTCACCGGTGCTGCCACGCAAGGTGAATGTTCCTCTCCTTTACCACTGAAGATTATCTGCTTTCACGTGCGTCAAGCACGTCACGTCACTCGACGTGCTGTACGTTATGGCTCGGCTGCTTCTTTATTTTTTTTCTTATTGTTAACGGATGCATTCCTGCAAAAATACGTAAACGTATTTCTCGTTTTAACGCGCGCGCCGTTTCAATAAACAGAAGCTCAACAATAACCATCAATTGGCTGCAACATCTGAAGTATACACAAGTGCTACGTGAAAGCGAGGTGATACGAGAGTAATATTCGTTCGCGACAATTTTCCTGCTGTGTATCGCGCGCATTGGTTATATAGGTATATCGCTTAATTGATTCGTACGAGCTCTACTCGCGTAACGATCACTTCCGTAAAAGAGTCGTGGGCATAATTAGATTTTGTTTGCTCTCGAGAGCCGTTTCCGAGCAACGGACACTAGTCGACGCGGAAGAGTAGTTTCTAAAGCGCATGTGCATGCCTAATCCCCGGCTTCTATGTATTCCAAACGAGTTTTGCATTAGGACTCTGTCGCTGAAAGGTGTTGCGATGCGGCTGTCCCGATCGTAATTCAAGTTTACTCAGCGTACGTGACACCGCAATCAATGGTGTAGTTGAAGAGAGGCTTACTTTTTAATGGTAGCAGATCTTGAGAATATCCGAGAGATTTATAGACGCCTTTCACCTCGCACCGTGTAGTTCAAGTTTCTCGGAAATTACATAATCAGTTTTGCGAAATTATATTCTGTAAACGGACATAACTTCCACTGCGTTTAGTTTCAATTTATTTCGAAGTGCAAAATAGCGATTTATACGATTGATTAGTTTCGAAACGTCCCAAAATCTCCTATCGAGGTTGATTCCCGTGATCAACGAAAGCCCTGCGAATGCGCGCTTCAATTTCGCGGCTATGGTGTGAAAACAGTTGATCAGTCCAAGTATGGCCGCGTTCAAACGTAACACGTGTGCTGCCGCTTGCGCGTGTCATGCTTGCTCCAGAATTTGCTTCGCTATCGATCAGATCTTTTGCACTATGCGTGTCTACGGTTGGATGTTGGATGCTTACGTCGTGGTAAATTTGTTATTCTTTTGGAAGGTTCTTGATTCGCGAAAATCGTGTTTCACCCTTGAACGATCACGATGTATGAATTATCGCGTTGATACATCAGCTGTTGTTAGACTGCTTGCGCCATCTCACGACAAACATCCCAGTCAATTTAAATTTTCGAATGTCACAGGACTTTTTTCAAGAAAATTTGTGGAGTAAATTGCCAAGTAGTTGGCAGGACATTTTGGATGGCGTGATGCCTGAAGAGTTAGGTCAGTGGATCCTCGAAGAATCTGGAAAGTAAGTTGCGATCGGTCGTTAAGTTATAAATGTTCGATAACATCGATTTATACTGATTTTAGCAAGCGTGTTTGGCCACTATCATTGTTGGCACTCAGAGTTCTTATTAATAATATACAGATACCCAGAGATTACAAAAGAGATGCCGCAATTAGATGCTTCTCAAACGTCCGTCAAACTCAAAAAACCAACTCAAAAGAGAACGATCAAGTCTCAGCGAAGGACCAACGATTTGATAATTTATTCAAAAAGCACGTGAAAACAAAGAAGAGATACGAAATCGACGTCATATCCAAGGTAAATACACCGAATCCCGAATTATCAATCTTCTTCAAAAATAAAAAAACAAACGAACGTAGATAGCAGCTGATTGCGCTAGCAAAGCCGGATGCACGTGTGTCGTTGACGTGGGTGCTGGCATGGGTCATTTGGCTCGAGTTTTGGCTTACAGGTACGATCTAAAGGTTACATGCGTCGAACAAAACCCAGCATTACTCGAAGGTGCTAGGTAAGCATTATACGTTTCTCTTTGCATAAGCGCGAAATATGATTCGTTGAAATTAATTTAAACAAATAACTTTGAGTCCCCCCCCATCCATACACACACGCGCGCGCGCGCGAAATTACCGTGCGCAGCGCTTTGATAAATTATAGACATAACATAGTCTATTATATAGCATCTTTTCCCCACTTGCATTTTACGGACGCGGTGCATTTAAAATGTATACTTCTCAAAACATGTACATTGCATATTTACATAAGCTTGTAGACAATTTCCACGGATTATTAAATAATTCTTACATAAGGGTCGATATATTAACATATATTCGGTTCGAAAATAAAAGCTAAAGTTGACAATTTATGTGTTTGTAGAAAATGGGATAAGCAATTGGCCGAATCGTTAGGAAAGTATTTGTCGGACTTTCGCGAAAGAAAGCCACCGCATCAGCTCGCCGTACGAGTAGAAGCGTCGAGTTCAGCGAGACGACAGTTAGCCGAGCAATTGACGCTAAGCTTCGGCGCCGAAGAGTTCGACGGTTTTGGTCTAATTGGTTTGCATCCGTGTGGTGATTTGGCTGCAACCCTTCTGCGATTTTACAGCAACGAGCAGAGCGTCAAATTCATTTGCATCGTTGGTTGCTGTTATATGAAACTGACGCTCAGGTTCGTTACGTAAGCGATTTTTACGATAAAAATGAACGAAATTGTGCAATATAAAGCGCCCTCGGAATTCTCGTGCCATGCCTTTTTTATTACTTTATAATTACAAAATTTTCGTCGTGTGCCTTTATTTACTGCGCGAGAGCTATGATGGAATACATTATCTTTTCTTCCGCGGAGGTTTCGTATGTTGCATCTCGAATCAAATTTTGTCATAAATAGTAACGTCTAACATTAGTCAGATCCGCACATATGATAAGTGAAAGTAAATTAATGATACACGGATATGTTGTAAATTACCTTTTCTCTGTCGTTTCTTCGAATGTATAGCGGAGATGTAGAGAAAGGGTATCCAATGAGTCAACATGTGACAACTAGAGGTGGCAATAATCAATTGTCTTACGCTGCATTAGAGGTTGCGTGTCATGCTTTGGAGAAACATTGTGATAAGTTGAAAACCAACGATTTTTACGACTTGATTGTGCGTATCGTGTAGCTTTCACACGAGTGTTTTGCTACTGTATTTTTAAATGTTTCATTTAATTTTCATAACGTGATAATATCAGGTTCATGCATATCGAGCTGTTCTGGAGTTCTTGCTGGTTGAGAAAAATCCTGCTTTGCGGCGGAGGCAGCTGAAAAATACTAAAGTCAAAGATAATACTGAATTCAAAGAGTTTAGTATTTTTAACATATACATTTGTTATCTGAAAGGATATTGTAATTTAACTTTTGTCATTGGCAGGTACTGTAAAGTTGCTACTGAAGTTTTGGATCCAAAAGATCGACCAACTGATTTGGATTACGAGAGAACTGACGTCAAAGACTTTTTAAAACAGTGGAAGCGAGTTTTAATATTTAGCTCTTTACGATTATTCCTTGCGCCATTGGTTGAAACTCTAGTTTTATTTGATCGATTTTTGTATCTGTCAGAAATGCAATTATCTCCATCTTTAAAAGCGGAATTTGACTCTAGAATTTCACCTCGCAACTTTGTTCTTTCGTCTGTTAAGAAAAAAAAATGAGATATTTTTAATAATCCAATGATAATATTAAAATACAAGACAATTATTTTTCAAGCTTTATTATAAATTTTTGAATAAATTATAAATTATAGAAAAAGAATTTACTAATTTTCATATTTTTCCTAATGGAAAATTTTGTAATGATAATTGAAATGATTTTTTTTCTTATAACGGAGTATGCGTAATTATTTATAATAAACAATGCACTATAGTTATACCATATTTGTAGAATAAAAGTAGATAAAAGAAAATAGTTTTATTGCATTAACATCAGTCAAATTACTTCTAAAAGAATAAAATATTAAAGTATCATAATTTCTCATTTTTAAATTCCATTACTTTTCCTACCGTTGATGTCAAAATGTTAGTAATTCAACTAATAATTATAAAATGTCATGCATCAGAATGGCACAAAATATGAACATAGAAATATAGTTTTTAATATTTATATTATATTTTTATGTCTTTCACTTTGTTACTTAGTACATCTGAAATTATTGCATTATTGAGAGTTAATAAGTTAATATTAATAATAGTTACATAGCTTAGATAACTTTTTAATATTAATAAATAGTATTGTTATTTGAAAAGTTAGCGCGTAATCGCCATATTACGGTCACTCAATAGCACGTAAACCATACCGAGTTTAGCCGGACTTTTCCGAAGGCATCGAGCATCTGTTCTCAACTGCTAGGTGGCTGGTTTTTTTGATGACGTCATTAGAACAACCAAGCAGAAGGCGATAAGACCGTCAAAAAAGCGAAACACACAAGCACGAGTGAGAGAGAGAGAGAGAGAGAGAGAGAGAGAGAGAGAGAGAGAGAGAGAGAGAGAGAGAAGAGAAGCAAGCAAAAGCAAAGCAGAGTGCTGCCCCTCCATCAACACAGATACACAGAGAACACCAATTGCCTTGACCACGCCAGATTGAAAAAAAAACGAAAGCATCCTGATCTCCGATTTCTTGTCTACGTTTGATCGTCAACATGTCGTACGCCTACCTCTTCAAGTACATCATCATTGGTGACACGGGTGAGTCCTCCATAACTCTAATCAACAAAACTACGATTCGCTCGTTTCCCCTTCATACTCCACTACGCTCATGTCTCTTCATACTCGTCTTGATAGCTTCTATTGTTTTCGTCTTGTTTTTTCTTAGGCTTTGCATCATTTATTGCGCGTTTGTTAGACCTTTTTCTTGCTCTCGCAACAAGATGATTTCTTTTTTCGTGGCCACTCTGGGGATGTTATACTTTATCAGTTCTCTCTTGCTTCCTCCTACTTACTTTTGCAAGATAAAATGGTATTTAAATTAACCTGTATATTTAATTAGCTGAAATGAAATCCCTGGAAAAGACATGTTAAATCCTATTTTTAATAAAATTTCGGAGTTTCCTATCCAAATAACACGGTGATACTATATCTATATTGATTTTTCTTTGTTTATATTTACCGTGTGCCTCTCGTTCTGCTGCGTAGCACTGACGAATGTTTTCCATTTTGCAGGCGTCGGAAAATCTTGTCTCCTACTACAGTTTACAGATAAAAGATTTCAACCTGTGCACGATCTCACCATTGGAGTTGAGTTTGGTGCTCGTATGATCACTATCGATAGCAAACAAATCAAGCTTCAGATTTGGGATACAGTAATTAATACTTCTTTGTCTTATTATTAGTCATTTTCATGCTTCATACAACAATGGCTTTTTTCTAATAGGCTGGTCAAGAAGCATTCCGTTCAATCACTAGATCTTACTATCGTGGTGCTGCAGGAGCCCTATTAGTTTATGACATTACTCGCAGAGAAACTTTTAATCACTTGACAACGTGGTTGGAAGATGCAAGACAACACTCAAATTCCAACATGGTTATTATGCTAATTGGCAACAAAAGTGATCTGGATGCTCGAAGAGAAGTTAAAAGAGAGGAAGGGGAAGCTTTTGCCAGAGAGCATGGACTTGTTTTCATGGAAACCAGTGCAAAGACTGCTGCGAACGTAGAAGAAGCTTTTATCAATACTGCTAAAGAAATTTATGAGAAGATTCAGGAAGGTGTATTTGATATAAATAATGAGGTATGTTCAGTTTCTTTTTTATTTGCATACATAGTCATCAATTTATTGTTTGTAATCTTATCTTTTCAAATTTTCAGGCCAATGGTATCAAGATTGGGCCATCTCACTCACCGACAAGTCCAGGAGGTATAGCTGGAGCAGGAGGTCAAGGTAGTTTACAAGGCGGTGGCTGCTGCTAGGGGCTTGGGTTGAAATGTCCACAACTGAATCCCTCTACGATCTGAACTGATTATCTCATTCCTGCTCTTTGTTTTTCACAGGGAAGCGCCTATATTGTTAACTTGATTTGTCCGTCGTGTTTGAGATAATGAGTGATACATAGGCAATGAACTTATATTATTTAGTAGAGGAAACGTTTTTAAGAATAGAACATTATTATGAAACAACTCACTATAGTTACGACGCGGGTAGACACAAATCAAGCTTTATTTTACAGATTTTTGCAATTTGCTTTTCTCTTATTTGTCTTTGTCATTCAAAGAAGCAAGGTATTTGTGAGATAGGTTCAATTGTGTGTGAATTTAATTTAAGTAAATATTTAAAAAGTGTATCGTAATGCGATTCTCACGGCAATGATTAGTTTTGTTTTTATGACGGCTAGATTCGTCGATTGACGGTCTATTCTTTTTTTTTTTTTCAATCGTATTTCGCGGTGTCGTTTAATTTTGAAGCAGGAATGTTAGTTCATGCTCGTTAATCTTACACAAGTTTTATGTATATGTATGTATTATTGCTGTACCAAAATGACTAATATATAAAAAATTTCAATCATTATTACCTCGGAATCAGAAAAAGAAAATTATATGTGCGAGGCGTCGAAAGGAAAAAATTCAGATTGAGCTTATAGTAAATTTTGCTTTTATGCCAATTTTACATTTTTAAATACGTGAAATTTCTTTTGATGGGTTATATAAGTTCAATTGCTTTCGGTGCCTTGTCAGCGCGATGATAAACAATGTGCAAAGAACTAAGTTTCAAGAATTACGGTGATCGTCTTTGGTTACCTAGATGTCAATTGGTCGTGACGATTTATTTTAGGTGGGTTATTTTAAGTGGATACTACGTTTATCAGTGTCAAACAAACAAACAAAAAATGAAATTTACAGCTGTTGCACGTTATTTTGCATACACAAATTGTAACATATTGTTAAGTACTTGATGCTACTTGGCATATCTTTAAATGACATTTCATGGACAAAGAATCTTCTACGATGATGTTTGTTTTTTATTGACTCCATAGTTATGTAGTATAAAAAACTAATCTATTCATTTTCTCTTGCTGTAATAAAAAATCACTAGTCAGGCGAAATATTATTCACTTGAAATTCGTGAAGATCCAATGCAGAAGAAAAAATTATGACATGTATACTTAAGTAATTACGATAATAAACATATTGCATATATAATAAATCAAGAAAATCGAGTGAACAAAAAAGATTTTCTTACGAGGTTCTTTTTATTATTTAGCTTCTGTAAAACAAAACGACAAGTAATTATATACTTTTTGGTACATAAAAGGATAAAAAATGTATGAAGATCATGCCAGTAGAGTTTAAAAGTGTTTCATATATTTGTACATCTAATACGGTATTATCTTAAATTGTTACATATAAATTGCTTTATAAATACGAAAATATACCAAGCATGGCTTCTTGGATAAAATCTTCATCATGCTAATATTCGAAAATTAATTTATTACGACATTTATCTGTCAAACTTTCAGTCCTACATATAATATAGAGTAAATAAAAAATCTTATTCAAATCGCAGTAACACACTGTTTTCATTGGTACAAAGCAAACCTATATTTTTTCAAATGATGGTTGAATCATTTAGAAGATGAGAATGACACTTTATATAATATAATTTTACAAATACATAAATCTACGTAACATGTAAATTATATATATCTAAGGTTTTTGAACAAGAAGCCAATAATTTATTTGTTACACAGAAATGTGATTGGTCAGTCACGATACAACTATTCAAACGAAGCAATATTGGTTCGTATCTATGATTTGATTTCCTCTTGCGTTTGTAAAAATTTCCGCACGATATTAATGATGACTGCGTTGCTTTCATCATATAATCGTGAATAGCATTGCACATGATTCATAACGCGAGTGCACTTACAATTAGAATACCGTTGAATTTGTATTTGCAAAATAGATGCTGTTTACTTGCAACTTTTTAACGAATTAGTTTATCTTGGTTGCAAGTAAATACTTGGATTAATTAAGTAACTGCTGCGAGCGGAACACAGATAGCGCGTAAAAATAAACCACAGTGGAGCCGAATGATAAAAAGAACCAGTCAACTCATACATTAGTAAGAATCAGCGCGGCGTACGAAAGTAAGATCCGTATCATTATTCCAGCAGTCAAAGCGCGTAGTGCTTGTTAAGTGGTTTTTTCAGCAGCGAGAGTGCGACTGAGCGAGAGAGTGTTTGTTCAATTACGTATAGAAGCTCGCAAGTAGATATCTGCCAGGGAGATATAGCATTTTATACAAGCATATTTTGACGAAGCACAAAGCAGCGAATGCCGACGACGACGGGGCGGAGAGGGTGAAGGAAATTGAGGTTAGGAGATAGTAGTGGACGCACTAGTCGCAGAAGTAGCAAGTCTGAGTGTGACTGTGACGGTAGAGGAAAACATCCTCTATTCCGTCGGCTATTTTGACGTTTGCGGGCAGAGGAGGAGAGACGCTGCTCGACGCCATGATGGTAGGTGGAACCTGTTATCAATGTTATATGCCAGCATTTTGGCAGGCGGCCGGTCGTTTTCGTGTGGCCGGGGAAATCCCTTTAATGAGTTGTCTCTGCAGTAAGTTCGTTAGGCTGGGTTTAATACGACAAAATGTTGCAGGATGGAATATGCGACAGTACCGAGATTATCAACAATGTTCCAACTAAAAAGGTACTTATATTTTCTATGAAAGTATGACGTGTCAAAATGTATGTTGTTGATTTAATTTTTTTATCTTTTCAGACAATCTCAAATGAATCCTCAGTCGATCAACCCAATTGTAAAGCGTTGTTGATTGATATCTCGGATGCACTTAGTGAAAAGGACAAAGTTAAGTTCACTGTGCACACTAAGACTACTCTGCCAGAATTTCAGAAGTCTGAGTTCTTTGTTGTTAGGCAGCATGAAGAGTTTGTCTGGTTACATGATAGGTTTGAAGAGAACGAGGAGTATGCTGGTTACATTGTGTGTATTTGTGCTTTAATTTACAGTGTTTTGGAGTGAAGTGCTTACTATTTTTTTTCTGTGTTATATGTTTAAAGATTCCACCCTGTCCTCCAAGGCCTGACTTTGATGCATCCAGGGAAAAGTTGCAAAAGCTTGGTGAAGGTGAAGGTAGCATGACTCGAGAGGAGTTTATGAAGATGAAACAAGAATTGGAAGCGTAAGTTATGAGATCTTTTTTCTGTGTTATTGAGTATTTGAGAGTGTGAGTTATTTATAAGAATAACTTTTAGGGAGTATTTGGCTACATTTAAGAAAACTGTTGCCATGCACGAAATGTTTTTAACTCGCCTTGCTCACCATCCAGTGTTCCAAAATGACCATAATCTTAGAGTTTTTTTAGAATATGACCAAGATCTTTGTGTAAGAGGTTAGTAACACTACTTTGTAATATAACAAAACAATTTACATGATTTATGTATACTTATGCAAGTTATAATAATCATTAACTGTCTAATAACAAAAATTATACAGCACTTTTCATTTGTACTTAGTTTTATCATATAAATTATTTATTTCTTTATACTTTAATTGAATAAATATAATTATATTTTTCTTTAGGAAAAAATAAAATGGAAATGTTTGGTGGATTGATGAAATCGTTTTCAAAAACGAAAGATGAATATTATTTGTCAGCCACTGTGAAAGATGTTAATGATTTCTTTGATCAAGAAATGACATTTCTTACACAATATCACCAAAACTTAAAAGAAGCTACAAGTCGTGCTGATCGTCAAACAGCTAAGCATAAAGATATGGCGGATTCTTATATAAAAATTTCTACTAATATTTTACAATTAGCTACTACAGATGATGGAAAACTCGAAAAATTTTTAACGAAAATAGCCGAGACATTTGAAAAACTTCGGGTACGTATGTAACCAAGAGTACCACATACATTTTTATATCTGGTTTATTGGAAAAAATTACAATCATTTTAGAAAGTCGAAGGTCGCGTTGCGTGTGATGAAGATTTAAAGTTATCTGATACTCTGCGGTATTACATGAGGGATACCGCAGCTGGCAAAAGGCTATTGATCCGGAGGCTGAAAGCGTTACACGCTTACGAAACTGCGAATAGAGCTTTGGAAAAAGCACGTGCCAAAAATAAAGATGTACATGCTGTAAGTGTCATTTTATAATTATTGGTGACTGAAAATCCAAAACTTTAATTATATAGTTATATTTAGCATCTGTAAATAACAATTAAATTATTGACGCTTTTCACTTATAACATTTAACTTTTTATTAAAAAACGTCATTGTCGTAAATAACTAATTCCATTTTTCTTGCTCCTAAAGGCACTGGAGGTTGCAGAGGTGTGTTCTTGTTTTTATATGGAATAAATATAGCATTTTTGTAAATGTGTGGAAAGAATTATGTTTAGTTTTTTTTCTTTTTGAGAATTTTATAAGTATCACAAATTTGAATGTGAACAATATTTGTTATAGAATGCGTACAATTTATAATTATATTATTTTTATTTTTTATTGTTATATGATTAGAAACATTTCACTATATTTTCAAACAGCATGCATTACCTGATATATTATGCATGAATAGTTCTTATTTAAAATAAAAATTTTGCTTCTCGAATGTCTGTGGGAGTATGAAGTTTTTTATCTGAAAATAAATTTATTGCTTCATTTTAATTTTTGTTAATGTTTCATTATTCGTAGGCGGAGCAAGCTCAGACCGAAGCATGTACAAAGTTCGAGCAAATGTCGGAAAAAGGAAAAGAAGGTAATTTAATGAATATGAGGATTGGCATACTTTAAGGACTCAATAACAATTATTTTAATGTTTAAGAACTAAATGATTTCAAAACGAGGCGAGTTGCTGCCTTTAAAAAGAATCTCATTGACCTAACGGAATTTGAAGTAAAACATGCGAAGGTGTGTTCCAAGTTTTTATTGCTTAAAAATACGCGACAAATATGATTTATTAAAAATTGATCATCATTTTAGGCGCACGCAGATATGCTCAAAAAATGTTTAGTAATCCTCCAAAGCGAGTGATTCGAAGAAAGTAATTAACTAACCATAAAGACTACGCTATAAGTGGACAGAATAAATGGATATAATGATGTATTTAAAAGATTAAGATATTATATTGTAAAATATTATATTTTTTGTTATTCTAAGCCGCATTAGCGCGCCAAATAAAAGGTTAAGCATTGAGACAAGTAAATTTACGTATGCCGAATGATTAATAATAAGGGGTGAATGTATTTTTCTATATTTTTTTCAAGCTATATAAATCATAGGAAAATAGCTTTTTGATTAACTTTTTCATACAAAATGTGATTGATAATATTGGCATTGATAAAACAATTGTCATCTTCAAGTAAAAATACGCGCATGACATTTAGATCGTCTTCTTATATATGTAAAGTCAAAATGTTTTTCTCATCTGTTATGTTCATTAAATATGGCTCTTTAAATTATTATATAAATCAAAATTTGAATATCATACAATACGTATCGATAATATTGTATACATGATTAATGTTTTCATTAATATGATGTAATAAAAAATGGAAAATCAATTCTGCTTATTTTTACTTAAAAAATTTATAAAATAGTATTTTAGATAATGTATATTCTTATCAATTTGCACGATTCTCGTATCTGGTAAAAAATGAGTAAGAGAATATCAATAATTTAATGATTAATATTCAATTTGATAAATAAAAATATAAATATTCGAAAAATATAAATTATTTTTGTGTTAAGATTCTAAAAATTGCCCTTTAAATTTTTAACTTTATACAATTGAGTGAACGTAATTATGTCAATTGTATGATGATTTGAAACTCATGATTTGACAAAATAAAAAAGTTATGGATATGTGTATACGAATTAGTAAAACACAGGCGCGTGCGCGTATAGATAAATTTCACATTGCATTTTTTAAGGATTTGTTTGTATGTATTACTTGAGGTTTTGTAAATTACTAACAAAATGAAATTGGAAGGATCAAGTAGATTATATTCTCGCATTTATTTTTATTGAATGAAGTTCAATCGACATCATTCCCTCTTATAATAGACGATTTTATATATATATATATATATATATATATATAAATATATAAATATCTAGAGAGAAATTGCCGAATCGGATATTTTTCGACAATTCACTTTTTGAAGTTCCGCCACACAATTACATTATTCGATCGTAATATTAACAAATTCTATGGAGATGATAACATGCGTAATGTCGGCAAAGAATAGTGCGAGCAGCAGTGCATATATAATCCATTTACAGTCGTAAACTGCTGCTTGCAGAATCTTTTTACAGCGATGACACTCGCAATTGGCATATGCGTTCATATTTTAGGTTGATAGAAAAGTCGTCTTTCAAAAATAAAAAAGATCTGATTAATGCACGCACGTAACACTTTCATGCTCGGTATAACAAAACGATCATATTAAGACCCTGCAGGCATAGACTTTACTGTCACTCTTCTCTTTCACTCACTCTCGCAAAAGCAATCTTGCTCTTGTTGCGCGTTCGTCGGTTTACCTGTCAGCTGGGGTTTTTTTGTTCTTTTTGATCGAGGTGCATGAAATTTTTCGTTTAGTCTATCGAAAGAAAGCAGTCGTTTCGGTGTAACGAGCCGCAGCGCGCATGACCGAGTTTTTCTCGGCCTGAATTACAGGTGAACTCTGTTACCTTCATTGTGAGCGTGAAGCGAAATTGACGAACAAAAAAGCAAAGATTAACTGGCCGATTTACCGGGGTGTAAAAGAAGCTTTTTGAATTATGCAAGCTTTGAGTGCTTCTTTAGTCTATATAACGTTGTGATTCAAATAATATTGAGACAAGCGCCTTATTTTTTTGCTCGAGAATAATTTTGACGAGTATTACATTTTTTTTTGCTACAAATTTTTAATGAAGGATAACTGCGTCTTTTGAACGTTTTTTATATCTGGAATTATTAGTTTTTTCAATTAATTTTCTTCGTTATCTGACAATTCGATGTCAGTATCAGACGCCTTAATTACGTTATAATTTCATTCTGGAAGAGTAACACTCACGCGTAATTAAATTTTGCAAAAATTACGAAATTCGTTATTACAAAATACATATTTAATAAAATTATTAACGAAAAAAAAAAAGTTTTTCAACAAAACTAACCGTGTCGGTTTGAACGAGCCTACAAATGCAACTAGATATATGTATTTCCAGCTAAAGCATTTCCAGTGAAGAAAAAGTTTGTTTTTTTTTCTTTTTACAAATCGCGCAAGCACAGGCATAAAGGCATAAAGCAAAAGGCTCTCGCGGGGCACAGTCGCGCGCAATCATTGTTGGGGATTGAAAGCGAGTATATAACGTTATGACATGAAAACTGCGAGCGTAAATAAAAGTCAATCCGAACAAGAGAATCCGTCGGCGGGAGGGGAAAAAAGCAAGTGACGCGGCGTGGAACAAAAAAGTAGAGTCCTCTTTAGAGGGGGCGGCAGCCATCGTTCCGTAATCAATGGCTTTATAGAAAAACAAAAGCCGCTCTGCTCGCTCGCGTGTAATGAATTCAACTCACGGGAGCTCTCATTATTCTCTTCGCACTCGCTATTTATAATACATGGATTTGTTTTTCCGCGTTTGACCTATACTTCCTTTCTTATTGGACTTCCTTCCGTGCTGAATATTTCTCCCTCGCGACGTAGCCGTGGAGATGCGATTGAAGAGTTCCCATTTTTCTCGGGGGCTTTTTTTCTTAAACACTTGATGATTTCTTGTATAAGTGTTTTCTGTGATATACGAATTCATTGCATTTATTATCGTTATTAAAAAAAAAGTGTAATTAGCGCAGTCTTTGCAGTTCAATCGACTATGAAAAGAAATCGAATTGAGTTCGCGGCAAAATAGAGAAACCCGCATACACCTCTAAAAGAAAGGTATCTTTCGCATTAACGGCTCGTAATGGCGGACAAGTTGTTTTATTTTTAAGCTCCATTATTTTCAAACTCAACGACTCGATCTATACTTGGATGAAAAAGGGTGCTTTCATGTAAGACCGCGTCGGGCAAGAAACAAGCTTGTATACAAGTCGTTGAAACCAATCTAAAGTTTACACAACGGGAAAATTCTCGCGACTTGCGTCGAGTTTAGTGTTCGCGCTCTCACTTTTGTCTCACGCGCGACCTAATAATACAAATTTCATTACAACTTGGCGTCAGCCGGTGTGTCGAAAAACGAAATCGAAGAGTTTGCTTTCGGGGAGTCGAAACAAGTACGCGCGAGAAACTATTATCGAATTAACACGGCGACAGCGGACTTGACTTTTTATTTCCTTTTTCCTTTTTTGGGAAACAATCGGGTTAGCAAAAAGTTAAAGTCCGACGTTATTTCGGCGTGTAGCATAGCCCTGAAAGTTGGCGCGCTCGTATATGTACATTTTGCAGAGCGAGCGAGCTGCTGGCGCTGCTACGCACTAAAACGATCCCTAATTACCGTTGGAGCCACTCGCGGAAAGTAATTTACGTTATGCGCTTTTAGCAGGCGTAATAACGTCGTTGCCGGCCTTTGCAAGCTTTACGATGCAACGTTGCCACGAAACTCTCGTTTTTCTTGCCAGTCCTGGCTAGCAAGTTTCGGCTATATTTTTATTCGGAATGACGGGGTTAAGAGAGTGATTTGTTTTCAAATTTATGAGTCTTTTTTTTTTGCCACTGACGCGCTGATGAAGATTACTTTGACGACTTTTTCTGCGGAATTTATAGACGGGCGTTCGGGTCGAAAGAAAGTGTAGAGTTGTTTCCACGTAATCACGTTTCCTTTCTTTTCTTTTATTGCATTTCGCTTTTCGTTAGTCGCACTATCTTGTTTATGCATTGAACATTTCATACTAAAATCATCATTTTATAGGTCGTGGAATCTCAAATATACAATTTCATCCGTTGTAACACTGATTAAAGTTTTCATATATTTTAGAAAAAAGTCTGTGTAGTTATTTGACACCATATTTTACAAAGCACAAGCGAAACAGTTATTCTATTCAGACATTAAATTTTATAATTTTTCAATAAAAATTTATCACATCTGTAATAAACTTTTCAAGAATCCCTCGAATATAAAAAGCAGTCTTTTGCTGCTGAAGTTTTCTAAGTTTTAAGTCAGACACTTGAGTCATTCTACTAGGAAATATTTTATGTATATAATATACGCACATGTAGGCACATTATTAAACTTAATTGACAATAAAGTTTTCAAATACATATAAAATCGTATACGCAGGTATTGATTTTGTTATAAGTATAAAAGAATAAAATTTATGAGCATTATTTTTTTTAAATACATAGACTACATTGCCAATAAGTTTAGTCCGTACTTATAAATGGATTCAATGTACATCTTCACTAATAGTCGAAGATTTTTCAAAATAAAAGTATATAAACATTTAATAATTCTAAACGAAGCATTTTGGGATCACAGAAAAATGGCCTCATAGGAATATTGGTGCAGTCACATAGAATGTTATTTTATATTTACAAGTGATAACTTTTAGAATATTTATATTGATTGTTATATTCAGGTTTGATATTCAAATTTAATGAAGTTTTTAATGCGGTTTAATAGACAGCTTTTCTGGTCAGTTTATCTCATTCGTTTCAAAAGAAACAATCTTTCGTTTTTTCACATTTCACATTAAATACTCTACTTTATATTTTTAGATAGAGGAAGTTCATAATTAGTTATTTACAATTCTTATTATATTTTTTTGCTAAATGCAAAATTATCATTATACTTTCAAAAGGCCTTTGCAGCTATATAATACGATCAAAAGATTGAAATTTTTCTGTTAAAAATTATGAATGAAAATGTTATTTCTAAAACACTTTGAAAGGTATAACAATTGAAGGCTAGCTCAATTTGATAAATAACCTTTGTGAATTGATCATTTTTTTACATATTCGTGTTATTCGTCATATGCGGGATGTTCGATTTTTCTATGAATATTAAACATTCGAAAAAGAGACGTTTGTCAATGTCAATGCAATCCAGGATTTCGATTGCCACCACAAAAATATTCCAAAAAAAGACAAAAGAAGGAAGACAGTACAAAAAAAAAAATATGTATTTTCGGTTTTCCGAATATTCAACTTTTCTGCATGATGATTGAAAAACATATTGATTGATACCCGATGAAACAAAGAAAGATTGAAAGGGGTGTGAATACAATAAAAAATTTTCATTCTCGCGGGGAAAGTGATTGAAAAAAAATACCGAGACACGCGAAGTAGTTTAATAAAAACAAATATTTATTCGTATGTTCTTGTTTTTTGTACAGTGTATGAAATAAAAAATAATGTAGATAGGTTTCGGCAAAAACAGAATTAAATATTCATTTTCCCATTAAAAGGTAAGAAAGGAGAAACGTTGAAAAAGTGATAAAGAGCCTTCATCGAGTTTAGTCGAAAAAATTAGGGGGGCGGGAGGAGGGGTTCGAAAGCGCATTCTCTCGTTGAATTTTCTGGCTTTGTAATCGCATTTTTAATGGGCACACGAAAGTATTGCACGTTAGTATGAAAAGTTAAAAGATCACTCAAACGAAATGTTGTACTGAATGCATCAATGCAAACTGCCAAACTAATCTGTTTTTTTTAGGTAAAAAAAATTCCTTTAGATATAAGCACACGCAGGTACTTAGGTAAATATCATAATAAACATCATACATCATCTAGCATATTTAATAATTATCTATTCTAATACACAGGCGAAGATATTTACACAATCCCATTCACGCGTATACACAGACGCAACATGAGAATTCAGTCGTAATCTGAAATCTGTCGATATCGCGAACTTTTACGGGTGCTCGCACACAATGCGAATAAGTCCTCGTTATTCCGGGATTTCGAAAAATTGAAGTTGCAACGCTGCTGACACGGATATGCGTTGTGACCCACATCCACACCTCACGGCCGAGGAAAAAACACTTGCACCAGCGAGAGAAAAAAGCGTACCTTTGTCTTTTGTTCGTCTAGACTGGTGAATAAAAAAAAGAAAAGAATGGCAATATACAGTAGTTATTATATCGATCAACGAATTGCTTTTCACACACGAGTTTTTCTTTTGGTTTATCGGATTTGGAAGCCCATGGCTAGGAGTGACAGCACTAGAGTTTGCGCGTAGCTGCTTTGATATGAGCTTGCCGTTGATTTGCGACGTGATATCGCTGCCATTTTGTCACCTGTAACATCAAACAGACGAGGAATAATATTACTAACCAATCGTTTCGGACAATCGTGCTTGAAGTAGCGGTGCGCCGTTATCATTTTAACGGACATATAGTGTCGGAGCTTGATGACGGTTCGTTAATATTAAACTGGAATTTCTAATGTGAGTGCTCATTTCATTCAAACGAAACTCCTGCCGTCAATTAATATTCTATCAACTTTGACAATAGAGCGGCGAAAAATATTCAAGGTGCTGTTATCTCTCAGTAAACTTTTGACCCTTATTGAATTAACCAATAGTTACGTGTACAGCGTTGACCGTAAATTTGATCAATATACAGCGACTTGCTCGCTCTGAACAATATTACTTTGCGAACTTTGACAGTGAACGCGATTTGAAACAAGAACGATGCGCAAGTACATCCAAAAAGATGTGAAACTCAGACGCGGAAGTACAATTTTTCGTAAAAAGCTTCGGTACAGCGGACACGGGCTGCGTACAGTGTGTGTGCACAAGGTCTACGTGTTCGGACGTTGATGGAAGCGCGCGCGCGCTCTCTCTTTTTTTTCTTTCGGCTACGCGTGTTTTTTCAATGGGCTCTAGGATTATTCATGGCTGATCGGCGAGGTTTATCGATAGACGACGCGCCGTTTCCGAGGATTACGACTGATGGATTGCTTTGCCCCTTAATCTTTCATCGGGATAGTATCCGTGTTGTTTTTTTTTTATTCCTCGTTGCCGACGATCGACAAATTTCTTTCTTTCGCGTACGTTGTGTATAGATTTAATATTGAATCGGATAGGAAAAACCGAAGTGGGACGCTGCCTCGAGTGATTTATTCAAACTGAACGACTTTCGTCTTTTCAGGGAGCGAGAGGGAGTGAGAGAGAGGAGCTGGTGATAGTAGGTCGCACAACTGGAATTTTCAATGGGGGGATACTGGCCAAATTCAACGCTAATGCGATTATAACTTGGCTCTGGAGCTAACTTTGTCGACGACGTCGTCCTAGTCGGAGTTTTCACTTTGTTCGCTGTTCTCCTTTTTTTTTTGTCATAACGTGTACGCCTCTAATTAGCGCACGCCTTTGACACGACTAATGATTTCTTTGACCGCGAGTGCTTATTTCCGATAGAGCACGCGCGCGACCATTTTTTTTTGCTTGGTAATTAACATCGGAAAAGTTGGAATCGCTAGTTATTTTTTTTTTGTCGTGCACTAATTATCTGTCTCTGCGGTACATTTAGTCGGGAGAAAAATTCTTGCAGTCCAGTAGTCTCCAGACTGGAATGGGGGGATTGCGCGAAAGAAACTTTGTTTGCCGGATCTCTGAACCATCTGCCCGCAGAGAGTTTCTCTTTCCGGGGCTACTTCGATGACTCGATAATCAGCACTCAGCTACAGTCCGCCTGCGATTTTATTACTTTATACTCTATCATTTCAAAATGAACCACTCTACTTTTTTTCAATTTTTAAGAACATTGAAAATAATCACTGCATTTCCAAAAGAAATTTTCTAAAATTTTTGTGAAAAAAAAAATCATGAATGTAGATAAATACATGGTTTTACTTTGGAAATTTGTCTCTTAATATATATAACCCTCATACATTTGAAGTTGAGTCACACCTTTTAAATTGTTTGATTATTGATATGAAAGAAAGTTTTGTGAAAGGCTATTTGGAGTGAGGTATAAAATAAACAACTAGTTTATTAAAAACAATAAAAAAAATATTTAAGTATCTCTTCTGAACAACATCCATCACAAATATCAAAGTTATTTATCAATTTGGGATACACGAGGATCAATCGCAATAATTTTTAATTTTTTTAATAAAAAGAGCGTTACTCTGCATAACTTAAGCACGCTTAAATATTAAAATTATTTATAATTGAAAGTCTATCAAAGTTCACATATGGCAGAAAATGTTTTAGTTTAGAAATATAGAAAGCTACCTTCACGAGAATAATACTGTTTGATTGGTTCCTTGAAAAAACTTACGAATGATGGAAAATGCATAGTGAAAAGGGTAAATATTATAATAACCGATGCTTTTATCCGGTTGTTTGTGAATACACGGCTTTTCATTCGCGTAACAAACGAGAAAAATCTGTACAGTTTTTTTCTTGTTGTTTTCACGATATTTACCCTCTTTTTACATCCATTCAGTTACTCGATTTCAAGGTAAAAAAGATATCCAACAATAGAAATATAAAAAAATTAGAATCTCGATTCTTTCTGTAAATCTGAACTCTCATATGGCAAAAAAATTCGGAGCTCAAAATAAGTAAATCCATTGTTTTATTTGTTTGAAAGTGGTTGCATCGATGATATTTGAACCAGCTATTTCCATTTGAATTTCAGACGTATATCTGTGATATTCGGAGCATTAGCTATTTTGCATTATAAATTAAGATCTATGATGTAAACTGGCATGAATCAAATATTCCATTTAGTTTGAAAAGCCATAATTTGCATTCACGTACACATCAACAGTTTATCATTTGGTTCAATTTGAATAAAGTTGGAAAATCAAGATGAAAAGACGGGCTTTCAGAAACTTTAATAACTCTATATCTGAATACCCCCTCTTCTCCAACAAACAGAAGAAATTATTCAAAGTATGACATAGAGCACAAATGGACTACTCTTTCTCTCAATTTAATCTACGCCAGACGCACGCGTGGTCCTTTTTTTGTATCAAAATTTATCGGAGAAGGACGCGCTGTTGCATGTCAGTTATTAATTGCAATCGACAGAGAAAAAGAGAGAGAGAGAGAGAGAGAGAGAGAGAGAGAGAGAGAGAGAGTGGGAGAGAGCGTGCGTTCGACTGCTCCTAGCTCGCGAGTTTAATTAATGAGATATATATCGCCAATGAATTCGAGTAGTGTAAAAGAGAGAGAGGGGGGGGGGGGAGAAAAAGGGTGGTCTGGTGCGATAGAAAGTTTCACGTTTGCGCAGTTAATTACGGCCATTACCCAGGGAAAATATCGTGCCAGTTAATTACTATCATTACCAAGAAACATATTGCAGCGGTGTGCGAGCCAAACACAACAGCGCGGATTCTTGATTTTCGCCTGACCTCATCTACGGCTCCACCACTAGTGCCTCTTTCTGTTATTTACGTTTTCGTCGAGAGGGAATATTTCGGTATCGACTTTATACTACCTTTTGTTTGTCTGCGAGCAGGCTAACCTCGGTTATAATCCTATTATCTTCGCGGGAGGGTGGACGAGATTACTCTAGCGGGCGGCGCGGTGTAATTGAATTTTTTAGTGCTTGCGCTTGCTCGCGTCTCTCTCCTTTTCCCTTCTTTTTTTTTTTATCGACGAACGTGATTCTTCCCCGCGCGCACTCTTTATGTGCGAACGCGTTCGGTTGCTCCAGCATTGCACCCCCGTCTTATCTAAATTTCTCCGTTTGCCTTAGCGAGCGTCCATAACTTTTCTACTCGTTTACTATCGCGTCTCTAGGATCCTCGATTCCTCTTCTTTCAATCTACTTTTTTCTTTTTTCACTTTTGAGCCCGTTTACGCCTAATCTCCTTCGAGCGATATGCCTCTCTGTCTCTTTTATTTCCCTCGTAAATATGAATGGCGAGTTGTATTCGGGATACATGTACACGTATTTTTCACTTGACAAACGCCGAGATTTATATACTGTATACGCGCCTATCTCACCGTATGTCTGACGCTGTATGCCCTTTCTTTTCTACTTGCACGGATACATGAAAAAGAACTGCGCTTTTCTCCAAGAATTTTCTAGAATCTCATGGGTTATGCGATATAAACGGGTTTTCGGTGCGTGTATTCTGTAGAGATGGTTTTATATAAATAAAACTTGCTAAGGTTATACGCCGATCACAGGTACATAATTCCACGATGAGACAAATAAAGTAAATAGCGGACCAAGCAACGCTGTTTATTAGATTAACTTAATACTGTTTGGTATATTTGCATGTCTAGATATTGACGGAGTGTGCACTTGTCAAGCTTTCAGATAGATTGCTTATATGCGAAACACATCACCTGTTCAAACCGTCAGTTTAGAAATTTGACAATTTAATTCGGTCTTTGAAATTTGTTCATCAAAGTTATTTATCGTTCCATTGTAAAGCCATAATAGTCTCAATACTGACTTAGTTTTAGGAATATTTTCAGTTGTACGAAAAGTTGATCTTTTTCTTAGCGATGAATTCTACTGTGAGTGAGAGTTGACAATTTCCCTTATCGCAAGAATCTATTCCCAGAATAACTAGTACAGTTGCGATAATTCATTTTGCCATAGCATTCTAAATGTCAGTGAAGTGGCACATCGACCTCTTGATTTATCAAGCATTCTTTCGAGTACGTTATCGGAAAAGAGAGTCGTGCATTTTTTAAATCCTTTAAAAATGAAGTTCTTCCAAGAAAGCTTATATATATTATATCTATCTTGAGAATACATAACGGAGCTGCAAGTTATTTTTTTTAAGAAATAAAAAATGCAAACGACCAACGAAGTTAGCATTACGTTCGTTGTTTTCTCTCAATAATGGTCGGAGACGCGGACAATTATAAAAAGAAAAGTGAATATTCATACAATCTTTGTGGAAATGATGAATAGCAATTCCGGCCAAAGGTCGAGATCGGAAATTAATCAAGAAGACTCCTGCACGTTGGTGCTTTTATCTCTTCCTCTCCGCGGAAGAATAACTCGTCGTTCGCCGAGGCGCGAATCAATTGTTCGTTGGTCGATCGACCGGAAATTCTGATTTCAATTATCGAACATCTCTCTCCCTAGTTCCGATGTAGGTATGGACAAAGTCTTTTTTCTTTTATTCTATGGATGGATGAGGGATATTAATAACGTAACTGTCGCGCAAAACTGTCTCGTAATGAGCTCTATCTGGCGTACGAAACCATGACACTAATTGCGATTCGATGAGTAGCTCATCTTCGGCGTCTTCCTCTTTCTTTTTTATTTAATCTTTAGCGGGACGAGGAATTAATTAGCCCTGTTCATGGATCTCACAAATCTTCTTTGGAAAAAAGCAGTTCTTCCTTCTCTCGAGGACAATTCATTTGATCGTTAAGTTTAGCGAAGTAACGGAAAAGACGGCGAGCATGCAATTATGTGACTTAGTTGTGTCAGAAACTCATTAAACTTTTTCACTCGTGCTTTATTTGGACATTGTTTCGCTCCGAAGAGATTACGTTACTTTTATACATCAAGCGGCTGCATAGCTTCTTGATCAAAGAACTACTCGAATCTCTTTTGTTCACTGAGATGCGAGTCGGTTTGATTGCAAAAATGATGACATCGCGTTTTACGAATTCTCTTCCGACATGCCATTACTTCGCCAAAGGATTTCAAAATCTGCTTGCCTTTAAATTTTTCAATTGCATGAATCTTAGATTACGGAATTGTCTCAAAGAACTGTAGCTGGGTGTATTTTAAGTTGCTCGGATGTGTAGACTAAGTAAACTTTCTGAAATGCGCATGATGAATTCGGTACTTTTGTACCTATGCCCGCAGAGTAAGTGGAGAATTGAGATCTTTCCAAGTAACGGGGTATCTTATTTGAAGAAAGAACATTCTTTCCTGTATATACTCGGGATTTTTCTTTCCGCTGCCAGAGCGAAATTCACATTTGAATGGTCATTGTTGAAAAACCACCGAGTATAACGCAGAGGAGACGACTTCCAAAAGTTCTATGATAATATTGAGAGCCTGCCATTGTCAAGAATACATTTGCCGTTCGTCTCTCTTTGCTCCAAGAGGGGAAATCTAATTCTAAATCGTTGCGATTCAACTCTGCCAATATCGAGATGCTGTAACTGTTAGAGCAGGAAGTTAAAAAATTAAGGAACGGGAAAGGCACCCCGTTGTAAATTTCGTCTGCAATAAGAACGATACTTTGTAAAATAAAGTTTTGGAAACGTAAATAGTCAACGATAGATGCGCAAGAAACTCAGCGTATTGTATAGCATGTACTGACCCTCGGTGACGAAAACGAAGATCGAAGCGGATTTGGTATTGGAGGCGCTGCAGGTGTAATTGCCAGTGTCGGATTCGACGGCGTTGTGAACGGTGAGTCGGCTCTGCGACGGTCCTGGCTCCGTTTGCACGCTCACGCTGCTCCTCGGCGTGTCGTAATTTATCATGCGGTCGTTGTGGTACCAGAAGACATAGTGCGGCGGCGACGGACTCTGCAACACAGACCGATGCTTTTATAGATTGTCTGCTGCTTCTTTACCCTGTTTCGAACGGGCCGCACCTCAAAATACTTTGCACAGTGCAAAGTTACGTATCGATCAGGCTACTCTCGTCGATAGATTTGTGTATTCACGACATGCGCGACGGCCGAACGCAGTAATTTATAACTGACTGGAACATCCGGTCTATATGATATACGGTATTAATGCATGTATTAATTACCGCTCGAAACGTTATCCAGCTAAGTGAGATGAAATAATGATCGTCGAGAACTGCCGTGAAAGGAATATAGCCGTGAACGCCACGCAGTGCTGCCTGTCAGTGATTCGATATCGAATGTCGAGAGTAATTTCGTGGAAAACAATGGACAGCTTCATTCGTTATTAAATTCAATTAACTGGCTTTCGCCTAAGCGATGAATGTGCAACAGAGAGGGAGGAGGAGAGAGAGAGTTTCGATAGAGCAGTTCGATATAAAGCAATGAATAGCCTGTTAGATAAGTCTATACGCTTCTGCTGTTTATGATGGAGTTTCGGAAATTCCCGGCGTATCAATATTGTGCCAAATCTAATATACTTTTGTTAATTCGGATCTACTCTTGGCTTTCACCAACAGTCGATATATCGTGCTTGAAGACGTGCTGCCCTTGGGGCTTTGTTTCTTTTTGATATTGCGACTCGTTCGTGCTGGATTATTTGCGGGAATTCGTTTCGAGCAACTGTATTCGGATTAAATTGCCACGGTCGGCCAATTGTTTTTGGGATTTCGCGACGTTGTGAATGTTGACCGAAACAGAAAATGAACGGCCGACACTCGCTCGCGAGGAGCTCCGACGACGTGCGCCGAAACGACGTTGAGGCGTAGTGTAATTCGACGACGGCAGCGAGCTTGCCGATGTAACTATTCATGTAATACCGTGATGCGACGGCAAGCCCGGCAGCGTGGCAGGACGGAGGGGGGGGGGCGTGAGAGCTAGGCCCGGAATTCTCATCGCATCGCGCAAGTTAACGACTTGCGCGCAGGGCGTTTGTCTTGACGATGCTGACTGCGAGATTGCAAGTTTGGCGAGGGCGCGAGCGCGGCCCGTGTTTACTCGCTGAAATTAATAGGAGCGCGTGTGCGGCGCGCCGGAAAACGCCGTTGGAATTAACGAGGCCGCGTTTTCTGCGGAACGATCGGCGTAATGCGGCCCGAGATTGCAGGCGGCGCCGCGCGGTGCGGCGCCGCGGTCCATTTTTCACCAGCGATCTCGGCTCGTCCCTCCTCTTTTGTGCTTCGGATAATGAACGTCATTCAACGCTGATAAATTGTCGGGCGGCCTTTATAGCGCGGCGTTCGATTAAAAATTGGATGGTGCTGTATAGCGACCGGCTCGCGCTCTTGTTAACGGATTGGTCCAGCGCTCAAGCTCGTTTGCTAGCTAGTAATCGGTTCCTGCAGCTAAACGGATTCATTTTCGGCCCGCCGTCTGCCACTCGAGCTGGACAAATTTTTATCATTTCGCGTCTGTTGTCTTTAACAAGTTTGCGTTTCATTTTCGCCGCTTCCTCGTGGTCGAACGTTCTCTTTAAATAATTACAAGTCCTTTCAAGACTGTAAATGATGCTGTGAAAATCGATAACCGCTTTAAAATCTAGCCGGAACGATATGGATGAAAAGTTCACAAGAACCATTTTTACATCGTAATTCAGATCAATATAACGTCATATTTTGGCACGTGTCTGTTTAGTAAATACTGATAAAATATTTCATTTGCTGCGCAGTGTAAAATTATGTATCAGTCGTTGAAAATTTTCCTGAAAAGATATTTACAGATGAATAGTTAGATAAGCTGACATTTAACGGGTTTAGCAACAATATAGTTGGATATTTAATAAAACATAGCATGTACCGAGTCACATTGAAGATAATTTTGTACGTGTGAACATTAAACATATTGTATTAAATTTTCATAGGGTAAAGCTGTAATGAAAGATGCTCGAGTTTTTAAGATTTTGAACTACCTAAAATTCAAATGTAAGGTTACTATTTTAGGAGCTATATTTGAGGTCTTCAGAAATAATGTTAGCTACAAGCGAAATTTATTAAGGATCTTTTGGATCATGAAATTTTCTTTTTTCTATAGTAACATTTTGTCGAGATTTTATACTACATTGAGAAAAAAAGATCTTATAGATACCAGTTCTCTCGTCTAAACCTTTTGCAATTAGAATAAATTCTTTTTCGTCTGTTTTGAGAAAAATTCTCATATTTCAAAAATTTTTTTTCTATAGTAGTTATACTAATAGGCACTGAGTTTTAAAAAATGGAATTTCTATAGGAATGTTTGCTTCTGTTTTTCTGTACATATTAAATTATTGATACCGACAATGATTTTTATGAGAGTTGTTTTTAGTTATTTTGTTAATAGTATCAAGAAGTAGTAATATTATAGTGAAACTGTCAACTTTACCAGCATTTTCGTTTTTGTGGCAATAAAAATAAAATATTATTTTCACAGCAAGTGTTCATAACTAGAAAGTAATGGAAACAAATTTGTTTTTTATCGATCATCTCGTTATTTACCAAAACTTGAAATCAGTTAGCTTTGGAAGTCTATAAATATAAATATAATCAAAGTGACGAACTAACGCTTGGCTGGAAAGTAATGAATACGGCGATAGGTAGTTTTAATTTAACATAGTATTATGTACAAAAAGTGATCAAAATAGCTAAGTCAGTAAATTTATTCATTTCGTGACATCAAGTGGAACTGACGCAATCTCAGGATTCCTTCAGTCCTAAACTGCCTGAGATTATTGTTGAAAGGAAAGACCACTTTCACAAGGAAGTACCACTTTCCTATAATCTTGCCCTTCAATTTTGTGTCGTGGTTGAAATTTAGCTCCAAAGAGTATCCCAGCTCAAACCTACAATAGTACATGGTTACCTACACGGAGAAGTGTATAGATCCAAACGATAGTAGTATCTACACATTCAAGGAGTGAGGTTCGAGGTGGATCGCGAGCTAAAGGAAAGATGGAAAGTTATCTAGGGTTTTCTTACTCTTTATTTCTGGTTCAAAATTTGTAGCTTTGCAACATTCCGATTTATTCCTTTGCTTAACTGGTTTGTTTCATTGTTTGGCTTTCTGACAAAAGACTGATGCGTGGGTCAGTGACAGTTCCAGTATTTTGAATTTTTCAGTTTTTAATTTTCCTAAACTAGTGTATTTTTTATATTTATAATACATTTATAGATATTCAAAAGAGAAATAAAAAATCGATTTTTGACAACCGACCACACACACACACACACACGCCTATATATGTTTATAACATTATATTTGCGATAAATCCGATTGCACTTATATTACTTTGATGTATTTCCTGAATGCTAACTCAGGAATATTTGGAGAGGAGTATTCAGAGCTATCTGAAAAATTAACCAAGCGATTAATTTTAAAGTTCTATGTAAAACATATGTACTAGTTTGGGATATTCTTAACGCCAAGATGTTGAGACATCATTCAAGTATACTGAAATATTTTTTGAAAGCAATATTAATGAATACGATCTGAGTAACATTAATTAATTGACGTTTGATGTTTTAAAAATATCAATAGCTGACGACGAATATGGTTAAGCTTCGTATATATAGCTCAATTTTTGTGATATTCCATGGATAGTTTTCTCTACAGTTGACAAGTTTGATTGTATTAATGAACTTACTTTTTGATATATCTTTACAGCAACAGAATTACTGTGATACAGTTGAATTTGAAAAGAGTTATGTGAACTCGTCGTAAAAAACTTCGAAAGCTTAAATCCATAGCAAGTAAGCATACGTACGCAGTAAGCGCAAAAGTAGGTGAAAGCAAAAAGAGCCGATAGACTGAGGAGAGAGAGAGAGAGAGAGAGAGAGAGAGAAAGGGCGTATAAGTGTGTGTAAGTCGCTCGAGCGTACATATACGCCTGGAGGCCAGCAGCCGCGCGTCTCGAGATTAGCGACACGCGGCTAATGGAAAAATGCTCCCGGCTTGCGCAAGCTCAACAAGTTAAAATGAAAAAGTACCACGTCCGCGCGCATGCTCGCATCTTGCTCGTGTTGTTCTAATAGGAAACGGGCTGGCAGTTCTCGCGATAGATTTTTATGTGAGGTCGGGATCCCAAGGAAAATTCTGCAATATCAATCGATTTTCGAATCTTCAATAACGTTGTATCATCTATCGCGTCAAATTTTTACTCAACAATCTTGAAATTAGACTGATATGTCTTATTTGTTTATTTCCTTCACGTTGACAAGATTATAGCTTTAGATTTACATAGGATTTCTTTCTTTTTTTCAAATAAAATATGCAAGATCGGCAAATCACTTTTAGAAGGTTAAGCAAAAGAATTCCAAGATTTGGTATTTTTTTATTTATTTATAGTCCAAGGATGTCTCGTTGGTCTTGAATATTTTATTGGAATTATATAAACAGATAATTCGAAATCTTAAAAATAATCCTATCCGAACGTGATGGAAAAACACAGCATTGAAGCTTGCCAACTATTGTACATTTTGCTGCACATTATTGTAGGCAAAATTTATGATAATTTGTGAATAGAAGAACTTTATAATACAGTACTAAATTTTAATGTAAAAATATGTGATCGAACCAAACAAGGAATCAATTTATTTAAAAAATTTGAATACATTATACCTATGCGATAAACCGAGCGACTAAAATTTAACCGATGTACCTTTTGCTTGCGCGAATAAAATATGAGAAACGAGTATTTTCACTCGGCCAACCGAATGTGAGACGTTTTGTTGCGATTTATCGAGATGACAACGGCGAGATTAAATTGCACGGTGTCGTTATTTACGGTACGAGGCAAAGGCAATTCGTAGAAAAACTGGGTCAGGAAGCTGACTCCAAGTTTTTTTTTTATTTCACTTCACTTGCCAAACTTCTTTAGGCCTCGTTGAATCATCGCGCTCGTCTTTTTTTTTTATTTCTGCAGACGCCGAGCGACGTTAATTGTCTGCAAAAGGCGTTCGTCTACTCGACAAATAGTGTCATGAAGGTTGGAACGTTTTTCCGTCAATAGAATTTTCGCGTGAATTTATAGTGAGCAAGAAAGTAATGAGTTGACAAACTACTGTATACGCCTCCAGGTTTTACGAGTAACGAAATTTAAAATTTCAAATGATCCACTGCAATTACTGAAACGAAAGTTCGTCTTTTTTATTTGAAGAGAAATGTTACAATCAATTGGAATCGCACGTGACCTCGGTGTCAGAGGTCATTGGCGATCGCCAATTTTTCAATATTAATGACTTTATTCGCTGCTCTGTTTTGGGTTATATTTAAATTTCGAATAAATGAATACGGAAACAAAATCCTTTTTAATTGAACAGATGAATAATGTTGGAAATAATTGGCTTTATTTTATTTATTATACATTAATTAATTTTTTTGTTACGCTGAAATATATAAGCGTTTATATTTTTGCTCACATTCAGTGCAGCATTTTCATTTAAACAAAAATGTTTCATTGAAAATGAACCGGACTAAAATAGAAATTATATTTGTGGTTTTTCAATCATCAAAATAATTTGTCTTTATTTTAGAATGAAATTTCGTCTTAAATTTCGATCAAATTGTTTCTTCAGGAAAAAAAATCACAAAAACATTTAACTCGTAAAACAAGCGTGCAGTGTTCAAGGTAAATATTCCTCGATGTTTTGATACTAATTTTTTCTCAAGATTTTAGTAGACGAGAAGCGATTTAGAGAAGAAAATTATCGATAACTATAGGGTAATAATGAAAAAAAACTCAAGCTATTGTAAAACATTGGTTTTCTGATTTAAAGTATAGCACAAAGTAAAATTATGATCTGAAGGTGATGAGTTTGAGCAGCGGGCAAGAAAATAACGATCGGTATCCGTCAAACTTGGCGCCAAATTTCGTGTTAGACGCGAGAGTTCATTTCGGGAGCTTGGTGCTTCCGCTCGGCAACGAGTTTCGTCAGTCAACGTTTACGTATTCCTTTGTGCGCGTTCGCGAGAACTCATTTCGGGCTGAAACTTGAAGGAAAAACTTCTTCGCGCCTCGTCAGGATTGTAGACTGTGAGCGTTTATTACGTCTTCTTCATTATCCGCGAATGCACAGTTCATTGAACTCTAAGAGTTGTATTGTATGGACAATTTTAATTAAAATGAAAAATTGAGCTTTTCAAGATTAACAGATGTAATTTATATTCGATGCAGCAACGTAAGCAATAATAAAAATTGTAATTATCAATGAAATTGAAAATGTTTGTTCCACTGAAAAATTCGTTTGCACATCCGCTAATTGCTTAGAAAACGACCAAGTTCGACGTTGTCGAACATTGCATACATAAAAGAGAGCTTTTAACAAACTATTGACTTCTTGCGCAGCGTATAAGCGAGCAACAAGTTAATACTCGACAAATGGCCAATTAAAAGTTTAAAGCCAAGCATATTAGGCCAATATTAACCGAGGGAGCGATGCGATCGCTATATGCCTCTTATTTAGCATCGTATGAACGCGTTTGTTTTGTGTGCATCTGCAATGACAAAAGATCATCAATAATAACGCCGGATTTTGCGCGCCTTTGTTGCGGCTCTGGTCAGAATTTATCATTTTGCAACTGTTGATACGCATTATTTAAAATGACCAGTTTCCATTCACTTTCGTTTAATCATTTCCAATTATTACTGTTTTCGATAATTAACTTTAAAGCAGAATTATGTTACTTTAATATTCTAATGTTTTTTATAGTGTAATTTTGTTATTCTACGTAATTTACAATAAAGTTTGCATATAAAAAATTTAATTCTTATTATCGATGTTTTGTATAATTTATGTTTAATTATTATAGCAATGGAAAAATTTCATCGATAATTAGCGCTGCATGAATGTTTCATTCCCGTAACCCAATTGTACGTACATCGGACAGAAAAAGATTAAAATTAGATACTTTGAATTTCTCGAAAACACAAAGTAGGTTAATCTACACGATGGAATTGCCAGAATTTAATACCTGCTTGCGGAAAATTGTTCACATTTTCGAAATTCCAAAAGAGAGAAAAAAAAGCGAATAGAGTCGCGTTTCTCATTTTCTTTTTTTTTCATTCTCTATTCAATGAGAAGAAAGAGTATGAGAGAAAAATGGACTTTACGTTCTTTCGCATTGACACTGCGCAAAGCGAAAAGTGGGCCGCGATCTCTCGAGTTGATCTAATTATCAGCCGAGAGCGGCATTTTAACGTTACCAGAAAAACTGGGTTACGCTGCTTGCCTCTCGTTCGCAAAATCACGCGGGTAGGTATCAAAAATTAAAAAAAAATTACACATGAGCAAATCTGTGTAAAATCGTTTTCTTTTGAACATAGCTGACCGAGGGAAAATTTTCTTTTTCCTCCAATGGAGCTACTTTGTCATTTTCGAATCTGCTTACGGAATCATACGGACTCGCAAAGGCTTTATTACGTGATTCCATCGATGTTACTCGGAAAAGTACTTCATAAAGTAGTCGGTATCTTTTTCCCTTTTATTTCTTCGTTGAAAGAAGGTCAAGTATCGCGAGACAGCGCACGTGGGATGTAATTAAAGGCTTTTCGCCGCGGTGCGCGTCCATTCAATTTGTTCTCTTTTCCCGTTTCTCAGTAACGGATCAAATGTACGCTAGTTATATAGATAGATAGAGAGAGAGAGAGAGAGAGAGAGAGATATCGATTACCTTTTCTATAATACAGACGAGACTGATGATAGAACCGACGTCGACGTGATGCTCTTCGCCTCCGAGGATGAACGCCTCGGGCGTTACTACATTCAAGTTGACGTAGTGCGATAGTATTCCTGTACTTCTGGATACCTACAAAAAACGATCAACGTTACTGTGCAAAGTTTTGCTGAATATCACGTGACTATTGATAAATATATGATTTTTAAAATCAAGTGCACTATGCTATGATTCGAGTATTGTCCAGTGATGGTTGGTCTGGCCACTTTCAGGTAACGTACTACTTGTACTAATGCAGTAGTTATACGTTAAATGTTAAAACGTGGGTCAATACAATACTCCGCTCGCATTAGAGTTTGTAAATGATGTGTTAACTTGTTAGCTATGATAATTAGTTCAGTTCTCCGTGTTAATCAATTTTGCAGAATTATATGTACTCATCGTATGAGTGCATTATTATAGAGCGCATTTTAGATTTCATTATTGTGAAAGGCTTCATCAAGGTCAGTGATAGTGACAGGAGTGAGCAGTAATAAATGAAAATGATTTTCGATTTAGTTTCAATGACGTTATAAATGAGGTGTAAAAACCCTGCGGGTTGGGAAAAAGCCAACAGAGTATCGGACGAAACGAAATAAAGTTTGAATGCACGCAATTAGCTACGTTGAACGCACGCAAATCTGCCAAAGGCAGCAATCAACGAAGTCGCCCCTTTCTGGAATTTTCCGCAACGCCGGAAAACTCGCAAGAGGGAGCTAGCCTCGTTGGGCCTCGCGCGCCGTAGCCGCAAGCCATTCCCCCGTGTTCTTGTTTTCAACTGGGCTCTCTCCGCCACTTGTCGGCCTTCCAAGACTGCCGGACCAAAGGTAAACTTGTAGTCTCCCCTTCCCGTAATCTGTGACCTAAAATACAAGGGAACTTACTTCCCGAGAGGTCTAGCAGCCTTCGAGAATCAATTCTCGAAAACGATCACGGCCGCGACGACGCGTTGGCGCCCGCGCGCGTTTAAGGGCGTGACGCGAAGGCGAATGGAAAAAATACGTGAGAGACGAGATCTTATTAACTTAACACCAACGAGAATGGGCATTGCGCTTTACGATCGATTTACGCTCTCAGTCTCGTTTTGCGTTTACACTCACGTCTTATTTTCGATTCTTAGAACTTAATTTTTTTTTCAACCAATACGCCGAGCAAAGGCAGATTCTTTTCCTCGTGGACAGCTGTTGAACGACAGACGATGGATCACGAAGGCCGTAAACTCAAATTCGACCGCGACGACGTCGAAGGTAAACCCGGCGCCGGCATGGCACTCTTGTTATGGGCTTTCCCAAGCGCGGGCTCGCTAAATTTCTTTCTTTCTGTCGCTTGCTGTTTGCGCGCACGCATCGCACAGGCGTCGACTTTCTCTCCTGGCGAAGCGCGACGTCTCGACAGTCGCGGACCGCAACGTCGGAAGCGGGAGTAATTAAATTTTTCGTAGTCGACGCATACGCGAACTATCACGGAACAATTTGACAAACTCAAATTACTTCGCGATATTGAAAATAAGCCTGCAGCTGGGAAATGTCAAATCGAGAGAAGTTCGTAGTTATTTCAAGTCAATCGAAAACCAGAGAATTGGTAAATTCGAGCCATATGAAAGTATTTCGCGTGTATAACTGCGAACGTTCAATCAAACGTGAAATTATAATGTTTGGAGGTTTGTCGGGAAAGGGGAATGGATGAAAGCTCGCGACCAGAAATCCAATTGGCCCTATTACGCTGCACGCAAATAGCAAGAAATGCGGCGCTATTGGAAGAAAGAAAGTATTTAATCGCAGTTGAAGCGTACATTTCCCTTCTTAATAACCTAATTAAAGCTCTCGACTTTTTTTGGAAAGAAAAAGGGAAACGCGATAGCCTCGCTCCCGCGAAAAACTTTCGCAGCAGCCGAGGCTGTTTCTTACGCTTAATTAAGCAGCAAAGACGCTTTAGCGGAGCAAATTCATCGTTGAGTTTTTCGATAGCGGAAGTTTGTTCTTTCCCATGTAGAATATTCTCGCAAGTATCAGAAGGGACAAGACACAGAGAACGAGTTATGAACTGTACTCTTGAGGGATGAGATTCCGCGCGGGGTATAAAGTACAAATGCTCACGGGGATAAGGAAGAAAAGGTAAAAAGAAGAAAACATTTACATTTTGATGGATGTTTGTAACGAGGGAAGGGAGAAAAAAAATATGTAGGAGAAGAATTGCTCGAGGTTTTCTCTCTTCTCGAGTATGTATACATACATATTCGTATGATAGTCTAAAAAATCGACGGATTCCCTTTGCCTTAGAAGCACTCTCGCATATTCAAAGGGGAGACAGGGAATATTTACATAGAGCAGTGTACAGCGCGCATGAGACCCTTTTGCCGCGGGAATCCTCTAGAGGGTTATAGGTTTCGTCGGTCAAATCATCATTCCAAATTGACAATTTTATACGTTCTCTCGACCCTTCCTGCACACACATATATATTTACAAATCGTCACGTCTTGTTTGATATATAACTATCACATAAATTTTGACGTCGTCGACCACGACAAGTTGTTATACGTCTGGCTATGACGATCAAACGGAAGTCTCACGAATACACTTTTTATGATTCGTTTGTGATCCTAAAGATTTCTTATTTTATTTTTTCTGCTCTTTGCACTTCAGATTTTACCTGTATATTTCCGTAACTAAATAGGTTCCGTTTGTTTTAAATGAAGATGAAATTTTTATTAACTATACTAAAGTCGGTTATTTCAGATCAAAAAAATCTGAAATAATCGAATATTCAGAACAAATATATTTATTATCGGTGGTTTAAATTGATTAATAATTATAATTTTTAAATACAAGTAAACTAGCTAAAGTAGATAGATAGCTTGTTTTTCTTACTTTTTATAGAGTTTTCAATTGGAATTATTCAGTCATAATTGAGCAGGCAATCAGGTGAATAATCAGAAAGACTACTTGATACATGAACTACTCTAACAAACTGTACTTTTTTTTTACCACGTCCTGTCACATAAAAACTGTCGATAACTAATTCAGGGCGCCGTCTAGCTCTTTATTCTTGTACTTAATACGTTTCTCCATTCGAAATTTTTTAACTGCGATCGTCGAGGATAAGAGAACTGTTCCATTTCATCGGTGAAACTACGAATTCAACTGTCGTTCAGATTTTTGACGATTACAGCTGAGAAAAGCTTACATTGATAGTTATAAAAGCAAAATGGGGTTTCGGCATAAATTTCTCGAGATAACCTGCAATTTTATTCACGGGTAGGGCAAGTACTTATAAAGCTAAAAGCCGCAGACGGAACATTTAAAATGGTCGAGTAAAAATTTCTCGCAGTCGTCATAACACTTTGGCAGAGGTATCAAAAACTTTTGGTTATCTTTACTATCGGGCATCAAAGTGAAACTAAATCGACAGGAAGAAAGGAGAAAGAAAGAAAAACTCGACAAAGCAAATTCTCGAAGGTAGCGGCAGCAGTAGCAGCAGCAGCAGCAGCAGTACGAAGTGTGCGTCAGAAATCACAGCAGATAAAACGCCAAGCGAGAGAGTATGGCAGGAAGAAAAGTCTCGAGTGGCCTAGAGAGTAAAGAGAAAAGAAATAAGAGAAAGAAGCGCGCGCGAAAGAGCTCAAGTCCGCTAAGGCTATTAGTTGCTGAAAGACGAAGAGTAGCGCTTGAATATCGAGGACAGGGATTCGGAATGCAAAAAGAAATAGGCAGAACAATTTTATTGTTATTATTATTATTGGACTCGAAGTAAGGAAAAGTTGGGACCAAATGATTATTTTACGACAAATCACCTGCCACCCCTAATGTCACGAGCAGACTTCGACCTCCTTTCTTCAGTCACAAGAAGCGGCTCACGCATACGTATATAAATTAACAGGAAACAAAAAAAGAAGAAAGGGGAAATAGTAGAGGAACGAAGTTTCAACCGACAACTCGCGAATGCGCGCGGGCACGAGGTCGAGAGGGTCACTCGAGACTCTGGTCGCGGTAAGTTTTAAGCAGCTCTCCCTTAAAATAACACTCCGCATAAAATAACGATCCTTTCGGAAAGGGGAAGAGCGAGTGAGGAAGGGCGAAGTTTGCTCTATGACTCTTCTTCTCGCCTCACGGCTGCTTCGCGCTCCAGACAATTTTCTCGCGGCTTTCTTTAAATTTTCCTTCTTTTTTGCTCCGATTTCTGTCGCACCCAACGGACGCTCTTTTCTTCGCTTGGACTTTTAATAGAATTAAAAAAAAGGGAAGGAAGAGAAAGAGAAAGAGAGAGGTATTTTTTGAAATGTCCTGTGTTTGCTTTCTTCAGGGCGAATAGTTATGTGTAGAATCCATAGCACGCCGAGATGAGAGTTTAATAAGAAAAGATTATTGATCCGATTCGCGTGCTATATAGGTACGTCTTATATATACATCGAAATATAGGTTTATTTTTAAATTCAACTCAGTGAACCTTGCAGTTTTTCCTATGTCAAGAGGTAAATCCCTCATTACCATTTAGTCCGAACCTAAATTACTTTCAACGCGTACCATCGAAACAGAACGCAGATGAATTCGTAGCACTTCTCTGTGGTCTACACGAGCTATTACCTACTAATCGTTAATAGCACGAGCAACCGACTATATATTCGAAAAGCGAGTGCATGCGAATAGCTATCAAAATTACGATCCGAAATCCGATCGCCAATGCTGGCTTACAAAAGTACATCATTTTCAATGGAATAGTTTCAAGCAGTTGGATTGAGTATCGTGCAGACAGCGCGTGATTAACTTCGTCGGACGATTACTGTAATGTTAAACCAATTGCAATTGTGCGCTCCGAACAACGTGAATCGACCGAGAGAATGAAAAGAAAAGCTGTTAAACGGAATCACAACGTTCACAACACAAGCATATTAGATCAAAGAGGGCCTGCGCGGAGCTGCTGGCTTGTTTGGGGGTTGCAGATAATATGGACTCCCAGCCCTCGCACAGAGGTGAAAGAGACACTCTTGGGCACTAACAAGAAGCCTCGTTGCGCGCACTTAGCATAATCCATTTCGTTCGGATAATCCTAATTGATGATAATATCATTGAGTGCCAAGGTAGTCGCCTGTCTTTGCGGACAGGATCTTATTATGCAACTGATATTTTCACGCTGTGTGTATTTGCTTGACTGTTCTGTTTTCGTTAGGATTTTTCTTTTTTACTTTTTTTTCTTGTCGCAGTAGTGAGTATCAAGATTTCGTCAGACGTATTTTGATTTAGGCTTTATACACTTGACACTTTGTTAGCTAAATTAATATTATTTTGGAAAGTTAACTTCACTAGCTTAACAATTAAGTTTACATAATACGAGCCGCGAAATATTAGTAACGAATTCAAATTTCCTGTCAGGGTGAAGTGAACCGCTAAAACACTTATCTATATGTGATAAATTTATACAAGTTGCGGCCAGTAAAGTTATTAATAGTTTTCTTTCAGAATTGGAATTTCAAAGAAACTGAAAGTACTCAAAGTAATTAGTTGAGATTTAGTTGAAGATGATGAAAATTGCAATAATCCATAATAAACAGAGTTTACTGAGGTAACTATTTAGTAGTTCTCAAGATTTGTTAAATTTAAAGAACAAAATGAGTACATAGTTTTTGGAAGAATCATTTCCAAGTGAAAAATATCCAGAGTGTCGTTATTTACAGCGAACAAACAAATTAAAAAATATATATTTATTCCGTGACACACAATCAGTTGGCAGTACACTAACGCTATGCTTTGAGAGAGCGAGCTGGAAATTAATTTCCTGCCGAAGGACAGAACCTGCCTGGACGCATGTGTCTGCCTGCTTTCTCACTCTCTCTCTCTCTCTCTCTCTCTCTCTCTCTCTCTCTCTCCTAGCCATGTAGGTCATGTGAGAGATGAAAGCCGCATGAAGGAAACGAGCCTCGACGACGGAAACCCTTTACACCCCAGGCGTCTCTCAGATAAGGCGTAACCTCTTCTCGCTCCGATCGATTTCGACTTTTAGCTGAGTGTCGCTTTAGTTCTGTCTTCTAGCTAGGAAGTTTCAAGAATCTGTCCTTCCAGCACTGAAGCAATGGGCTTTAATTTCATTTCAAATTCTAAATGCATGACAGACGTAGCGACAATGAAGTTGTTGCGAAGTCACGAAAATTACTATTATTTGCTCGTTTCATTCATCGAAGCGAAGGAGTTTCGCGTCAAGTGCCTGACACAAATGGAGTGAAACGATCTAACAGTATATTACATAAAAAATTCATTTTAATTGTATAGAAGCTTGTTAGATTTTCTTTTACGTTGTTAGATTTTGAAGCTTTTTAACAATAACGAGATTACAATTTAAATGCATTTTGAAACGTTAGTGTACTTAGTGCTTCGCTTTGTATTTTTACTTCAAAGGAATTCGTAGATAAAAAATGTGGAGTTGAGCGAAAAGCAGATTTAAAGCATTATTCACAAATGTTTCTCATTAACAGGTAGTGTACGAAAAGAATTTCCATTCAGAGCTTTCATCATTCAGTTCATTCTATCAGCTCTTTGCAGGTATGCTCCGTATATTACTTTATTTTCATTTAATTAACAACGATTTTCGGCTCGTAACGTTTCGCAGCGAAGCTGCTTACATTTACGCAAATTGCACGTATAATAAGTATAATTGCATAATAACATAATAAGTACATAATAAATATAGTTTACTTGGGAAAATTCATAATTAGTTGAACGAATGGTTTTTTATTTCTTTAAATCTATATATAAATTTATTTGCATTATATAAATATTAAAAGGTAGAGAAGTTTACATTCTAGAAAATAATTTTACAATTTGTATTGACAGGTCCATTTACAACGAACGGTTAATATATCATAATGAGAAACGTTCAACAGTTGCATTTCTTCAATTTGAATATGTTTATTGGCCTTTTCGTATGTAAAAATGATGAGCGATTGATAGCACTACAAGTGTAGTAAAATCAAACTTTAATACACGTTTTGAATTCTCGATCATATTTCTCTGTATGGATGCGTTATTAAAAAGCTACGTTAAATATTACGAGCTCTAGCCATTGAACATTTTTAGTGCGAAGATTAAAGACTACAGGGATGCTTTGTCAAGAAGAAAAGCTTAAAACGACAATGCGGAAAGAGAAAGAGCTCGCGGCGGGTTGCTGCTCTCTTTTTAATATCCGCGCTTGCGAAATTTTGTCGAAAATTCAACGGCGAAAGCCACTTGTCTTCTTTTGCGTCCATCTATTCAATGGCGCGAAGCGCAGCCTCGAAGGCTTTTCCTGTGACGTGGCACTTTAATTAAATGAATTTTTCCTGATTTTTTTTAAGAATCTGCTGAGTAGACCATTTTATTTTCTATGAGCTAAGCAGAAGCACTTTGTTCAGCCAAAGGGTAAGCGAAAAACGAGTTTTACTTTTTTCTCGTTGCTTGAAATTCGGCGTAGTGAGATTTTTAATGAAAGCTATGCATTTAAAAATAACTAGAAATATATTTCATTTATCTCTCCCAGTGGCATTCACCGAGTTCTTTTAGCGATTACAAAAATGAAGGTATGAAAATGCGACTCGTTATTTCTGATGCTAAAAGTTATTCTAATGTGAAGTATCGACATCGTTATTCGTTAAATTCCGAAATTAACGTATCCACATGAATAATTTTGACGAATAACGCTGGAATAAAGCAGCGCTCTATGGATTGCGTTCTGCGATAATTTTTCAAAATTTTAATTAATAACGCAATTCACAAAATATTCGCTCTGATTCATTATTGAGATTTAGTGCCAGCATTATACGTTAAATTTATGTATTTAAAGATAACGAATTTCAATTTGAACAGATGACGCTGTCGATACTTTACATAAGAGGGTCATTTTACCATTAGAAACGAGGATAATTGATTACGTTGCATTGTTTATGACGTTATAAAAAATAACATATTTTTCTTATTTTTATCTAAATATTCGATCAACTATAGAAAAAACAACGAATACCGCTGTCATTGCGTTATTTGACTAGACTTTTTCTTGTTACTGGTTTTATCTCTGTAAATATAGATTTGCATGGGCGCATTTGAAGAATGATCTAATTAATTCATCATTACGCGAATGTATCCTCAGTACACTCGAGTATGAATGTGTAAAAAAAAAAAAAAATAAAACTTAAAAAGTCACGCCTGTGCTCGTCGTTGAAGTTCACAGGTCAAAGGTTTCTGTGAAGAGGTAATAACGAAGAAAGAAGAGAGGGGAAAAAAGCTCTCGCAAGGCCCTGAAGCGAAGTGCGCTCAGGCGAGCGTTAAAAAAGGCTTCTGAGGGTCACTTGACGATTGAAATTTTCTTCTACCGAACTCGTCGTCGGTAAACACACTGTACGTTCCTTTGTGAAGTCCCTTTTTTTCTTCCTATGCGCGTACTTATTTTGTACCGAGCATCCTGTGTCTTCGGTCCGTATTTATTCACCTATACAACTAATGAGCAATCGAAAAATGTCCATTGAAAAAAGTCTGCAAAAGAGAGAGAGCACATTTCGAAGCTTCACTCCCCAGAGAATCTCTGGTGGAGAAGAAAGAAAACTTATTGGTACAGTGCGGCAAGTTGTTGCGTGTATAGCTACGCCGACGACGAGATTTTTGCTGCTGCCGAGAAAATAGAGAGCGGAAACTCTTGGTGGTGGCTAGCTGGCTCTTTGCGCCCCTGTTACGGCTAACGAGTTCGACGATATTACTTGTCAGCCGTCAGAAAATACTTTTTATTAGTGTTATAAGGGTTTCTGGACCGAAAGACCAAGCGCGCTTTGGATGAAATTCTTTCATCAAACTTTCATCGTGGAGGAAGCTCGCGAGACTGATATTTATAGCAGTGCACTTTTAATTTCAACTTTATCGATTACCGCATTGTGTCTACTGTGATCGAATTTCATATCTCTATTTTTAGAGTTTGGCATAGGCTAAGCTTTTTATGAATGACGTTCGGATTCAGTATACTTTGATTTGCGTATTGAGTATCCATTGTGCATATATTTTGCCGATAATAACGTTTACTTGGATGTTATATCGGAAATAACAAACATAAACTTAAATACAGTTGAATAACAAAATAAATCTCATAAATCCACGCGAATGATATCGAAATCTCATGTACGCATTTTTTTCTCCAGCGATATATATATATATATATATATATATATATATATATATATATATATATATATATATATGTATCATTTTGGTTACTTGGTTTGTCGAAGCAAATCTTTCCGAAAGACCATTTACTCATCCACTCTGCGACGCGATGGGAATACGTACTTCCGAGGTAGAATGAGTGCGCGTCCAACTTTCACGAAAGTCAGTTGTTTCCGATTTGCCTTGTGGATTCACGAGCTTCATCGAGAAGATATTCCAACGTGACTCACATGCCACTTTATCTTATTACCGCACGAGAATTCAAACCCAGGAATTCTCGTATTTTGTGAGCTTTTTGTTTTGTTTTAATTTATCGACTGGCATTTCAGAGGAAAAAAACATGATTATTAATTTATTCGTATGCTTTTGACAGCAGAAAAAGCAATCAGAAATTTTGACCAAATATTGTATGTACATCAAATAAACGATATATTATTGAAGCAAAAATGCTTGAAATATTAATGGATAGGGTTTTCCATGTTCAAATACTTGAATATATGTCAGCATTCTGCTAAAGATTTCATATGGAGAAGTTATTAAGATTGAATGATATGTTCCAGCTACTTATCATTTATATTTATCGTGCTGTTTCATGAATACATTCCATTCGTGCCCTAGCTTTGCTTCATCAATTTAATGTTACAATTAATAATTCACATGACCCATTCTCGCATGCTACCACAGTAGTAAAGTACGAAAACAGTCGGGCGCCAAAAATAACGAGCATGAAAAATAAGGAAGAATTATTCTCGTTTTCGTTTCGAAAACGCGAAAAGATAAAACTCACCTGACATTCATAAGTACCGTTGTCCCTCTCCTGCACGTACTTGAGCTGCAATGTCCAATCGTCCGAGCCCTCAAGATGCAACACCTGAAAGCGCTCGTCGCTCGTGTAAGTGAACGTCGAGCTGGTAAGTACGTGCCAGTCACGCCTGCGTATCCAGGAGATCTGAAGGAAAAGAGAAGAGACGAAGCAAATGTAAATGGACTAATTTGAGGCTGCAGAGTGGCGGTAAAAATGAGGTCGAGCGAGCGAGCCGAGTTTAGGGCTGCGGGAGAGATAAATATTGTCTCCGGTTAATGATGGAAGCGCTTTCGTGGTCTATTAGTCTACAGCGTGTATTTTGGAAAAGTCGAGAGAGACAACGTTTAATTAATTGCTGCGATAAATATGACTTGTTACGTTATGCTCGACATCACGTGAATTAGGTGCTTTAAACTATAGGAGAGAGTGTTTTCGCATACTAATGTACTAATGTACAGTAGAGAGATAATGACAATTAATGTTTTTCTTTTTGTAGCAAAAAAAGAGGAAGTAAATGTTTGTCGATAGGAATATTATAGTCAGTTGTAAGGCTATCTATATGTATGGCGGATATCATATGAAATTGCGGTTATCGTGAAGAGAATTGCGCCCCGTTGCGGCCTCTAAGGGAGTTTCATTGCGGTCGGTCGTGTATCGTGTAATTGCGAAAAAGGTGTGAGACACGCGCACCGTTAACATCGACGCCCAGAGCTGGAAAATTAATGGGCTGCATGTGTGTATCTTTTTTTCAGGATGTAACATTTATTGTGATGCTATATTCCGATTACCGTTTTGTGTATTTATAGTTTTATTTTACCGTAATATTGTATTGTAGACGAAACTACGCTCTTTGTAATTAGCTCGATCTGAATAATCAGTGACAAATTTTCAGACTAGATAAAATGCGCACGTTGTATATCTTGGTGAGTATATTTTGACTGACACATATTAAGAGCACTAGTCCCTCTAGTGTTTATACCACCCGAACTAAAATTACCACTACCACTTTACATGGTAAATTTATGGCAATGAACGTTCCATACACCTTACGTCAGTCACTAATAAATTATTATTTAACGTAGAATCAGTACGGAAAATGTAAACTACTCTTTCAATTTTATAATACGTTTGGTAACGTGATAAAGCAAGAAAGTGTATTCACGAAGTATAAAACAGTCAAGCTATCTTTGCATATCTTAGTAGTAAATAAATAGCCGGTTTACGGGTGCAGCTGTAGCAGTAATTTGATCGAATTTAGCCAGGGAGGAGGACTCTTGAAGAAAAGCCGAAGATGCCAGTGGAGCGAGGGCACCGATAACAACGTCTCTGCGAATATATATGCCATTGGACATTGATCTTACACAGCCATTGGCTCTCTCTCTCTCTCTCTTGAGGCAATCGGCTTTATCTTCCGTGCAATAGCACATCGTGGCTCTCTGGCCACGTTCGATAAAATTATATCCATCGAGCAGCAAACGGCTGATTCCATACTAACAAATATCGAAAATCATTCTCTCGAGTCTCTCGAAGAATTTCACCGAATCCACAGAATTCCCCTCTATATATATAATAGTTTCTACTTTCTAAGGTTTTTCAAAATTAATTGGCGAATGCCATTGCATAAGTGATTATTGCAAGATCTCCAACAATTTAATCTATTCCCACGGGAGGTCGCGCAGGTATTTCAGAGATAGGTATTGCGCAGTTATACGGATTGCATTCGATCAGATATGGAAGCAGAGCTCAAATTATTGAAAGCATTTCGTATCTGCATAACTCTAATACTGATACGGGATTATAACGTTGCGATTAAGTATTATCATAACAAACTTTGAAAGCTTGTGCATGTGATTAACGTTCTAGTATCGAATACCCTACTTTATGGAAAAATCTAATGCTACGATGTACGCACGCATACACTGATTCTCCGACCTATTCAAAGCTGAGAAATCCGTATAACTTACTTCGGTATCGGCGCCATTTCTATCGGCTAAATTGTGAACCTTGCAGTGTAGAAAGGCGGTACCACCGAGCTGGATAGTCACGTTCGTGACGGTGTTGTTTTCGTTAGCCTCGTTCGCTCGCTGTAACTCCTCGAGATTACTGTACCACAATGCCTTCCACTCGGACGGTGGACTGTGCGGCAACCGACGCTCTGAAAATCAACAGCGATGAATTGTTCATACTTATTTTCTTCCTGTTTGAACAAGTATAAGTATAAAGAATAATTGAATAAGAATTGAATAAATATAAAGAAACAATTAATTCTATTATTACACTACGTTAACTAAACGGTGTAAAACAATCCCAGCGGAGTAAAAACAGTTATTTTGCAATTAAGGGCCTCTCAGCCTTTCTATAGATATATAAGTCAATGTAAATTAATACATCGACTTTGCTCGGAGATTTAACCGCGTATAGTGCTTGCAACCCGAAAAAAAAAATAGGTCGACAGTTTTTGCTGAACAACGTACTGTGAATCAATTTTAGATCGTCCCATCTATTAGTTTCTTCAAAAATAAATGTTTAAAAATATTGTTTCAAAAATAATATTTTTTTGTTTTGGAGAATTACTTACGCGACTTTATAAATGCAACATGACAGTTTCGTATTTAATTAAAACTTCATTTTTAAACATTTATTTTTAAAGAAACTAATGGACCGGATAATCTAAACTTGATTCACGGTACTTTGGTCAGTGAAAAAGAGAGCAAAATCGTTCTATTAATTTACATTTGTATATCTATGTAAGGGTAGGAGGAGTTCTTAAATTTAAGCGACGCACAAAGTACACGAACGAGTCAGACAAAAGTAATATGTGTGTGCAAAAGAACAACGTTGAGCTACCAAAATGACTTGCCCACATAAGAATTGTCACTTTCGCTCTGTCGCGTGCCGCTCGAATTCCGGCCTCTCCCTTCATTCGCCGCCGCTACGGCATTAGGCCTTTACGCGCGCGTAGCTCCTCGTCGTCCCGACTCCTTGCACTCTCGTTTGCTCTTCGCTCGTCAGCCTACCAGCCAAGGGTTAACCAAACGCTAACCCCTTTCGTATATATGGACCCAACAGTCTAGTAGCCATGTACATACCGCGGGGACTACAGCCTCTAGGACTAACTCCGGAGCTGTAACTTAGTGATACAACAATGATGATGAATAATGCGTTCGTCCATGTCAATGGAACGAACTCAGAACATTGAGAGGCAGAGGCACACGCGCTGATAAAGTCGCATCTTAAATTTGCCGCAGCGGGTCATACGATTAATTGTAGTTGCAACTTATAGCACTTCAGTCTTTCGCATACCCTAACCCTTATTTTCTAATAACATAAAATATCGTAGTTTAAATCTTTTCGCAGCACATCTTATTTGCTACGTTTAAAAATCTTCCTTTCGACTTAAAAGTTTTTTCCAAGACGTAGAGCAACGACGCTAATTTCTAGACAGCCAACCTCGACAACAGCTGTATTTTTTTTTACTACCCGGACGCGTTTAAACTCGCCCGCTCATTTGGACTTCTCGTTACAATAGCCGCTATCGCAGGGCGCAGATCGTAAACACATGTGGGTTGCATGGTGTTTCCTAAAAATGGCGTTTATGAGTTTTCGCCGAGCATAGTATTGGCGTGCAACGTCGTTGGTCAGCTCCTCGAACACATCTTAAATTATAACATTACTAGGTGTGTCGTCTATTTTCGATAATGTGCGGAATGCTCACTGTTATAACTAATAGTTCTCGGGTTCTGGTTTTTACGCGGCTCAAATGCCACATTGTACACCCTTTCCGCGTTTTCCACAGGATTTGAAAATTATCAAAGGGGTTATCAATTTTCGATGATCAGAAAGCGCTGCCGTGAATTATATAACTGGACATAGCACAAATAAAAATGTTATCAATGGGAGGATATGAGATTATAATGTGATAAGGTTTCTACTAAGAGATTCCTTCTTTTTATAAAATTATAGCCTCATGTATTTGAAAATCGCGATATACAAATGATTCAATGAAAGAAAAGCAAATCAAGATAACGAGTTTATCTCACGGTAGCTCAAAAATTGGATTTTAAAGTTTAGCTGACCAAGACACAACGTTCAAAATTTTGCAGTTCTTTTGTATTTTAAAAATATTATAAACATTTAGAGATGGGCATATGGTGTATCTTCAACGTTTTTCTTTATTTCCCGTGTTCCCAAGATTGGACTTCGATTTCGTGACAACGTTTAATTGTGCGCTCTACGACCATACACACATTCGCGCAACGAAAAGTAGTAATGCAGCTGCTCCCTTGGTTTGTCATTTGTTGACTTTCGTTTATTATTAATTTATGATATGTAATTATTCAGTTGTAAGTAAATTAATTGCAAGATTTATATGTATTTCTGCGCATAAAACTTAACGTTGAAATATATTTGGACAAGTTAAATTAATGGGGTACAATGGTATTTGCACAAAATAAAATATTATCGTGTCGGAGAAGTAAATATGCGATGTATGGAAAATTAAACAGTTGAATATACGTAGCAGTGACTGTAATAGAAGCTCACGTGCCTACGATAAGAGTAATAAAAAATTATATAAAAACAGCGATTACGATTTACGATTAGTAAACGCGATGTTGATCTCTGTGTGCGAATCCCTTTCCGAAAAGACAAGTCGTTTATTAGTTCTAAGTTTTCTGTGTACAGCGTGTATGATTTCAATTATTTAAAGAACTATATTCACACAACCTTGCACCTTTAGCAATAAAAATTTATAAAAATTTCCGTGAGAAAGCGAAATGAAAAAAATCAATGAGAATCATCCGGCGCGAATTATAAAGCATGTATTTTACCAGTTACATTGCTCTCTAGATCTAAATCTTAAGTGAAGCAACAACTGAGCTTTAATTACTTCATAACTTATACGCCGACTCACTTCTCGAAAACTCCTCGATCTCGCGCAACCCCTCCATCCAATTACCGAACGAGCAGCATTTTCCCGTCGGTGGAAAAGGACGACTTATACCACTTTCCATCCGCCCCCTTCGGCTCTCTATCCGAGGTCCTCGAAATTATTATCCGATACTACTTCTCCAACTGCAATATAATGATTGTTCGGCTGCATGTTCACGCAAGCGAACGAACGCTCTTCCTTCGAACTTTATTATCCGAAGCTTTCGCATCGACTCTCTTTCATCCGGTGTAATTAACTTTTCAAATCCTCGGGAGAACGTAAAAGAGATGTATAATATTTTATTGAGATGGAATTTATTGTCTTTCGCTTTCTTCGTGATATTCCCGGAAAAGGCTAGTCAAATGTCTCACCGATATGATAAGTTTCTTTTTATTGGAATGTGGATATTCGAAAATACGTATATGTATTATTTCTGCAAATATTAATACGTTTCACGATTGATTTGCTTGATTCTCATTTGGTTATTATATTAACCTGTGCGTTTCGCCGACAGATGTTTGATGCATTATTAGATTCGAAGTAAGTAATTTAAGCTATTATTTTAAGACCAAGATTATTTTAATGAATTTCATTTCTGATTGTTGAGATTACTGGATCATTTCCAGTTTTCTTTTCCATATTCTTGCGATATATATCAATGTTCTATTCTTACTGTTTTGAATAGTCATGAAATTCATGTTATTATTAATTCACCTTTCATTACATCACTCACGGTTCTGAATTCGTCTACATAAATCATTATTTTTATAAACTCCCATACAATGCTACAATGATTCTAACTCAATATAAAGTACCTACGATAATAATTCATATACAATAGTCCTCTACCCCTTGTTTTTCGGAATGATATGTTCTTTCAGTCTATATGTCATTTTAATTAAACTTCCCAAGTATTTTTCAATTAACTCTGAACGAAAATTAAGCCATAAATTGTTAAACACGAGTTTAGTTCGATATCGTACCCAAAAGTTCGTTACGCTGATGATGAGATATGCATTTACCATTTGGGAAAACGGAAATAAGCAAAACCGAAATTAAATTTCTCTTCCTAACATTACTCGCTCCGTAAAAAACGATTTCCGTAAATCGAATACACGGCTCGGCAAGAATTCAATTAAAAATCTAATTTATTTTTGCGAGCTGCGCACACAGTACACATAGTTGATTCAAAACATATTCCACCGAATAAACAAAAATAATTGCATCACGTTACCGCACCGAGTATCTCACTTTCGTTGAGTTTCGTTTCGCACGCTAGGTTTTTTATACCCCCCCCCCCCCCCCCCACCTGAAAAAATCGGGAAATCTTCTCACGCATAGCTAGTTTCGTTAAAAGTTTGGGAGAATTCGAGGAGAGGGGCAGGGAAACGAGTCCGTGCGGGATTGTTGTGTTTGAGTTTTACTTGGGCCCGCGAGGCCTTTTTCGCGCCAACGAAAAATCGGTGCCTTAATCATAGACAGCCCGAAGAGAAGGCGAAAGAAACACAGCCACTTGCTTGAAATTGGAGCTTCATCTCGAGGAGTAACTTTCTTTTTCTGCTCGACGAGCCAATTTCAGTCTGCTCATTCGTGTTGATTTTATGCTCGTTCAATCGTTTTGAGACTCGCCTTAGCATTACAGTAATTATTATTTTGCTTTTACTTTTCGATGAGGCTTTTAGCGACTTTTTTTTAGTACATCCTTGCTTTTTTAATCGATTATTTTTTTTTTAAAATTTATATTCTTTTAACTTTTAAATTAAGCAGATGATAATGCCAAGCATAAAAGCAGTTGATGTTGAAATAAGAATAATCGTGAAGCTTTCCGTTGAATACAAACGCACTAACATAGTAAGGCTTTGTTCACATTCATCAAAGGCGCATATAGCGGTATAAGACTTTCGCGGAATTTAAAGAGCCAAGACCGCGAAATTCGTGACACGGAAAAATCTTAATTCGCGCTTCTTCTGTCTCTATCTTATACATGTAATTTCGCAGGTTGCCGTCGCGTATCGCTGCCAAAGACATAATTTAGCTTCGCGCCGGTAGGATATCTTCTTCGTAGGAAGAAGGTTATATCTTCTCACATTTCGTATGACTAAGTAAACAGCCGCGGTGGAAAATGCAAATTTCTACGAGACGATCCCGTTCTCTACACTCCACTCTCATTATTACCATTGCCATTGTCGGTGTAATCATTGTTATATCCTTCGCTCCCGTCGGAG